AAAAAATTTATCTCTATTTCCGTTCTTTTGCATAAGAGTTGCTGCTTTTTGTATCATTTGCTTTTATTTTTTTATTTAGAATTTATTACTATGCGCCTCCTCCTCCACGGCAACGAACACACTGAAATAGAGACAAGCAGACAGACACACATTTTGCTTTATTTTTCTCGCCTGTTTCCTTCTTTATTTTTACTGACAGACAGACTGCTCTTGAAGTAATCGCCTCATTAATTCGCGCGAGTTTCATGCTGCACTGAATCAATTTGCATATTCTGCAAAAAAAAAAAAAGAAAAAACAAAAAAAGAAAATCGAGCAACAGAAAAAAGGAAAAGCAAAACAAGGCAAACGAGAAGAGAAGAAACGGCAAATGAAATCTACTTACACAAAGTCTTTAAATTTAATTTTCTGCCGTTCTGTCTGCTGTGGTTGCGACTGCATTTGAAGTTGTGAGTGTTTGAGTATTGGAGAGGGGGAGGGAGAGGGGAACAAGTCTATGCGTGAACGAAGGAAATCATGAAAATTGAAAGCATTTAATGAGTCGTCGTGAACGCCAGGCCTCCTATTTTGCACTTATCTACTTATAAGTACACACTCTCTATAATAGAGCTGATGAAATTGCCAGGGTGGCTATAGTCATATAGTATTGGCGGGGATTTCCATGGCATTGACGCAGTGTGTGGCAAATTTCAAAGTCATCTTGGCCAAAAAAATTGGCAATGGAACTAAAAATAAAGTAAACATGCTGATTATTTGGAAAAAAGCTAAAAACTGATAGCATGATTGTCTCAAAATAAAACGTATCTTCTACTGCTTGCATTACTATAAATAGCATTTTAAAATGTTTTGATAGTTCTGCGAATCTGATAGCAAAATTATCTTGAGACTTTGGGAACACAAAGACTAGCCAGCATGGCGTCTTCATAAAAATATGAGTATAATTTCTTTAATAAATAAGATCAAAAGAAAATCGATAGCTGGAATAATTTTTTGCCTGTCTGAACAAATAATACAATTCACAATAAATACATATTACGACAATTTACTATTGCTCTCCAATAAGCAATTCATATTCGTGATGTTAATGTTCAATCACAATCGCGATTAGTGTTGGTGAGCGAGCAGTTGTTTTGAATAATCTAACCGAAATCTATGAACATAAATAAAAATAATAATTTAGTGTTGGGTCGCAAAAATGTGTGAGAAACCTACTTTGAAAGAAGCTTGTAATGCAAAGAAGTCCTAAATTTTAATTTAATTTTTATTTCCTCACTTGGTAATGTACAGCCAAGCAAATTCTTAGAGAGGAATTGAGGAAAATGAATAACAACAATTTATTTGTTATTTTAGATTTGGAAATAAATTTACTTACAGCTATTCGAACTTTGCCCATAAAATCTCGTCATTATTATTTTGCGCTTCCTGTTAATCACATGTTTAAAGACTTCTTGTTCAGCAATGTGCAATGATGACTTAACTTCCGCTTAAAGTTTACGTACCCCAAGAGCCCCAAGAAATATTCCAGCTGCCCCGCTTCCTCTCTTCTGCGCTCTTATTCGCTTGTGTGTGTGTGTAAGTGTGCTTGGAATGCAAACATGTGTAAAATGATACGAGCATATCAAGAGTTTTATTTTGAAATGCAATGCAAAGGAAGGTCGCAATATCGTACGATTTTATGCACGTGGTCAGTGACTCTTTTAATTTGTAGCTAGCTCTGTTATACATACATGTATTGTTTGTCTACATACCATACATACATACATGTGTATGTATGTGTGCGTACATTTGTAGTAGATGTAAATCACAAGCAAAATGTTGCCCGTATATAAGCGACGTAAAATGAATTTTAGATGGACAGAAATGCCAGGTTTGCTGAAATTTTGCTTAAATTTGTACATTCTGCGAAATTGTATGTGAATAAAATAAATTTCCACGTATTTAATTTGAATGAATCGAACTCAACTCTGGGGATTGCATCACTTACATTAAACTAAAAGCTAAATATTGTGTATAGTGGTATATACACATATTTTGTATTTAATCATCACTTAAACAGCATGAGTTGCTGCCTTTAAGCGAGATTCCAATAAAAAGGCAAATAAATTATAAAACACGTCATAAGCAAACACACGAAAGTCCGTCTAGTTGATAAGTGAGCAGCGGCTCGTCGTTGGCCCGGGAGCTAGCTTTGGGGCATAGTGGAATTCCCCCAAACTGGTGAGCAGGCAACAAAAAATTCCACAACAACGACGATGACGACAACAGCAAAAAATATATATAAAAATGTGAAAACAGGCGCCAAATTCATGAATGAAATTTTTGTCGCGCCACACGCGGTCAACTTTTTGCACAAACCACACACCAGTTAGTTGTAGAAAGAGAAAGAAAAAAGTAGCAAATTGGCTGGGCGGTTTTGGTGGAGCAAGAGCTAAAGGGGGCGACGCGTTTGCCTTGCCAAAGCAAAAAAAAAACACTTTTGATTTTCGTCATTTGATTTTATTTATTTGGCGAACGCGCCACATTGCACAGTGGGGTAACGAACAGCATTTTTAGTAAAAATGATACGAATTTCACTAGATCTGCCAAGTTGATTATTGGCAAGCGCCTGCAAATAGTAATAAGGCAATTGCCATAAGTAATAAGACAATTTGTTAAAAGAGAAAGTATCTAAAAGTCTATAATAATTATTGTGAAAAACGTACTGCATCGTTAATATGAAAGCAGAAAACATATTCTTCTTGCACTCCAATTAGAATATTCAGTGCTAACGAAAACTTTTGTCGCAGTTTTCTGATAGTAGTAACATGTACTAATTGCATTTTAAAGTTAAATTCTTCTCGACTATTTCCTAAAAGCCATGCGCTGTGTAGAGCCCACTGCATTTTGCTATAGTCTCTGTTGCTGTTACTTCTGTTGTTATTTTTGCATATACAATTTGTTATTTTTGTTTTCTTCCTTTTCTTCTGAAGCCAGAGAGCTATGTAAGTTTCATTCATAAAAAGCCGCAATGTGACGCCAGCGACGACGTTGACGTTAACGTTAACGGCGACTTCTTCTGTTATCAAGCAGAGTAGTTTTTCTTTCTTTTTCTTGTATACACACACATATTTGTGTGTGTGTGAAAGAAACGACAAAAAAAATTGGTGAGAGCGACGAACGGTGGCGTTGAGCGATGTTGGGGAGCGTAAGTGAGCGTAAAAGTGCCGTTGTTGTGTTGCTTGCATACTAACTAAAAAAGCCAAAACACAAACAACCCATTGATTATTATGACACACACACACACACACACATGCAAATAGCAAGACATGACAATGGATTTTATTTGTTGCTTTTTGGTTACGCGCCGCCTTCAAAAACAAACCAGCTGTGTCAATAATAAGGCCAAAGCTGCTCAACTTTGCTGATGTTGTTGTTGTTGCTGCTGGCAGTCTCATTGAAAAATACATAAAATGGGCGCCATGAACAACAACGAATTTGCACGATATATTGCCTTGCCATTTATGTTGTTTTTTTTTCTTCTTGTGGGCCACATGCCGCCTGACACGCACGCCAACACACGTACGCAATCACATATGTATGTATGTGCAAACATGCATACACACATGTACATAGATATTGGCGAGCGTGTTGTTGCTCATTCAGTTTGCAACATTTCCGCTTGACTGCTGCTAATTTCTTTCATTGAGCAATAGCAGCAGGCAGACACAGACAACAACAACAACCCACCAACCCATTACCGACTCCCCTTTTTTCCCCAACTCCCTTCAACAGATAAACGTACAAAAACACTATGCACTGTGGAATAGAAGGCCACATTTCGTTATGTTTTCTGTCTAAGCTGAGGTATTTAGTTTAGCTGAAGAAAAGTTATTACGAATCGCTCAGTTTTAAGTTAAAAATGCTTAATTAGCGACAAATTAATAGTAATTTTGGGACACACTTTATAATATTATCCTAGCAATAATCAAGTTTTCAGTTCATATTGCTTTATCCTCAAAATTGAATAGCATTAAACAATACCTTATGTTTTATTCCATAGTTCAATCTATATGTTTCTTGAACTTGTAGTTACAACTTATAAAGTCATGTTGTTGCCACGTTTTCGTTGTTGTATTTATTAGCATCCACTAATGCCCGCCAATTATTTTAATTTCCGCATAAAATTCTTTCGTACTTGGTTAATGCAATTGATAAATGCTCGTTCCGTAGAGTCGAAGCTGTGCAAACAATTACCAACGAATGACCACAGGAAGTCACGTTTTAAGCCGACTTACCTTTTCAAAGGTACAAAAAAGCGCAGACCACATAAGGGGCAGTGCTTCAAAGCGGCCGACGAAACGCCAAACAATGCTGAATAAATTGCATTTACATAATTGGCACACACACACACACAATCAAGCATAATTATTTACATATAAGTGTGTGTGTGTGTCAGAACATATGTGCGATTTGTGTGCCAGTCATTGGCTTGTGAGTAGAATCGGTGCAGCGATTCATTCATTTAGTTTTGTGTCAAGGCCATACTTATACCTATAGGCCGGTTGATAAGATTATGCACAACAATAAACATTTGTTGATTGATTGATTGATTCATGAAAGTGGTCAAGGAATCGTATATTATCTCTTAAAAAATAATGCAAATATAAGCAGTTTTATAAAAAAAATATTATGTATGTACATATGTACTATGTATGTATATTTTAGAGTCTTAGCCTCAAATTGTTCATTAACCCATCGGAAAAAAGATTTTGTTTAAAAAGATAGAACAAATTTGATTACAAACCAATTTTTGTAAATTCCTACCGAAAAATATTAAACAATTATTTTAAAGAAGTAATTGAACCTAGGCAGATAAATACTGGCAAAGCGCTAAACAGAGGCAGTGTGGGGACATATCGCCTCCAATAATATTTGTATCTTACAACATCACAAACGATCTTTAACGCTCAATTTGGATATATAGTAAACATTAATTTGCGTTCTGTTCTTTCTTTTATTGCAGGCGATGCGAAAAACCTGAGCAGTCGTAATGCGGCCAACACCAGCTGCAGTACACAAGGGACTCGAGATGTTTATTGCATAATAGCACTGGATCAGGAAGAAATATGCCGCTCACCCATCATCGAACGCACATTAAAGCCATTCTTTGGCGAGGAATATCATTTCATAATACCCCGGCGATTTCGCTATCTATCCATTTACCTATATGATCGTGATATGAAGCAGGATAAGCCGATTGGCAAGATAGCGATAAAGCGAGAGGAGCTGCACAAGTACAATCATGAGGACCATTGGTTCTCGCTGCGACCGGTCGATGCTGACTCCGAGGTGCAGGGCATGGCACAAATTGAGGTGCAATTCGAAAAGGTGCCACAGCCGGTGACGATGACAACGCTCGATGTAAACAAGGAGTTGGGCGGACAGCAGCATCTGCATCACCAGAGTGCACATCAAAATGATTACAAGGAGAACAGCGAACTGAGCAATATACAGAGGTCACTAACCGGTACATCATCGTCCAATGACCAATTAAAGGAGGCGCTGTCTAATACGCATGCGCGTAACTTGCGTGTGGCTATACGTGTGCCTGCCTGTGTTGATCTCTCCAAGAAGCAGGGCAACTGTGATCCATATGTGGTCTTTACCGCCTATTACAACAACAATCAGCAAATAACTAAGCGCACGAAGCGTTGCAAGAAGACCGTCAATCCTGAATTCGATGAGGTTATGTACTTTGATCTCTGTATTAACACAGATGTGGGCAGTACGGCAACAACGGGCAGTGCCATATATCCCATAGAGGTGGCCGATATCAGTGAGATTGTTATAACAGTGTGGCATGGCGCCATGGCGGATAAAATCTTCCTGGGTGAGGTGCGTCTACCCATGCTGAATAAGCAACAACAAATGGCCGTACAGCCGTCTGCCTGGTATTATCTGCAGCCGCGTAGCACAGCAAGCAGTTGTCGTTCGTTGAATGTCGTACCTCGCTCCTGTGCAACGCCACCGGGTACGCGACTAAGCGTGGACTCGACAATTGGATCGCTGCGTCTCAATCTGAACTACACCGCCGATCATGTTTTCCCACTGGCCACCTACGATGATTTGCTCAATCTCTTGCTTGAGTCTGGCGATCGGAAGCCCATTACCGTATCAGCAGTTTCGATACTCGGCGAGCTGGTTTCGGGCAAGACGGAATTGGCACAGCCACTGGTGCGTCTATTCACATATAAGGAGCGCATAGCGTCCATTATTGAAGCGCTCGCCGACTCTGAGATATCAAATCTGACAGATCCCACGACAATATTCCGCGGCAACACACTTGTCTCCAAAATGATGGAAGAGGCTATGCGTTTATCGGGATTGCATTATCTGCATCAGACACTGCGTCCCGTCCTCTCACAAATAGTTGCCGAAAAGAAACCCTGCGAAATTGATCCCTCAAAGGTGAATCGCTCAGCGATCGACACAAATCTGCACAACCTCCAAGACTATGTGGAGCGCGTTTTTGAGGCCATAACGAAGAGTGCAGAACGTTGTCCCAAGGTATTGTGCGAGATCTTTTACAATTTGCGCCGATGTGCCAGCAAGCATTTTCCTCGAAATCTAGAAGTTCGTTACTCTGTGGTATCGGGTTTCATATTTTTGCGTTTCTTTGCGCCAGCCATATTGGGTCCCAAACTGTTTGATCTGACCACAGAACGTTTGGTAAGTAACCGAAAAATCAGATAGTTCTAAAAATTGTCTGCTTATATTTATATCAAAATCGTCCTGTCCGTCTGATCACTGAAATCTTTCTACCCAAATGTTCCAGATACAAAAAAAAAGAACTACTAAACTACTTTTCATTCCATTTTCTGAGATAACTGTAATATCAGAGGCGAATTCTTAGTAATCTAAGTTTTAACTTCTTCACAGGATGCCCAAACCAATCGCACATTAACGCTCATCTCGAAGACCATTCAATCACTGGGCAATTTGGTCAGTTCTCGCTCTTCGCAGCAGCCCTGCAAGGAGGAATACACCGGCGAGCTGTATAAGAAGTTCTGCACGGAAAAACATGTTGAGGCGGTCAAGCGTTTCCTCGAGCAAATTTCCACGCTTAAGTCGGATGATTTTTCCCACAGCGAGCCAGTGGTTCTAAAAGAAGGGTAAGTTCCACTACAGATCAGAAAGAACGTTCTTTCACACTGTTGCTTTTGTTTTTTTGTACCCCTTTGTTAACCTCATTATTACGCATTTGTAACAATAGTACACACACACACAATGAAACATATATATGTATTTCCTTGATTACGCTTTGTTTTTAATTCTAATACGTACTTTCTTTATCTTTCTCTTCTTTTACGCGCGCTGCTTTTGCCAAAAACAAAAAAATATTTAAAATATATTAAAACCACTCCAACAAATCACAAAACTCTCACGCACATGCCAAACAAATTTCCACACACACACACACACAAATCCATTACATACACACACACACATGCATAAAACCATGTCATCAAAATTATACACACTAATGTCTATAGCAAGGGGTAAGAGAAATATTAAAAGAAAAAAGTATTTATTAGTGCCCGTATAAATTATTATTATGAATATTTCATTTGCTCCCCACATGACAATTTTCCAATTCTATTCTTTCTCTTTTCTGCACAACAGCATAATTACCAAATATCCGAAAAATCCGAAACATTTTGGCAACAAGAGCATGCAGCGCTACTTCTGCCTGACCACGCGTTCGCTGAGTTATTCCAACTCGAAGGGCAAGCGACCCAAGTTAGACATACCGCTCGAGGACATTTCCAGTGTTGAACAGCTGAATGATAAAAGCTTCAAAATGCAGAATTGTTTTAAGGTGAGTAAATAAAATGCTAATGTTGGCTTTTATTTGTTTAGAGTAGACGAATTTAAAAGCCAGATAACCAACAAAAATACATTTGTATTTACAATGTGCATTATTACCGGAAATGCACAAGTTTACACAAATGCCATGCAGACGGCACACACACACACAAATACACACGTACGTTGCCGTCTTAGCATATCATGCCATATTTATAAATAGGCGTCGCCAGCGACTCTGCCCACACATCAGCATCAACAACGACAACAACAATACTCACTGTTCATGCAAATAAGTTGTGAGGCTGCCGCGCATGTGTGAAAGAGAGACACAGTGGGTGGGTGAAGCTGCGTCGGTGTTGAGCTGCTGTTTTAACTGTAATTGCTAGTGATGCGCAAGAAGCTACGAAACTGCAATTAACTAATATCGATGACAGACTTATGTTTAAAGAATTACAGATCGATGGCAGACCCATTAAAACAGCGGGCCAGCAGTCGTTGCACACCACTCTATTTTTGAGCTTTTTATTAGCAGCCCTGGTCGCGATCTGTAGGTCAGTCGAACGATATTGGAACACACTTTGAAATTTATTTAACACGATTTGAATGACTTCTTCCTGCTAGCCGTGTGTAGTAGGCGTTAACATTTTTAAAATCCCCGCCACATTCAGGGGTCATGAACAAAATACATACATATGGGAACTTTAATGTTGTAATTAATTAATTTCAATTAACATCGTACATAATGTACTTCGCAAGGAGACCCTTAATAGATTTTTTCCTGTAACAGTATTGTTATAAGAAGTCTCGAAACAGAGCCCATATACTAGTACAATTGTACGTATTTAAAATTTGATTTGTAGCACTCTTACCTTCACGAGATGTTTTTTGTTGGTTATTTTGAAACCAATGAATTCTCATGGCATGAAAGTGAAAAGCAAACAAATTAATTTTAATTGCAAAGGGCAGCCGTATGGGTATGAGCAGAAACAACAACAACAACAAACTTTCACTAATCATTTACAAACAGCAAGACCCGTTGGCTGCTGTAAATGACAACTTGCTGCAATTAAAAGTAATTTGCATTATTATGCAGATGAGTTTGCAGCTAGCCGGCTATCTATCTATGTACGTACATATGTATATACTTATGTATTTATATATTTGTATGTCATATAGTTGCTGTTGTTGTAGACTAAAAAGGGAAATTTCAAAACATTACGCTGCTAATGTTGTTGCCTAGATGAGAATGAAAAACAAAACAGAAGAGGAGCAACGTAAAAAGAATTGTTGTTGTTTATTGTTAGTGTTGTTGCGTGTGAATTCCCAGCGTTATCTATACGTACTACGATTTCTCCATATGGCCGCTGACAATTGTTTTAACCACAAATACAATAGCTACACGTTTGTTTGTTTTGTGTGTGTGAGTGTGTTTGTGTGTAGTTTAGTTCGCACAGAATTTAGCAAAAAGTGAAAAGAACCCTGCACTAATTTACAAACTTTCCATTTGTTTTTATTTCCGCCCCCACACAGATTATAAGCAAAGATCGTCCACTTATAGTGCAGGCAATGAATTGTGTGGAGGAGCACGAATGGATCGAATTGCTGCACAAGATTTGCCGAATTAATTCCATACGCATGCACTCTTTCCATCCATCGGCATTCGTCAGCGGCATCTACAGTTGTTGCGACCGTGCCGATGAGAATGCGCCCGGCTGCAAAACTGTGTCACCCCAAGAGATGTATAGCTTCCAAATGGATTTGGTCACTGCGCTGGATCCACAGCTCGACTTGCAGCGCATACACACGCTCATCATGTCCAACATGTGTCTGTTGGATGCGCTGCTCGATCCGCTTGCGCAACACTTGCCCCCACAGCACAATCCATTGGGGCCGATGGCCACCGCGCTGCAACAGCAATCTCTAACAGTCTATGGAGAGTTCAAAAAGACGATTGAGAAGTTGCGCGAGAAGGCCTATGCCATCGATAGGGATCATCGGGACTACAAGCAGGGCATAACGAGAAAATTGAAATATGGCAGTCCCCAGGCACCGATCGGCGACGACAACTATTATAGTCTGATGCGAGCCGCCGGTCAACTAAACCTGCAACATCATCAGCAGCAGCAGTATCAGCAGCAACAGCAGCAGCAGCAACAACAGTACCACCAACAGCAACAACAGTACCACCAACAGCAGCAGCAGCAGCACCATCAGCAACCACAGCCTGTATTGCCGCAAATGCAGAATGTACGCGCGAATCCATATCAGGCGCAGCAACAACACCAGCAGCAGCAACAACTGCATCACAGCAATCCCAACATGAACGCTTACCACATACACAATCTGCAACATCAGCAACGAGTTCAGCAACAGAATCAGCAGCAAAACATCCAACAGTATTGGCAGCAGGACCAGCCTTTACGTTCCCAACAGCAACTGCACCAACAATTGCAACTGCAACGCCAGCATCAACTGCATCTCAACAACAATATCGTAATCAGCACCCACAACAATAACAACAACAACAACAGTAGTAGCGGTCATGTCTCATCTTCCAGCCCATCATCGACTGCTTCTAGTGTTGCAGCCGCACCCAGCTCTTTGGCCTCATCAGCATCGACGTCAATGCCTCAGCCGGCGAAACCGATTTATTAGCGTTCAAGACTATGCGTATTTGCCATACCAAGAGCGATCATTATGACGCGGTAGATACGCATACAGCCCTTTCTGGCAATTAAGCAAACACATGGTGGTGAGGGGAAGGGCGCTCACAAACTATTTTTCTATCTATATCGTAGAACCGCTAAGAGCTGAAGCTTAAACTATTCTATGCCAACAACCTCTTACTTTACTTAATGATATGATAATGTTAATAGTGCGTGTAACACACTGCCCCCAACAACAACAACAGAAACAACAACAACTTCACACACTTCCATGCTGTGCTTGCTTCCGTACTACAAGAAGAAAAAAAAGAGAAGAACTATTGCTAAAGAATACGTATATTTTTACACACATTCTTGGCTAGCTTTATCCATAATTTGGCTACAATGTTTTCGTTAAAAACTTTATTTGAGAACTATTGGTTAAGTGAACACTTTGATCAACTATCTTTAATTATTTTCCTTCACTGATCTCCCCATTTGTGTACAAATTGATTATGCATCTTAAGCACTTCGATCCGACTTCATCATCTCATTCATAACTTAACCATTAAACGTTCTGGTTCTCCAAGTCGATCGATTTGGAATAAATTACTGATTTCAATTCTTTCCCATTTCTCTATTTCATAACTCGCTAAATAGTCGTCTTCCAATTCGATACCACACTCTTCAGGCGGCATCCTTAGAAATTTGATTTGATAAAGCTAGCTGGGTATAGCTATGTATGTATTTCTTTAATCATGAGCGAACCGTATAGCCAAGGTAACAACAACAACAACAAAAAAACGAGTGTGTAGAGTCGTCGTCGCCTACACCGTGCTGTATAAATAGTTTTATGTGCTAATTTTAAAGCCCTATTTTTAAATGCCTAAATTTTAATGTTAATGCGTAATGCTTAGACTAAGATTTTTTAAATTACCATTTTTTATATACATTTATACGCTTAATTTTTAAGCCTATTTATTTTTTGTATGTGCTAAACTTTATTTATACGCAAAAAACAAACACATACACACACCCACACATAAATAGATATAAAGTATATACCTATATACATACATACATACAACAATATAAGTAATGTTCTACTGTAATATTTGGTTTGTTCTAAGGCCGCGAAAACTGATAACTATTTAAGTCTAGTTACTAAACCCACTCTACAAAATGGAAACGAAATGCTAAGAATTTTTTACGCTAGCCTCGTAAGTTCAATATACAAATTAGCGAAATGAAACATTGTACATACAAACACACACACACACACACGCACATACAACTAAACTTGCACACACACACTCACAAATCCATACATACTTGCATTATACCAGTTATGCTAGGCGTAGTAAAATTTTAAACTAACTAAATGTGTAGTGAGAAATTAGAGAAATAAGGGCAATACATACTATACATATACGAGTACATAATATATAACAAACAGAAACAAATTAATGATTAAAATATTAATAAATTAGCAAGTAAATGTATCATGTAGAAGAGTCTAAACTATTTATACACACACATGCATAAATGTATAACTATAATTTAAATATTTGTGTAATACACACACACACACACACACACACACACATGAAAAGCAAACAACAATTCTAACAAATGTGAATGCTATTTACAAAACTACAAACGTACATACATACATCTACATGTATATTTATATAACTGTCATACAGCTACAAAAAAGAAAAACAACATTATTAGAAAAGTAAAGCGAATAACAAACATGTTATAAACTTTATATATATACATACATACATATATGGTGTATGTATATGTAAAGTCTAGTTTACACGCGCATTGTTAAGAACAAATTTACTTCCATTTTAACTTACAAGCATGCATACACATATGTATATTTATTAAATGCATTTAATTTCACATTTTAAATTTAAATTCGAAAACACATTTATTATGTTGAAAGATCAATCAAAGTTTTGGTTTTGTTAGCTTCAACTTACTTCCACCGATTTGTTTCCAAAGCTCTTCCAATATTTTATTACATTTACGTAATTTACATATACATATGTTTAAAACTATATATATATACAAACACATTACATATATATGTGAAAATCGTTTCATTTCGTCAATTTGCCATAACTAGATTTCATTTCGTTGCTGCATCTTTTTAAAAAAATGTCTTCCTTCTGGTTTTTTTAGATAACACGTTTTGTTTATGCATTCCAATTGTTTATGCATTTTCTCTTGTAATTTGCTTATGTACATAAAATAAATTTAACAACAAAATAAACAATTTTTCATGAAGCCACCAGTATATTGTATGTGGGAGCAGTTCAAGAATTGAAAAATCTCCAGGAAAAGAGAAACAAATTTAAGAAGTGTGGTAGAGTATTAAAATATAATGAAATCGAATTTACAATTCAGTAATAAATTGGTCATTGAGGAGCTCAGCTCAAACAGCAACAAAAGATATGAAAATTTAATTTTGCAATTCAATTAAATCTTACATTTCCATCATCACTTAGAGTTTTAAAACGATGCTATAATAGAATCACTCGTATACGTAAATGTATAAATTTTTTTAATTTTGAACACTCAATAGAAATATTGTGCCTTTTTTATGGAGCTCTTCTTTTCCTGGCCTCTTCCCACAAACCAAATGCTGGACCTTACTATGAAATTTATATGCAGTTTACTAATTTGTATTGCACTGATGTTTAAGTTTATGTTTAGTTTTATTTTCGGTATACTTAACGTATTTTTATAATGCACTTTTTGCTAAGTTTGAATGTTACAGCTTAAATTGTTGGTACAAAGAAACGAAATAATTTTTTTTAGTAAAAAAAAAAACAAATGAAAAGCGAATCACATTTCAAATAATAAAGCGTATCGCCAATGAGTTGTATTTTGTTTTATTGCACTTTACACAAATTTATTTTTTAGCAGCATTGTAATTATTCGTTTGGTTGTTTTATTTGGAATTTTATTTTAGAACCTCATTCTCGTGCTTTAACAAAAATCTGACATCCTGTTGTGATATCTTAAGAAAAAATCTACACGTAAATTATTTTAAAAAAAATTAGCAAATCGTCGAAATTCAGACATAGATGGAAATACCATATTTTAGTAGTGAGCCTTGTATGTACTTAAATAATGAAAAAAAGGCTACCTTCGGCTAGCCGATTATTATATACCCTTGCAAAAGATATAGCAAACTGATTCGGTCCAAAATCCAGTATACCTTTTAAACTAATGACTGTTTTAGAAAATAGCTAATCACTCTGACACAAATTTAGGTGATTGTTCGTTTTAATGGTGGTCCGTTCAAGCTACTACTGCTTATATCTTTAAATCTTGCAAGAGTATTAAATGAAATTAGTTGCATTTTAAATGTGTGTTAAACAAAAACTCTTAAAAAAAACTAAAGCAAATTTAAACCTGCAGCCATTGCAAGTTTTTAAACTGTTAAGTATTTTTAGTCGTATTGTGACAATTACCAACAGAGAAGCAATTTTTTCCAAAACATGTATGTGCGTATATTTTCTATTAAGTTTTAAATAATGCAAATCTTTAATTGTAATGAACAATTACGAAATCAAGAAAGAAAAATGCGTGTTGTGGTTGGTTTCCATGCCATATAGAAGCAGAAACAAAATAAAGCAAGAGTACGTGACCCTATTTTTTGTAAACCAATCTTTTGAAAATAACTTTTTCGTATAAATAAATGCATACCAGTTTTGCGTATTTTAACATAGAAAAATCCACAAATGTTTTTTTTTCTTTTTCAAATAAATCTTGTGGGGCGCGAAGCTTTCTGCGAAGCATTGCCAACAGCGAATGTCCATCTAGTAGGGCTCCTCAAAATGCACGCGTGTTGCTGTGAATGCTGTATGGAGTAAGAAGCAGTGGTTATTATCGTACAAAGCAGCAACAAAATAGATGACTGCAAGAAATTAGCGTATTTTAGTAAATATTTTAAGTAAGTTAGTGTTCACAATATGTGTAAAACTAAATGGTGCTTACACAATATTAAAAGCAGCAGAGCTGAGCGTGTTAGGAGCCCCTATTGATTGTGACGCCCACACTGCTGTTTGTAAAATACAGCACTAAGCGCAGAAAGATATAGGAAGAGGGAAAGGGGCGTTCTTGTGCGGCGTGCGTTGAACGGCGTTGAGCTGCGCGAGGAAGCAATCAAGTGGCAAGAACAACAACAAAGGGGCCGTTCGTCACGACTCGCGCCACAAACCACAAGCAAAATGCAAAAAGTTAATTAGTGTGAACAAAATCAAATCAGCAACCCTCCCTCAACACCCCCATCCTGCTGTCCCTATTTGCTCAGGCTCTGAGGTAGTCAGAGGACATCTGAGTGTGTGGCAGATAGCATGGAGTTTGCCGATCTGATAAAGACACCCAAGCTAGATGGCGTTCTGCTTTATCTGCCTGACCACGACAACCAGCAGGCGACTGTCGAGGGCACCCTGTGCATAACGGGACATCATTTACTGTTGAGTGCCCGGCAAGAGAATACACAGGAACTATGGGTAAGTAGCTGAGGGAAACACATACATACATTATGGAGGAATGGGCCCAGGTGCACTCGACCATCAATGATTTATCCAATTATATTCTTAGCTACTGCACAAGAACATCGACTGTGTGGAAAAGAAGCCGAGACTGATGCAAAACATTGTGACCGGTGGCATAATAACACTTAAATGTAAAGATTTGCGAATTATATCGCTGGAGATTAGATATGCCAAAGAGTTTTTTAACGTATCCTCGTCGCTGGAGGCGCTCAGTGCGATACAAAATGTGGAATTGGAATATCCGTTCTTTTATAGGCCCATGTATGCCATACTAGAGGATGGCTATACGATGTTCAGGTGAGTTACAGATCCGGCCTGTAAGCGATACTCCCTGCATGTATCCATAAATTTCTTAAAGTTGCGTAAATCTGCCCGATTGGTTCCTTATATCAGATGACTACTGCCATACTGACCTTTGTTCTTTACTCGATTTTATTTAATTTAAATTTTTGGCTGAAATATTAAAGAGTTTTTAGAGCTCAGCTTTAAGTAGATTTTGCATCTTTTAGAACACTTTTAATAAATCATCAATTCTATAAGATATTTGTATAGAAAATATCTAAAGAATCCTGCAAAATGTATAACCGTTATGCCTTCCTTGATTAAATATATTTAAATAAAAATCTGCAATATATTTATTGCCCCACAGACCCGAATTGGAGTTCGGGAAGCTAATCAGTGGCGTGGGGGCGCCTTCGTCTCCTAATGTGGCAGCCATTAATGTCTGCACGCCTTCCACATCGACAACGGCCGCTGCTGGCTCCGGTTCTGGCGGTATGATAGGCATACCGCATCCTCTACAGAATGGCTTCACAATGGATGCTGCGGCTGCCGTAACGGGCGGCAACATACCCGTTTGTGAGTGGCGCATCACGAACTGCAACAAAGACTTCAGCGTTTGTGCCACATATGGAGCCATGCTCATTGTACCTAAAGCAATTACGGACGAACAGATTGCGTTGTCCGCCTCGTTTCGCGATGGTGGCCGCTTTCCCGTGCTCAGTTATCGGCATGAAAATGGCGTAAGTTCATTTGTGGTGCCTGGCTAATATAATATAGTTGCCGTAATTCAATCAACAATTTTCACAGGCCACGCTGATGCGCAGTGCACAGCCGCTGTCCATACAGGGCATCAAACGCTGTCGAGCAGACGAGGCCATTCTCAATTTGGTATTGGGGCGGAGCAAGAAGGGCTTTATTGTAGACACATGGGGCAAGGGCAAATCGAATACGGAAACGGATCAACACTATTCGCAATGGAAGAAGGTTAATCGCGCCATTGGGAATGTCAGTTCACCCGCTTCCATATTGGATAGCTTTGGCAAACTGATTGACGCATGCAACGATATTAGCTGCACTACAGATAAGTGGCTATCACGGTTGGAGAACAGCGGCTGGCTAAATCTGGTGCTCAATTCCTTGAATGCCTCGTGTGTGGTGGCTCAGTGCTTAGATCAGGAGGGCAGTCCGGTGCTGGTTCATGGCGCTAAGGGTCTCGACTCTACGCTTATTGTCACATCCCTAGTGCAGATCATTCTCAATCCCGATTGTCGCACAGTGCGTGGGTAAGTCGATCTTCGAATATTATTAGTGTCGGTACTAAAATTACCTTATCGTTTATTTTTTCAGCTTGCAGGCGCTGATTGAACGCGAGTGGATACAAGCGGGTCATCCATTTGCTTCGCGTCATCGCTACTCTTGCTATACACCCCACCAGACACGCAATAAGAACTCGGGGGCCACCTTTGTGCTGTTTCTCGACTGCATCTATCAGCTGTACACACAGTTTCCCTGCAGCTTTGAGTTCAGCACTCAGTTGCTCATTTTGCTGTTCGAGCACAGCTATTTCTCACAATACGGCACCTTTCTGTGTGATTCGGAACGCGAGCGTCATGAGTTGCGTGTGCATACGCGCACCACGAGCCTATGGTCGTACCTTAATCGGCCGGATGTGCTGCAAACTCTGCTAAATCCTTTATATGAGCCAAATGCAAATGTAATATGGCCTTCAGTGGCGCCTATTAGCTTGGAATTGTGGAGTGGTAAGCAGTTTAACTGAATAATTAGTCTTGATAAACTAATTCTTTATAAATCAACACAGAACTCTACTTGCGTTGGGTGATAGACCAGCGGAATATAGCAACAACCATGGCCCAAATTCAGGAATTAGTTACGCGTGAAAAAGAGCTCAGAACTCAGGTAGGTTGCTAAATTGGCTTAAACCCAAGCACACATTCAATTATCAATTCGACAGGCCATCAAGCTGCGCAAACAGGCTTTGGAACTGAGCCAGGAAGTGCTGGCACTCAAGAACGATAAGGACGTATAGTCGGCTACCTCGGCACAAGCTCTCTAACTATAATTTTATACATATATACACCTATTTTTGATACTTTCTGTATCCATTTGAAATTATTTTCTTTTTCGTATATGTTCGATTGCAAAGATACTGAGAAAGTGAGTAAAATCTTGCAACCTTGAGCATATACAGAAAATGTAATATTTTAACAATAAGAAAAAACATAATGTTCCATTTACAAGAAATTTGCTGAAAAAAAAAACCTATTGGATTAATGTATGATCTGTATTTTGAGATCGTAACAATCACTCAATATTCTAGACAAAAGTCCATTTTCTACAGTTTAAATTTACATGTCTACTGAAAACGGTGTTGTAACTTAAAGCTCTATCTCTCTATCTCGTTGAAAAGCGCTCTCTATTTATATATAAAAATCGCACACGACTTCTGTCAAAATGTATAACAATTTGAGTCAATTTTTGACGCATTTACTTCTATTGAAATCGTAGTTCTTAAGTGTCTTCGAATTCACTAAATACTATATTACACTTACGTATAATGTTAATGGTCTTTATTGATGTTAAGCCTCAGATCAAATTAGTATTGTACATTTAAAGATTTGCCTTTCGAAATTGGTATTGAAAATAATCTATTTGTATGGTAAATTTTATTGTATTGCTTCAAAAGCATCTTTAAACATTAATATATTTATATGCATATATATATTCTTGAAAAAATTGAAAACAAATCAAGCTGTGCATGCGTTCGTATACATATTTATATAAATACATACATAAATATTGATAATGTTTGTAATTATGAATTGCGTGTTTAATTTAAATTGTGATCGTATTTAAAACCGTATAAAAATGCGTATGGAACTTAAATTTGTACACATACCTATACGTTTATATATTTGTATTGCAATTGTACGTGTTTTAAGTATATGCTAATTTTAAATATTTTAAGTGCAATAAATATCTGTATGTTAATTTACAATTGCCAAAATGCAAATAAAAATGTGTTCATTCAAATTAAACTTTGGCGCCAATACCTTTAATACTGCCATTCACAGCAAACGCGTTTAATCGCCACCTGTTGCTCATTATGTGCGACTACTTTGAATCTCCAACAGCTGCCCCTTTTATTTTCCGACATAATTAAAGCTAATTGCTGAAATAAATTCCTCCTTCCCAACTATTATTAATTAGGCAACACATGATAATTGCTGTTTTTCTATAAAGTTTAATTGTTTTTTTATTTTCACTAATATCTTTGCGTACAAAGATGATTTCCCCTATTGTTTACTCTTTTAATTGATTTCTGTGTACAAAACGCATATAAAAACTCACTTTAATTGATTAATTCCCACAATTGTAAATTTTTACGTAATTCATGACAACTATAACAAAATAGGCATAAAGAAAACAAAGTTGTTGCTCGGTAAAAAATGCAAATATCTAAGACACGCTGACTTTTGAAAACAAGGAAATGAGGAAAAAAATATAACGAAAACCCAAAACGTCTGGAGAAGTTGACTTTGTTTGCAGGAAACCCATTGTGTACCGTTGATATTGTCCTGAGCTCTGATTTTAGTTGCCACCTTCGTCTTCCAGGAAGAAGAACTGGCCAGACCGCTTCTGTTCCGTATCTTTGACAGAGTTGTTTTTATTGATGCGCGGCCTGAAGTTGTTGGGATCACGCCGGAACGTAATTCCCAGCAGTTCGAGGAAACGGTTCATTCCATTGAGCAGAGATTGCGGGGAATACGCGGTGGTCTTTACCGAGGGCTGGCCCTCAATCACAATAACGCGATCAGCAAGATAGGTGGCCATTATAAAATCGTGCTCCACCACAAATCCAGTTTTCTTTGCATGCAAAATGTAACTGTGGAATTATCATAAATTGTAGTAACATTAATATAAAAATAGATTCATTTAATAAATAAAACTCACCGTTTAATAACCTTCGCCGCCACCAAACGTTGTTCCGAATCCAAATAGGCTGAGGGCTCGTCAATAAGATAAACATCAGCGGGCTTGCCCAGGCACAAAACCAAAGCTACACGTTGCAATTCACCTCCAGATAGGTTTTGCACTTCTTGATCCATAATCTCCTCAATCTTCATGGGCTTCATAACGTCCGCAATGAACTGAGGATGCACATAGGCATCACGGATTTTGTCGTGTAGCAAATGGCGAACATGATTTTGGAACTTCGGTGAAATCTTTTGAGGCTTGTACGAAATATTCAGCATTGGCAATTCGACTTCACCATCGGGTTGCAAATTGCCAGCCAACATGCGAATAAATGTCGTCTTGCCCGTTCCGTTCTCGCCCAGCAGCACGAGGATTTCCGAATCACTGAAATGTCCCTTCTCAACGGTTAACTCGAACTTGCCCAAAGTTTTCACCATCGATGGATAAACGTAATGATTCATGCGCTTGATTTCCTCCTCAGTGGCCGACTCTGAGACTTTAAACGTGAGCGATTCCGTGCGGAAACGCATGTTCTCCGTGGGCACAAAACCGTCGAGGAAAATGTTGATGCCTTCACGCACTGAAAAGGGCATAGTGACAACGCCATAGCAACCGGGAACGCCATAGAGACAGCAAATAAAATCGGACAAGTAATCCAGCACAGACAAATCGTGTTCAACAACAATAATGAATCTGTACAGGGAAATGAGTAAATGGTAGGTATACAAAATGTAAATGCGGAGACTCACTTGGAAGGATGCAACAGGGAGCGAATTGTTAGGGCAGCATTTAAACGTTGTTTCACATCTAGGTACGAAGAGGGCTCGTCAAACATGAAAATATCCGCATTCTGTATGCACACCATGGCAATGGCAAAACGCTGCAGTTCTCCACCAGACAATTGGGAAATCTCTCGGTCGCGTATGTGCGAAAGGTCCAACATTTCGCAAATCTTATGTTGCTCTTGACGTTCATCCTTTTTATCCAGCAGCTCGCCGACAGCGCCGCGCACCGCTTTGGGAATCTGGTCCACATATTGTGGCTTGACCAGCGCCCTCAGATTGTCCTCCAATATCTTGGTGAAGTAGTTTTGCAGCTCAGAGCCACGGAAATAGTTCAGAATTTCTGTCCAGTCTGGTGGATTAGCATATTTGCCCAAATTCGGCTTCTGCTTGCCCGCCAAAATTTTCAATGCCGTCGACTTGCCAATACCGTTCTGTCCGACCAAACCAAGCACTTCTCCTGGACGGGGGATGGGCAGGCGATGCAATTTAAAGGAGTTTTTACTATAACGATGCGTTGTGTGTTTATCCAAGTTACTGGGCAAGTTAATAATCGTGATTGCCTCAAACGGACATTTCTGTAATAAGTAGAAGAGTGTATTTATAACTAGAGTCGACGACGTTTGACCCTGGCAATTGACTCACCTTGACACAGATACCACAACCGATGCAAAGCTCTTCGGACAATGACGCTATCTTCGACGTGGGTGTTACCTCGATGCACAATTTGCCCATGCGCACGACTGGACATGATTTTTTGCATTCCTGCCGACAACGCTTCGGTTTACATTTGTCGTCACTGACAATGGCGATACGCGTCTGCTTGTCGGTCTCTTCGTGCTCCTTTCTGCGAGACATGCTGCAATTATCCAAAAGCAGATTAGTAAAACCACTTCCTAGTATTATTTTTCCAATGTCAACGTTGCAATTTGCAAGCGCATGTCACTCATTTAATCACACAGTCAAAACAAACGGGTGTGGGGGTGCATGTGTACTTTCAGCATTGAGTGAAAGTATAACCTCAAACTCCTCAAAACAAACGAATTCAACAAACAACTGATATGCACTGTGACATTTAATGGCTAGCCAAAGCCTTGCAATTGCTGATTATTGATGTGTTTGCTTTAATTTACCTGCGAACTTGTCCGAAATTATTTTGAAATGGGGCGAACGCTCTTGCGTGTCAGCCAACAACGATTAAAAGGAGAGTTCGCACGATACTACTTTGTAGTGGTGGGCGACAGTATCGATAGGATTTATGCAAACAGAGAAAACAATGGAAAAATAAATGAACCGCAGTGAAATAAACAAACTAATGACAATTTAAAACCACCGCATGCAAATTTACACAAGCATATAAAACAATAATTAAGAGAAATAACAAGTGAGGCGCAACTGTGGTACTTTTTATCGATAATTCTCACATTCATCGCCTTCGAACGCCCATCCCTACTGCCATACGAAAACAATGATGACGTTTAACGTTTGACGACGTCGTGTGCATTTGGATTCGGGTTTTTGTAAAATTTGGATTTTTGTAAAATGGTCGTCGAAGAACCGTCTAGCGCCGAAAATGTGGAGAAGATTGACAGTAGCACGGCCGTATCGGAGCCAGCTAAAATCTTCACCGTTGAAAGTTAGTAAACGCACCAAGTAAAGGGAAGCACCCAGCAGCGACGCTTCTTAACCTAAAAATTGTGTTCATAAATATGCATTAAACTTTCACAACCCTTTGCAGTACTGCACATGATCAAAGATGCGCAACAACAGCATGGTCTGCGACACGGTGACTATCAACGCTATCGTGGCTACTGCACGCGTCGCATCCGTCGTCTGCGCAAGGCTCTGAAGTATCCACAGGGGGATAAGCGCCACTTCAAGAGACGCGACGTTACGCTCTCTCAACTGACGGGCAAGCGGGCGGACGAGCGTTACATACACATTCCGCTAATCAGTGCGGAGCGCGCCTGGGCCTATGCTATGCAACTGAAGCAGGAGGCGAATACGGAGCCGCGGAAGCGTTTCCACTTGATTAACAAGATGCGACGTGCCTGTTTCTATGCCCTCCAATTGCAGGAGCTGTGCAATGTGAGTGTACAGAAATATTAATTAGAATCACCTTCCTAATTCCTAATTTGTACACAGTCCGAAGCATTTGATGCTCGCACCAAGCTTGAATGCGAAGCCTATGTGGCTTGGATGCACGGCACACTGCACTTTGAGCTACAGCTCTGGAAGACGGCTGGTGAGCACTTGAAACGTGCTCAGGTCGTCTATGAGAACCTAGCTAAGGCTTTGCCCGACGATGAGCAAGAACTGTATCGAGCCAAAGTCAATGAGTTCACGCCCAACTTGCGTTATTGTGCCTACAACATTAGCGGTGGGGCCAGTGGTGGAAATATCGATGAAATTTTGGAGCTACGCGCCCAGGGTGTGCTTGAGAATTTGGATGTACTCGTGAGCCAGACTAAAACTGAGAGTAGCGAAGGCCTTCAAACGATCGACTGGCGTGGTCGCAAAGTTACTGTTCGTCCGGAGAAGGTGCGCCTGTTTTTGCTCAGTGCCCAAGAGCTGGACAAATCGTTGGCGAAGGCCACCAAAGTGGATGCCAAGATTGAGCTGATTGAACGGATTTTAATGGATTGCAAGGATGCCATACAGGCTGTGCGTGATGAGATAAAGCAGGATCCCAAGCTGCGCTCCCTAACCACCGGCCAGACAGTGTCGGGTGTGCAATATTTATTAGCGTATTTGAGCTACATTCGTCACAGCCGCACGTTGCAGCGCAATTTGTGTCTGGTCGAACAAGTAAGTGATGTCCAACATCAGCTTTTTTCAAAGTAAACCTATCCATTTCTTTTATTGCAGGCCAAGCTTAACTTTTACGATCCCAACCAGCAGTCCCAGATTGTGGGAGATGGCAAACGTGTACGCTCGCAAGATCTGGCGCGTCTGTATGAAATCATTTTGCAGAATGTGACGGAAATGCAGCAAATCAGTGGCATGGAGGAGGATTCTCGGTATCAAGAAGAAGTCTCTAATTTGGCGCTTACTTTTAAGGCCTTCCGTTGCTATTATATTGCGCTCACGTTGATCGACATGAAAAAATGGAAGGAGGCAGTAGCGCTATACGAACGTGCTTCGAACTATGCCAGCGAGGCACTGAAGGGCAAGACCAGTGCCGAGTTCCAATTGCAAGCTGAATTAAAAAAGCTTGTCTCCACCATCGATGGTTGCAAATTCTCTGCCCATGCCTACAGCGTGCTGGAGGATGATAACAGCGAGGACGCGAGCTCCAATGCGAAAGCTCAGAAGACAACGAAGCCGCTGTACGAGCGTCTATCACAATACAAAGAGGACCAATCGCTGCACACTAAAACACCCAATGTATTCAAATTAACACCCGATATGGAACCTATACCATGTAAGCCGCTATTCTTCGACTTGGCCATGAATTACTTGGAGCTACCTTCTCTGGAGGACAAATTGGAATCACCTGGAAAGAAGGGTGCTTCAATTACTGGCTTTGTCAAAGGATTTCTTGGTTGGGGCGGTGCCGGCAATAAATGAGAGTCGCGCAAAAAATAAAGATAAAGTACACATGCACCTTTTGCGGAATTCCAAGTTAATGTTGCTTTTATACATGGCCCGTTTTTCTGTTGATTTGTAAGTTTTTGTTTATGCTTTTACACGCCGCAGGCTTTTTATATATAAAATAGAACACTTTTGTTGTGACAAAGAATTTACGAAAGTGTAGAAGATTTTGGTAATAAAGGAACCCACAATAAAAATGTGGTATGGCCACAGCCGACGGTTTATTAAGCGCATATTTTACACTAAACTACATTCTAGTCGAAAGATGAGCACGACGAAAGAAATTTTTACCACTGGTTTGCCTTTTTTCTATAGATAACATTTAACCTATAACTTTGTTATAAATCTACACAAAATTGATTTCGATAAAAAATTAGAAGACAATTTCAAGATTTTCTTTCTATCAGATAGCAGTTGAACTTTCTGTTTCGTCACTAGGATTGTATTGGATTATACCTACATATATACATATTCCGATTCTCTATGGATATTTTAGAATTAATGGTTACTTGTTCACGTACTTTGGATCTGACCTTTTGGGTATTTATTGAATGGTGATGAAGTATTTATCTTGATGAGATTATATATACGTTATTGAAGTCCGGAATATTTATATATAAATAAATCGTGTATTTAAAGAGCACCTAAAATCAGAAAGCAATATAATCTTGTACATTCCTAAGAACAGCTTTCACAATAGAATTATCGAAAAATGGAAAGACCTTCAGGGTTTTCAATTCATGCTCATCTCTACAATTGACTACGTACAAGGTTCCACGCTCAGGTAGCCGTGTTCGTAGAATTCTAGAACTAATTCCCTAATTCGGACATGATATTCCTGCGTCAGTTTCTGTGTGCATTTTATCTCTTTAGCTCCGTTCAAGTTCAGCTCACTTATCACATCCAAATTGGGTATGTTATCCGGATCGAAAGTCACGGCGGGCAGTATCCACATACATATGGCCAAGCCATAATGTACATGACGCACATACTCAGCACTTAGGCGTTGCAGGGAAAAGGTTTCGTGAAGATTGTTCAACTGATGGGACGCAGATGTGTGTCGCAACTGCTGGTCCAGTTCTCTGGCCAAGTTCTCGGCGTAAGCAGCCAGTAAGGTGTCCGTATGTACATCCCTCAGCTGACGACGCGTGCTCGTATAGATGAAGTGGAGTATGTCGAAAACCGGCGAGGTGCGGCGCATGGCCTGCAGATCGAAGAAGATGGCCTCCTCCGGCTGTGATCGGAACATAATATTGTTGACCCACAGATCACCATGGCAAATGACGCTCATCTGGGAACTGCTGGAAATATTGATGCCGTCCTGCAGTTGCTGAAAGAGGCGAGGCTGCATTTGCTCGATCAGACTAATGGGCGCTGTTAGACTGCCATCCCCATTCGAGGCGTGCAAACTGTCCAATGCCTGCTGCACCGAGGTGTCCAGTATGCGGGAATAGAAGTCGGCCGCATCCGGACAATAGACAATCTCGTTCAGCTGCGCGCATTGCTCTGTAAAGTGTGTCGACTCCAAATGTTGGGCTGCCAAAGAGGCGGCATGTAGCTGAGCCAGTTTCTAAAAAGATGAGAGTAGCCAATGAAAGCAATTTTTGTTTTAAAAGGGGGAATACTTATAGGGAAATCTCTCGAACACACTAATCACAATCACTTTTCGGTTTCGATAAAGCATCCAATAATTGAGGTTGCATACAATTTTAATTTAGAAAATAATAATAAATATTTCTGTTTGCACTTGTAATGCTTTTATGTGCTTTTGGGATAGGATAGAATGACTTATTTTTGTATACTCGTATTTAATAGCTCTATTTTACGTACTATTTGCATTTTACATTTCGAATCGAATCCTTTGGAATCGATTTAGTAATATATTTTTTAAATTTCACGAAGTGAGCGATTTGCTTGCCAGCAGGCACGAGATTTTGAAGACAATTGAAAAATCTAAGGCCTATTCAAATTAAAAAAAAGGATCGATATCTGTATCTAACTAACAGATGGATATAGACATACAATATGAGTTAGTTCAGCGAAATTTTGTTTGGTCGCTTTTTGATTGAAATAGTTTTACATTTTACTGACTTCATAAAAAAATCTTAATAAGAGATTATGCTTGAATAATAATAAGTAAGTAAGTATTAGCATATTTCAAACCTCCGGTTACACTCTGTCGTGACGAAGTGGGTCTCCTATACTTACCTTCATGACCAGCAAACATTGTCGCAGCTCCAGGCCGGCAATGCGATTCTGCATGTGAAAGCCCAATGTCTTCAGGTCCTGTAAAACAATGATTGGCTCTCCACTGGTGCCCTGCTCCCGATCGTGGGTGTCCGCGATGTGACAGTAGGGAAACAATTGCTGTTTGCTGTAGCGACGAAGGAGGGGAACGACATGGCGATAGGCGTTGATTTCATTGCTGAAGGCCTCCTCGCAGCGATAGAGCTGGCGCCGAGAGAGACTCGGAATTTGTCGTTTGATGATAACGGTGCAGCGGCACGAAGCCGGCGCTGCTGCAATGAGAACGAAACACACAAAACGAAATACAAAACAATAATAGCTGAGCTAAGTTACTCGCACACAAACACACAACAGGCAGAGAGAGACGAAAAACTTTAGCTCGTGTGGCTAAACAGCTGTTTTTTGTTTACAATACAATGCGCGTAGTAAAATTTATGAATGAAAATCATCGTGTGTGTGAGAGAGCGGCAGATAGAGAGCGCTTGTGTGCTGGTGTGTGTGTGTGTGTGAGTGCGCGTTGACCTTTATCGCAAATTTATATTACGTATACGTATGGGTGTATTTGTGCATTTAGAATGCATGGCCCAAGGTCAGGCACAACAGTGGCGGCGGCGGCGGCGGTGGCAGCAACAAAAAAAAAAATCAATAGACTAAACGCTTCACTAAATGCACTACACACCCGCACAGCCGCTCTCAAACACATCCTTTACCCATTTCACTGCCCTCGTAGGCCGCATCCCCGGCATCGTAGATGCTCACACGCTTCACCACAGACATGTAATTGTCTCCACTGCTGCTCCCCGCACTGCACTCGATGTGAGATATTTGAAAGGACACCAAATGGTTGTGACTGAACAGTTGGCGCAAATGCTCGACATTCTCCTCATATTGATTGGCAACGGAGGCGGCTGCACTGGTGTTGCTGTTTGCCTGACATTTGTCTGGGTTGTTGCTGCTGACAGCGGCCAATGCCATGGCAGCAGTTGAAGGTCCTGTCGCTGTCGCTGCCGCTGCCATTTCCGCTGTGCTTTGTTGCATTGCAGCTGGCGCTCTTTTGCTCACTGCCACAATTTATAGCTGGTCGATTGGCTAAAAACCTCTTTAATTTGTTGTTTATGCTGCTGTTGCATTTTCACGTTGACATACAAAATTGTATTTTATTTAGTTCTTATATATTGGGTCAGCAGCTCATATTTATAGTTTCATGTGATTTTGCATATGCATTGATTTTTGTTTATTTTTATATTTCTTCTGTTTGTTTTTTTTTTGCGTAAAATGAATTTCAAATTTGTTTTATTTGCTGTCTTTTTGTTTTGCTGTCTTTTTTTTTAGCACATTTATGCGAACGCGCACGCAAGAACTTAAAATCGACAAACCGCACGATTTGCTCCTCAAGCGACAACTGAACACAATCTTTTTTGTTGTTTGAAAAAATCGCAAATGCAACGGAATGAGCAAAAGAGTTTAAAATGCAGTGCTCAGAATGCTCATGAGAACGCTTTCGCAGCGCCACCTGGCGTGCGGTGGCCGCAGCTGCCCATAGACAGACAACAACGGCGTCATCTGCTTCGCTCTCCCACCTGACACTCGAACATTTGTAGAAGTGTGTGTGAGAGTGTGTATGTGTGTGTTTATGTGATGCATTTGAAAGCCGGTAGCTGAAGCAAATGTGGAGGCAATCATGTCGTCCGCTCGCCGCTCGCCGCTGCGCCGCGTTCAAGGTCATGCTCGCACTTTCACTCAAATAGGCAGCAACACATGCGGCGTATGCTTAATGCATGCGGCGGATGTTGATGTTGCGGTTGCTCATACGCCGTGTGGTGCGTGGCTGGAAAAGTCGTTAACATTGGAATGACATAAATTGGCGTGCACTTGAAATTGAAATTTTATATGAGACAGTCCTTGGACTGCAGCGGGCATTTTATTTATTTATTTGTTCATTTGCCTTTTGTTTATATTTTTTGATTTGTCATTTTTTTTTTATTTAGAAAACAACAAAAATACTATCATATGTGAACTGTGAATACAATTTAGTTCTGCAGCCTAATTAAAGTATAGCCTCAATAGCTCGAATTACTAAAAATTCTGAATCTTCGGTGATAGAAACTTAAAATACATAGAATTGATTTTTGATGAATTAATCATAAACCCATTTTTCAATTGTTCTTTTAATTATCAAATACTATGTCTATTAATTAAATTATTACTCTTCGTTTGCAGAAATTGAAAAAGAAAACAAAACAAGGTCCTACGAATACAGCAGCAAAAAGGGAAACTAAAGTCATCATAAAGAAGACATATAACAAACAAACCTTATTTAAACATCAGCCCTCACAGTAAATATATGAAAATTAAATTCAGGTAACAATAAGACCACGGGTCAATCCAAAGTCAAAAATCTGCAAAGCAGATGTTAAGACAAATGACAAATGAAACTAAGGGAATAATGTATGTACATACTATATTTAAATGTCAATACACTGTTTTGCCCCTTTGTGCATTTTTAAACTCAAGCTTTCAAACACTGATTTCTTCAATCCATTACTATCAATTCTCAGCGTTCCAACATCTTCCAAGTCCAATGAATGTTGAAGGTGCGGCCACCAATGCTGATACTAATGTCAAGGAATATCCATTTTGGAGGATACTGTGTTAATTTGGATAAACTTGATTTGAATGCATAAATTAATATTAAATATAATACAAGACACTTATTTAAATTCAAGACTCTTTCACACTTTTGTGGACCATAAAGCATAAGCTACTGCTATGAACATGCTCTGGTACATCGTTCACAGGCGTAAATATTTTAAATAATAAATTTTATTATTACTAAGATGAAATATTATATTTGTTGATTTTTTTCGCTTATACAAATATTTACTAATATTTATACTATAGTGTGAAATTCTTTAAACTAATGCCATTGTAAAGTAAATTATTCGTATGAATCATCGTCGTGAAATCCTTATGCAATACACTTGTATTGGTTAGCCAATCTAAGTTGAGGAGAGAAAAGGTCAAAAACCAATCTCATTAACAACATAACAGCAATAATAATAAGCAACATAAACAATTTGCTTATTTTGCATGCAACAACCACAAGTATAAATGACTATTAATTAAATATCAAATTGGACACAGTCAATAAATAAAATCAACAATTGGCCACTCCCATAACAAAATTCATACAGCAACAACAGCCAAAACAACAACCATAATAACAATGGGGCAAGACAAGCCACGCACCTGCAACGCCAAGCTACGCCACCTACGCCAAGACAAGAAAGTTCAAGGCTATCATCAACCAACAATCTTACAGATAAACAAATGTCTTTAACCCGCCCAGTGAGCGCAAAGGCGAAGTAATCACAGACTCTCATTCTGGCAAGCTTCCGCATGAGCTGACAGCAGTTGAATAACCCGAGTGTAAGCAAAAACAACAAAGACAACAACTGCTCACAAATTAGGGTCAAACATGTGCAACATAGTCTCAGCCTCAGTTGAGCAGAAACAACAATAACTTCGCCATTAGATTCAGGGTCAGACAGCAGCTGCTCGCTTGGCTACACTTTCAAATCACAGTCAGATTCTAAGATCAACTTGTCAAGCGCACCTAAGTTAGTCAGCAAAGTATTTCAACAATTGTATTCAAGCACTGTGGGATAGGTAACGACTAATTCGGATCAACAGTTGGAGAGAGTGGAAATACTTTATAAATATAATTTATGTATTTTATGGAATGAATAAAATATGTCTCAGCAATTTTATTTTAATTTTTCGTTTGAAGGAGGGCAAGGTTTTAACTCTACGTAGAACATGAGATAATCTTAATATTTACAACAACAAGATGAAGTAAAGTAATAAAATAAATAGGGATATCAAGACATGAATGCTAACGGGTGGACGGACGGATGCTGATTAATGCTGAAAATAAAAGTTGGATCGGAGATGCGCATGGAAATACAACACTCTTCTTATCTGTGAGTCAGTTGAGTTGAAAATTTCCAAAAGAAAATGCGAAAATGCAAAGGCCATTTAATTTCACGGAAGCAACCAATATTATTTAACTGGCTTATACATTTCTGTAACCCACAGTGCGGCTGAGTAATATTTTAGTGCTGTGCGTAATTACGCGTTGAGGTGACCTTTTTTGGCGGGCGTTTTATGTAGAGCATGAGAAAAGATACATATTTGTGTAAACACAACCTTAGTTTGTCTGCTTAATGGCGCGGAGTAACAGAAACAACAATTACAACAACAATAGCTTGACCTAGGTCAGGTGTAATTTTTGTCTGCCACTAATTAAAGCCGCGTGCGCCAGCGCTCTTGTTTAAAGCAATTCTTAATTATTTGTAATGTAAACCTACCAACTGAATTATTTGCACGAATTCGAGTGCATTTATTTATTGTTGTTGTTGTTTTTCCTCCTTATTTTACGCCTTCGTTTGGAGCGCGCTCAAAGCTTCGAGTGGAAACTCAATACACAATACTTGCGTTGGCTTTTTGCCTTGTTTGCTTTAAATACTGTTGATATTGTTGTTATTGTTGTTGTTGTTATGCTCAATGTGGTTCGTGTGGCATTCAACAGCGTTCACATAAAAGTTGGCCGTCTCGCTATTCTAAGATCAGTTACAAACTAAACGTCGCGTGGTGCTCGGGAACGGAACGGATCTCAACTCTCGACTAGAAGTTGCAATTACAAATCAAATATTACTATTTATGTGAGTGTGTGCGTGCGTGTGGGAGTGCTATAATTGATTTATATTTAAGCCCTGCCCACATAAAATCGGGCTAATAATGTGATATGCCAAAAAGTGTAACGCATAACGTGGGCTTATGCTAATGCCTCAGACTCGATTAAAGCCTGCATACCGACAAGACCTTGACTTTGGTTTTCCGTTACAATACAAATGGCCCTGAAATTGCAACTTAATTTGTGCAGCCGCTTCACCTTGCATAAAATTATAACAAATTTTCCTTATTGACAGTTATTACACATTCATATAGAAGTTGTGCGGCTTTGGATCAATGCTAGTTTTAACTACGCGCGTCTTAATTAAAATATTTTTATTTCGAACGCTGTACAGAAATATGTGGACTTCATAAATGCCATAAAGTAGCAAATGTAATGGCCGAAACTTGTCACTTAAATCAGATGATAAAAAAGCTCAACAATATCTTTATATGCTGCAATCAGACCATTAACAAATATCACTGAAAATGTTCCGTTCTTGAAAAGTAAACATCAGATTTACTGATTATTCTTTCTTGCAAACTTTTTAGACTAATTGTTAATTAGTTACAGAATTTATAGAAAATACTCAGATATGTGCAGCAAAAAATAGGTCATACTATTTTCGTCGTAGCTAAAAAAGTTGTATTCATATTCTTATAAACGATAACTTCAAAAAATGAAACTTCATATACTTAATTCTTAAGTGCAGAGAAACCCTCTCAATTTCAGTTGCACGAATTTTTGTAGGTTCCGCATATTTAAGTTCTCATTTTATAAATAGCCCAATATTTTGCAATTGGTCTCAGTTCAGAACAATTTGGCAGTTTTATTTCCTGTTCAATAATGCTCTCCTTTCAAAATGAAATGAGGCTTAATCGAGTAAAAATAATACAAATAGAGACTGTCTGAAACACTTAATTAAAGGCAACAAACGCTTTTCGAGACAAATTTGTAGACCACACTGACAAATAGTCAGCTAAATACAAATTTTTTGGGGAACTTATCCAAACTCTTGGTTCTTGTACCTGTCTATATTTAAGTAAAAAACTATGGACCATCTAGTATTTATCGAAAATATACGGCTTCTTATTTGGAACACATTATTGCAACTAGTAGCTTTTTCAAAATGATTTCAATGCCATAAGAAAGAGAAGATGATAAAATGTAAAAACCCATACAGATAGTATTGCAAATTGTTTTTAAATACACAACAGAGCAGAACTTATCAGAGAGTAACAACTCCCCTCTCCACATCAATAAAACAATTCAACATTTGTTCTTTAAAAAATATTGTTTTTACAAATGAAATTAATCGAATAGCTCCTGCATTTCTCTACAGTAGCTTTACGCAATTATATAAACCTTCAAAACGAACGCAATTTGTTTCTTTTTCTGCACTTTCGATATTGTTTGTTGGGGAAGACTCGATTTCAAATTTCTTTCCCAAATAAACTCTTTTGTGTTCGTTACACGGTAGACTTCTTTTATGAGTCACATTTTATGCGAACTCAATTTTAGCGACACTTGCTCGAGTCCAGTGTTATCAAGAACTACAATTAAACGACCACAAAAACGTTACCACTGCACTTTGCAAGATCGAACAAAAAATTGTGCAAAAAGTTCATGGATAAGCGCCAGACAGCGACAATAAAAAGCAGCAACAACTGTGTATCTATGTATGTAACAACGACAATGGCTAAGGCTAGAGGCTGAGCTTAGATAAGTAGCGTCAAGCCTTCAGTCAAAACTGGTGCAACAGTCACTCGTTTTTTGCTGTTGTTGTTGTTGTTGTTGTCTAGAAGCTGAGCGATAATTGATTTTCCGTAAATAATTTATGACGCCTCGCAATTGACAGGCAGATTAAAGCGTCCAACAACAACGAATGCACAGTTTCTGTTACACTTGTATGGGCTTAGTTTTTGTTTGGGATATCATTTATTAATTTGCAATCACTAGAAGACAGAATAGAATGCAATGTTAAATCGCTGAAGAATATGTACAAAGTTTGGTATTTCAGAAAGTTTATTCGAATTATTAATATGCAACTGGCAAAACTATGCTATATGTTATTATGACACAACATAATATAAAATATTCTGTCTTTAAACACAAATAGGTAGAATTCTGAAACTGAAATTCAGTTTTTAATAGACATGTTTAACGAATATTAAACTCAAGTCAAAGTAAAAATGTGCGGATAGTGCCCGTCAATGAGAACGCTTATAGAACTCCCCGTTTCTTCTTGCCTTTGCTCTTCTTCTATGATTGGTTTTACCAGCATTTTATTTCGATTTTACGTAATTCCTTTTGTACTTATTTTGATATATAGTAATAGGTCCTATTACAAGTATTTTGCAAATTCAGCACCTCTCATCTATTATCAGCTTACCCAAAAGTTTACTCTGCTTGGGGCTTTCGTTAAAGTTTTTATTCACGGTCACAACAGCTCTAGCCGACGTCGTTAAATGGCAGCATCCTAAATAGCTTTATTTGGACAACCAAAATATTAGAAGCCGAATCAAACGCTCTTACACTGCAGATAACGAGAGAGCTAAATCAAAAGTTGATTTGAGACATATTCTATGTAGAATATAATAACCTTTTCTGGTGTCTTTTTCCGAAGCTCACTTTTGAACATTTTCCATAACTAAGTATTTACAACATGAAGTGTTTTTTTTTTTTTAATTTCTTTTTCAGATCATGTATGCCAGCCATGTTTCACTCTTACTGGCCTCTTGCTTGGCCCTTTCTATGCGATCAGTTGAAGCACAATTTTTCTACCATCAGGGCCTGAGTAACGCCCTGCCCAGTTTGTCTCTAACGGCGGCCTCACACTATGAGCCCGCATCGGCATATCAAGGATATGCAACAGCCGACGCACATCCTTCTGTAGTTAAGAACGCCCAATGGGAATCCGAGCTACCTCCAGAACTGTCAAAGAGTGCGCGTTTCTACAGTGATCCGCACATTGCAGCCAACTTGGCTAAGGAGTCGTTACTTACACGCAAGGAATCGGCCGTGGTGGACCGTGAGGCAGAGAAAATTCCACGCGAAGAGGTCTATAAGCTATTAAAAAATGCCGGCTACCTAAGTCGAAGATAAAAATTGAACAGTGGTTTAAAATATTTAAATGTGCCGATTGTTTTTTAGTTAGTTTGTAATTTGTTAATATATATGTATATTTTTTTTAACAAAAATCTATCCACGATTTTATGATTATTTCTGTACATGATTGAAGACCTTTGACCACTAAGCTTAAGTATAGCTTTGCTCGACATTTCTCGATAAAATAAACTAAGGGAATAAATATTTATGGAGAGGATTTGAATTGAGGACTAATGCATTGTTTAATTAACTTCAGACTCTTCGGGGATGAAAAATAATTTAGAGTCATTGTCACAATCTTCTTAAATATTAAAAAAAGTTAAGAAGAACCAATAGCTTCTCTGTGGCTAGTCTTAGTCTAGTTTATTTAAAGAGGCATCCTCTAAAATGTGTTTCGCCTGGATAACCCACACTTTATAATCATAAAATTTTGTTGTACGCCATGTTCTTGGCTTCAATAAATTTATATTTCAAGTCGCATAACTTATGAACTTATTTTGTGTGTCAGAAGCTAATGGTGTTTTCGGGTTTCAAATCCATTTAGCAGCTAGAGGGCTTGCTCTTACGCAAGGTGATGTCCTCCAGGCGGCGCATTTGGTCATGGGTCAGCTGTAACTCCTTGATATCCATGAGGAAGGTATCGGTAGGATGCTTGAGGCACTTCTCCCTCATGCGCCCGTAAAAGTAATGTTTGCAATCGCCGCACTGATACGACTTCGATGGGCGCTCACAGATGCATTGGACCGTCTTGCGGTCCATAGAGCTTTTTTCCCCTCATCCCGTTCATTGACAAAGAGTCGCCGACACTGTGATGTGCCAGACGATTGCGAAGTGGTTGGAGTTTTTTCGTGCATCATCACGCCACGATGGGAGTAAAGAAGCTTCAGACGAGCTGCTATGTCTTCGGGATCCCTTTTTGGGAACTTCTATCGGGGTATATTAAATTGTGAAATGCTCTTTGCTAACAGAATTTACTAATTCTGCGATTCTTTAATGTTTCTTTTGATGTCACTCAAATTTTTTTTAACAAGTACTGGGTTAAATAAATAGTAAATACTTTGATTTATAAGGAGCCATCCATTTTAATTGAGCTATAAATTGTATGTACATCGTCTTCTGATACATGACTAAATAATCAAGTTTGCTTTCAATGATAAAAATAGTGCCTGAAGCAAACTTTTCAAAAATTCAGCCGCAAATGGGGCAAACTGTTTTAGTTGTAAAACCAGTTGTTCCACCAAATCAAAATGCCGTTTTGTAAAGATATAAAGTTATATATCATATATGGTTATCAAAACTTGGAAGTACTACTACTACTACTTGAATATGTATGTGTATATATAAAGTATAAACATCTGTATCCAATTATTGCACATACAACTCGGCGCCATTACCAGGAAATGTGGCGAAAACTGCGTCATTAAAATCATTTGCCTGATAACGTTCCAGTATGTGGGTAGGTAAATGAGCAAAATATTCACGTTTCAGCACATTAATATATTCAGCAGCTGCATCAATTGAATCACACATCGCCACAATACAACCACCCCAACTGAAAATAAGGAGAAGCAGCAGTTGAAAATTCGATATGTTCAGAAAATATCCTCTCAGGCTTACCCGGCTCCTGTAATGCGTGCACTTACGCCACATTTTGCGGATATGTCTATTAAACGTTCCACATCGGGATGTGAGCATTCGTAGAGCTCCCGTAGACTGTGATGCGACTCGCGCATTAGCTGGCCAAGCTTAAGAGTGTCCTGTTCATTGGCACGGCCCGCCAATTTCTCACATATATCACGAAATTTGGTCACACGGCCAGTTTCTGTAAAAATATTTGGATAAAACATTACATATTACATTTTGAAAATAGTATTTCCATTTATAAAGGATTGGAGATGCTAATGCATATCATTAGCTCGTCTATGTACATATATGGATCTACATTTAACGAAATAAGCCTAAAGAATATATGAACCTCGATTAACGCAGACGATGATCATACAAATAATTCACATAGACACATAAATTGAAATTATGTAAAAATGAATATATGGATATGATTTCTAAGTACGTTGCAAACTTAAATAATATGGAAAAGTGTCTAGGTTCGGGCTAAAACTTCGATTTAACTCTTAAATACATTTTCTACATATTTATATATGAGGTTATGTGAATTAAGATCGGGTATATAAGTATAAGGCTACCCACCCTGTATAACGTGAGCAGCTCGCTGTCGCAACTTGAATTCTTGCATATGCTGCGTGTTCGGCGTTAGAAATTGGGTCTCTAATTCTTGCTCCGTAATTCCCAGTTCCTTGCATATGTCAGCACGTGTGTAGACTGGTTTTATTAGCACTTGCTCGACCAATTTCTCGTAGGACGCATTATCGAGGTCACAGGCATCTTCAAGATCAATGAATCTGATGACTTGGCGCCAGTTAGGCAATTTCTTGTGCTTGGCCAGCCAACGTGTGGCCAAACGACATTCAACCACACGTTCGTTGTAGTCCGAGGATGCAGCCTTATTCTTCTCAGCCAGACTGTTGGCCACCACAAAGCATTTGCCAACGGGTAGGACAATTGGTGTTCCCTTTAGCTTCGGATGAAACTCAATATGCTGGGCACATCCTGCTTTTCCTAAATAGGCTATAGCCTGATCCATGCCACCACTTTGGGTGCCAATGTAGCACTCGCAGCTTGCCGATATAGAAGCCAGCTCCTTGCGGTCCAGCGGCATGTTCTGCACATGGGCCGTCGCCAAGACAGCAGCGCTGACCAAAGCACTGGAACTGGACAAACCCGATGCTGGGGGCACATTACCGCTAAGAGCGACTTTCATGCCCAAGGGACGCCATTTGCCGCCTAGTGCTTCCTGAATACCCTTCACGCCACAAAGATAATAATTGTACCAGGCCGGACCACCAGTTTTGGGTAGCACAATGCTGAAATTCGAGCTGGGATTAGTACACATCACATCTTCTTTTGTAGGGGCTGCTTACTTTACCGACTTCAGATCACAACTAAAGTCGCTGAATTTGCCTTCGTCCAGATTTCGTAATTGCAGTTTTGAATCCTTCGGCGTGCGACCGATAGCCAAGATAATGCTCTGATCAATGGCCATGGGCAGCACGGGGTATCCACAATAGTCCACATGTTCGCCAATAATGTTCACACTGCAGTCATATAAATATTTATAAGTGGTATACACAATTCAAATTTTAAGAATAACTTACCGGCCAGGCACCCGCACATAGAATTCGGGCTCTTCGCCGAATTGCTTTTTATAGAATGTACCCAGCTCCTGCAGACGTGTATAAATTTTAGCCTTGGAAGTTAGCTTTTGTACTTCAACATGCTCCGCACCCCCAACGTGTCCATTTCCATTAGCTGACATATTATTCCTAAAACGTTGACGGTTACAAATGATTATTATATGGGGTTAAATTCGTTATTGTGCTGCAATGACGCAGTGCAATGTACTGTAAACGTGTCGCAAATAAACTTGTTAATGCAAATACGACAGCAATTCAAATAAATAGCAACCAACACGTACAAACATACGTATCAAAGTAAACATAAACAGAGGTGCAAATGACTGCTTATCAGTCCACGTTACCTTATCACAGAGTCAAAACGGACAATTGTACAATTACAACTAACTAAGCATGACGGCTTAATCACTAAAGGAAATTTAACACTTGCTGCTAATCAACATAAGCTGCTGTTGCAAATTTGTTCTTAATTGAAAAAACAAATTTATAACCAGAGAGTAAGAGAGAGAAAACAGAATGCAACGCGCATCTGCCGGTAATGGCGGGAGAGTGAAATTAACAGCTGAGCTGACGGCATTGCCAGATGATAAAATTGCATAATTGGCGGCTTGTTTAAATGTATTCTAGCAAAATGCACTACGCACGCAAACCAAACTTATATTTTACTGCATGATCGTTTTTAAAAGTCTTTTCTACATACATACTTTGTTAGTTAAACAATTCTATGCTTATCTTTGCGTAGCTTTCCTAAACACTTGTGTCGCTTTTACTTGTTATCAGAGTCAAGTTTCAATGACTTTGTTTTTTATGACAGGCGTGATGTGAACGCTACGAATGCTAGCACCCAACTAACAAATTGTTCCCATTAGGTTTCCGCTTTTGTTATGCCTACTATCGCTACCATCGTAATTCCGTATTTTGTTTAAAAGAGGGACAAACTTGAGTTTTATTTACATTTGTTGTGTTGTTATCAGATCAAGTGGGTCACGCAGTCTTCATGCAACGGATCATCACTCTTTTTGCCTACCAAATGTGTTTTGTCGAAACAGGTTTCCTAATTAATTATGCATAGTGTTCAAGAAACGTGTTTTTGAAAATGCATTTGCTTTTCTTTATAATATTTTGGTTTTGGGGACTTTTTAGTGCACATGTGAAATGTATGTGACCAGCAGCGTGCTTCTTTAAAAGTATATGTGTGCATGCTCAAGTGCTTGTTTATGTGATTAAGTGAACGATATTTTAATGTATTATAGTTTACTCGTGCATGCGGCAAGTTAATGTGCAGTAACCTTTAATTTAACCCTAATCACGAACCATACAACATATATTGTGTAGATAGACTATATTTAAAATGAGTTTCTACCGTTAAATAAAATGATGGATGCTGCTACTATCTGGCAATCTTTATTTGGCCAAGTGGCAGCATAACTTACTGGAGCTGTAAGAACTGACAATAGCGCGATTGAGATATTTATATATACACATGTTCAAATCGAAATAAGTATATTATGTATAAAGTATTAATTTCAAAAATAATTGGCACAAAAACTTTAATAGATTTTAAAGCATACTGCCAATAATCGATATTTCTGGCACTGCTATCGACTATTCTCCTCAAATGGCAACAACTTTGGCAAACTCATTCAAGTGGTGACAGTGACAACTCTATTTCTGATGTAGCCGCAACGAAAAACGAAAATTTGCTATATTATAATTTAAACTAGAATTGAGTAGAGAATCAGGTGCAAATAAGAAGGAGTTGAATTAAAAGGAGCTACAGATAACAAAAACGCGCAGACAATCGAATAGAAGATGTCTAGTTTACAACGTACAATTCTCAAGGGCAAATTGCCACCCACAATCACTGGGCGCATAGGCAGAGCGTAAGTTTTTTTTTTTGATGCTACACTGCTGCTATTGCTGGCGCGCACAACAATGTTTATAAGTGTGTGTGTGTGCGTGGGCAAGTGGAAAGGTGACAGCATCTAATTAATAGTTAATCGTTTCAATTACAGTGACTCCTTTAAAAAGTCGCGCATACGCGATTACACCCCAGTCATGTGGAGTGATTTTTTTGCTGAGAAGGAGGACGTCATGATTGATGAGCAGCGTACCTTTCGAATCTATCGGACCAAAAAACCCGAAAAGCCTGGACCAGTAATTTTGCTGTTACATGGTGGAGGATACTCAGCACTCACCTGGGCACACTTTTGTGTATGTATTGAAAAGTGCAGCGTGCCTGCAATTGTCGACATAAAGGGCGGTGTATAATTTCAGTATTCTGCATTTTGCATTTTAGTCAGAAGTCACAAGCATGATACACTGTCAGTGCTTGTCCATCGATTTGCGTGGCCATGGCGATACAAAGACGGATAATGAAGATGACTTGTCGGCAGATACGCTGTCAAAGTAAGTGACACAGCTTATTGGTTTTAAGTGTAATTTAAATTGGTTTGTAACCTTTTAGGGATATTGGCGATCTGATATTAAAGCTCTATCCCGATGAGGTGCCACAAATCTTTGTCGTAGGACATTCAATGGGCGGCGCAATTGCTGTGCATTTTGCTCACATGGCTCTTGTGCCCAATTTGATTGGCATTACTGTCATCGATGTCGTTGAAGGCACAGCCATGGAAGCGCTCGCCAGCATGCAAAGCTTTTTACGTTCGAGGCCCAAATACTTCCAGAGCATACCCAATGCTATAGAATGGTGCATACGTAGCGGACAGGTACGAAATGTGGATAGTGCCAAAGTCTCAATGCCTGGACAGATAATCAAGTGAGTAGATAACCACTTTAAAAGCAATAAATTTAAGTCAATTGAACAAATTTTTTTTATCAGCTGTACAACGAATCAGCTAGCAACGAATGACCTGCCCTTGCCTGATGAAGAGCTTGAAGCTGCCCAGCACACCAGTATGTTTCCGAATCCATTCAGCATTTCTGAAGACGAAGAAGTCGGCAACAGTGCTGATGATGCCGCAGCATCTGCCACCGATGAGGCCAGTGCCAATGATGATTCAGCAAATAGTGCAGACTTCAAAAAGCCCATTACGACCAAAGCACAGACAGATGCAGCAAAGAAGTAAGCACAGAGGTGCAGCATCAAGCAGCAGCATTAATGACATTTTTTTGCTTGCAGTTACACTTGGCGTATTGATCTATCTAAATCCGAAAAATATTGGGTGGGCTGGTTCTCGGGCCTCAGCGACAAGTTCCTTAATTTACGTCTCCCCAAGCAGCTGCTCCTGGCTAGCATCGATGGATTAGATCGCACACTAACCGTCGGCCAAATGCAGGGCCGTTTCCAGATGCAAGTCTTGGCACGATGCGGACACGCCGTGCACGAGGACCGTCCACATGAGGTTGCCGAGGTAATTAGCGGTTACTTAATACGCAATCGCTATGCGGAGGCAGCCGGTGAGTTCCGTTGCCACATGCCCTCCTGTTGAATATTTTATTCCTTGTACAAATTTTTTGGCACAAGCGCTAAAACAAATAACACAAATAGTTGTCTATTTTTTAATGGAAAATTATATGTAATGTACTAGGTCGCGAGACCGAAGCGCATGCGTGTATATGCAACAAGTAGTGTATAATAACAAGCCGATACATAAAATATTGATATAGACTACATATACTCTACTTATTTATTCGATTTTACAAATATACAATTATTAACTCTTGAATTTATATTAATTTATGCTCGTTTTGCCAATCGAACAATGAGAAGTATTCAGTAATTACTTTTGTTCCCAAAGTTGGGCTTCTTACCTTGTTAATATATCTGTATGTGTGCGTGTATGTATTTGTATTTAATGTGTGCCAGATTTAGTTATAATTAACACATGTTTACTATTACTATTATGTATAAATATATATATTAATATATATTTATGAATCCAATCAATTCAATAAAGCTATATAATTAATCGATCGAAATTCTTTTCGAATTATATTTAATTTTGTGCATTAATAATGCATTCGAAAACGATATTGTAAGTGTGAATGTATATGTATCCCTGAAAATACATGATGATTTTAATATCTCTGGAGGGTGTGGTCTAATTTTATTTTTGTACATGTATATTTCGCTGCATAAGTTACTGTATAGTGATGCAAAGCTATATATGAACGCAAATACCGCTGAATTTCTGCAAAAAAGGAGCTAAAGCTATATACACATATTGTTCTGTTATTTGTGCTAAATAAAGAATCTAAAACTATCTTCCTTGAATTCGAAATAGAATTAAGAATATACTATACTAGCGCCCTGCTCCAGCTTCGCGCGGGTATTTTTACAAAATTTTTAAAAATTATACATTTTATAATACACACGCACTTAGCACACATACACCCTTCTTTTTGCTATGAGTAACTATGAAGGAGTAAAATTTATTTTGGATATTATTATTTTATGATCTTTTGTTCGTTTTTAGTTTTTTTGTTATTCTTTATTAGGTCAGAGGTTCTCTGTAAAAGATATTTGATGTTTTATTTTGTGGTAGCAAAATAAATTGATTTTCAGAACCTCCGACTCGTGATAGGTCAACATACCGTAAAACATTGCTTTCGTATGTCGCTCCTCACTAATTTGAAGGCTTGGCCTGGGACTACCGGAAATTGAAGCCATATAAATGATCAAATGGGATCATCGGTATCCTCGTTATATTAGCTAGTTTACCAATTGCTGGGCCGTTGATAATTCTTTCTAATCTTAAATTGTCCTGCTATTCCTTAATAAACAGCCTCGTCCCATTGCACATGCTTGGAAGGCTTGAATTTCTCAAAAGCACGATTGCAATTCCGAATTTCACCGTCAATTCATGTTGCGGCAGCCCAGAAGGGTTTAGTGAATTTAAATATTGTATAATCATAAGCTTTTTTATGATTCCAAATATGCGAAATTATGTTGGCGAAATAATTGCAAAATAAGCGAAACGAAATTGTTCAATTTAAAAGATGTGCACAAATGTTTATTTTGCATAGGTAGCGATCGCCGAGATTTACAAAGTTTATGCTGGTAGACGGAAAGCTAAGCTTCTCCGTACCAGATGCGATAACGAAAAATGAACTTGACTTGCAGAGTTAGCGACAATAACTAGTACATATGTGGCGGCTGCGCAGCAGCCTATGCAAATTTATGGCAACAAAAGGAAACGTTAAGTGCTCGGCTTGCTATGCAAAGCAAGCGACAAGAAAACGAGCACTTTGCATTGAGTTATTTACGTTACTTATTAACTATGATGTGCTGCTGGTTTTGGCTGTTTTTGGCCGGATGACCAAACATACTCCCCCTGTTGAAGAACCAGGGTCTTCAACAACATCTTGTTTCGGCAGCGGGCATAATTTGCGAACGGCTCGCCGAATGGTTCCAGTGGAAGTCCTCAATTCTGCAACTCTCGACACGCCATCTGCGCCGCTGATGAGGCTGACCACCCTTGCTAATGGCCATTTGAGGGGCGGCAAATTCTCGTCCTTGACCAGAACGACATCATCAATGGAGAGTCCAGGCTGCGACACTCGCCATTTTGAGCGCTGTTGAAGAAGCGTCAAGTATTCTTCACGCCAGCGAGCCCAAAATATCTGCTGGTAGTACGTCACGCGCTGCCATCGATCCAGCCGATTGAAATTGAGCTTCGTCAGATCAGGCTCAACGTACGTTGACAGCGGAGCAGCACCAAGAAAATGAGCTGGAGTCAAGACATCGAGATCTGCTGGATGTTCTGAAAGGGATAACAATGGGCGAGAATTAATAATTGCCCCGATATGGCATACAAGCGTGCGCAGTTCATCAAATTCGAGCAGCGATAGTCCGACGGATCTGTAGAAATGATGCTTGGCAGTCTTTACAGCCGCTTCCCATAGACCACCAAAGTGAGGCGAGCGCGGCGGAATGAAACGCCAATCAATACAGTCAGCAAGGCAAAATTCTTGCACAGCCTGCAGGTGCTCGCTGGATTCAAAAAGACGCTTTAGCTCAGCCATCTCGTTCCGTGCGCCAACGAAATTTGTAGCGTTGTCAGACCAGATCCTCGTAGGTCGACAGCGCGTCAAAATAAAGCGTTTAAGTGCATTTAAGAATGCTCCGGTGGTTAAATCCTTCACCAACTCCAAATGCACAGCCTTGGTGGCGAAGCAAATGAAAATGCAAATATAGCATTTTATTGGTGCCTTATTGCGGACCTCGCTTTTGTAGAAAAACGGCCCACAAAAATCCACACCAGTGACCATAAAGGTATGTGAAGCATCAACTCGATCCTTTGGCAGGTCAGCCATAACATGCTCCACAAGACGAGGCTTGGCTCGAAAACAAATGGTGCATTTGCTGACTACGCTGCACACTGTTTTCCGACCGCCAATTGGCCAATACTGCAACCGAATTGAGGCCAGCAATGCACGAGGTCCAGAATGCAGATTACGGACATGGTAGTGCATAATGACTGAACGCGTGACTGGATGACGCCTTGGAAGTATAATTGGATGCTGGGCTTCAAAGTCGAGCGCAGAGTTACTTAGACGGCCACCAACGCGCATCAATCCAGAGCTGTCGAGAAACGGAGATAAAGAAAGACAGGAGCTAGACGATTTCAAAGTGTGTCCGGCCTGCAAGGTCTTGTATTCGTCCCGAAGCGTAGACATTTGAATTGAGCGCATCAACAGCAGTGTACCATGACGGATGCAGTCCACCGATAGCCCAGGAATTCGTACACGGTGCAGGAACTTGTATACATATGCAAACACGCGCTGCAGCTTTCCAAATGTGTTAACATATTTGCATTGCTGTGCAATGTCTTCGCACAGTGTGGTGCTTACAAACACTTTAGAGCGCTGCTCAGGAAGCGACGAGACGGAATTGCAAGACTCTGGCCAAGAAGATTTATCTTTCGTCAGAAATGCGGGACCATGTAGCCACAAGTTGGACTGGACTAATTCGCTGGGCAAAGCTCCACGTGAAAGTATGTCCGCAGGATTTAAATCGGTTGGAATATATCGCCATTCCATGCCAGAGGTCAACTCTTGAATAGTTGCGATGCGATTGGAAACGAAAATTTGAAACCTGGATGGCTCGCTGCGAATCCAAGATAGCGCTACTGCAGAATCAGACCAACAATAAAACTTGCAGTCGAATAACTCCATACGAGATATTTCGTTTATGAGTTGTGCCAGCAAAACGGCTCCGCACAACTCTAGTCGGGGCACGGTCAACGATTTGAGCGGCGCCACACGAGATCTGGAACACAGCAGCTCCGCACGAGATTGGCCTTGCGTGGTCGAAATGATGTACACGCAAGCTCCATAGGCATCTATGCTGGCATCACTAAAACCATGCACTTCAATGGAAACACCAACAGAAAGTGCAAGCCTTGGAAATTTCAGCTGCTTTGTGCGCTCAAAATCTGCAATAAGATTATGCCAAGATGTTGTCAATGATGCTGAAAGGCTTTCATCCCAATCAAGCCTTTCTCTCCAAAGCGCCTGCAGGAATATCTTAGCCTTTGCGATTACTGGTCCAATAAGGCCAAGCGGATCATAAAATCTGGCAATAGTTGACAAAACAGTGCGCTTGCAAATTCGACCAGATGTCAATGCTGGCAGAAACGTGAAAATGAATAAATCCGTCGCAGGATCCCACGACAGTCCTAGAGTTTTTGTTATGTCGCTGCCATCATCAAACTTAACTAGAGTTTCTTTGTCTTCTTCCGGAACTTGTTTGAGCACATCAGGATTGCTGGAGCACCACTTCCTTAGCTTGAAATTAGCCTTGGCAAGTAGCCCTGTGGTTTGTCTCATAATTTCTATGACTTCGTTTGTAGAAGCACCACCAGTGATTAAATCATCAACATAAAAATCGCGGCGCAAGATATCGGAGCCAATAGGAAATAGCTCATGCTCATCTTCAGCCAGCTGATGCATAGTGCGAACGGAGAGAAACGAGGCAGGCTTTGTACCGTAAGTGACGGTATCAAGACGGAAAACTTGAATAGGCTTTTGAGGCGAGTCACGCCATAGAATGCATTGAAAATAGCTATCCGGATTTGATACTCGCACGCAGCGGTACATCTTGCAGATGTCTCCTGTTAAAGCGATAGGAAACGTGCGAAATCGAAGAAGCGTGTTTGCGAGCTTTGACTGAATGGAAGGACCAGCCATTAGGATGTCATTTAAAGAATGACCAGAGGATGTGGATGCGGAACCGTCAAACACGACTCTCAACTTTGTCGTTGTGCTGTCCTCCTTCAGAACGCAATGGTGCGGCAGGAAATACTTGCACAAATTTAGCGAAACTGGCGATACAAGCGACATATGACCCAACTCTAAATACTCCTTAATGAATGCAGAGTACTGTGCTTTGAGAAGTGGATTGCGTTCTAACTTTCGCTCCAAGTTTATGAACCGACGATAGGCTTGCGTATAGGAATCGCCAAGCAGATCTGTGCTGAGCTTTACAGGCAATCGGACGGAATACTCGCCAGTACGCAGGCGCCTGTAATTAGCCTTGAAATGCTCCTCGCAGTCGAACTCTTCTTTGGTGAGTTTTACAGCCGGATCGACACCACTTTCGAGTTCCCAAAAAGAGCGAACCATCTGCTCGATTCGTGTATTGCAATCCTGTGTAGACGGAGACTTGGATGCAACCAAAGCAGATTTCTGACGCTGCGAGCCACCTCCAGTAACTATCCAGCCCAAACGAGTCTTTTGCAGAAGTGGCAGGCCATCAGCCAGTTTAATCTGACCTACGCACAACAACTCGTAGAATACATTGGCACCGATAAGCATATCAATTTGCTGTGGCTTGAAGAACGCCGGATCAGCTAAGCGGACATTGCTTGGTATATCCCAATGAGATATGTCAACCGTGAAATTTGGTTGGTTCTCAGTAATGGAAGGAGCGACCAAAGCAGTAATATTTGCGGAATAGTCAGTGACCAATGATTGCAAGCATAAGTGCACAGTGCAACCATCAGACTTGAAACTGACGTCACCAAGACCAGACACAGAGGCCGACGACTTGGTCTTTCGAAGTTGGAGCCGGTGAGCGAATCGCGAAGTTATTATGTGCAACTGTGATCCGGAATCGAGCAGTGCACGGCAGGGTACCCAAGTCCCGGCGCGATTTTGAATGCTGATGACAGCGGTGGCCAAGAGCACAACATCTGAGCCGAGATTTTGGGCAGGCAATGAAGCAAGCGATGATGGCGAAACAGCTGCGAGAGCGCTACGTGGCAGTAACAATGAAGACGGCCGCGAGTGTAAGTCAGAAGCGGACGATTGCTCAGGCATCAAATTTACGGCAGCTGAATTATTAAAATGCAATAAACTGTGATGTTTGGCACCACAGGTTCTGCACGATCCAGAATTGCAAGTTCTCATTCTGTGTCCCTTTCTAAGACAATTTATACACAGAGAGAGGCGTTTCGCTTCCTTTAAACGAAGTACAGGCGACAAATTACCAAAAAGTGGGCAACTGTATATTTCGTGTGCATTTATGTCACAAAACAGACAACCATTTGCGGATGGGTTAGTGGCGACAAACGAGCGTTTGGTGTTAGTGTTTTTGTTCTTTCCCACCTGATAATTCGACGAATATGATGCCATTGCATGCTCGATGTTTTCCAATTTTTGGCACCTGCTATCCAAGAACGTCGCAAATTGCTCCCACGACGGTATAACGTTTAATGGGGCGGCTTCCTCCCACTTTGCCTGCGTCGCAGCATCCACCTTGCCCAAAATTGTCTGAACGACGATGCTGCCAGCTACATCTTGCATATTGCCCAAACTCAACAGTGCACGCATATTTGCGTTGACTTTGTCGGACAACTCTCGCAGCTTGCTTGTAGTTTCAGCCTTTTTAATGCCCAAAATCTCGGAGATGTGTGCCTGGAAAATAAGACGCTTATTGTTAAACCGCTTGTCGAGTAGGTCTAACGCCACTGAATAATTTGCACCACTTATCTCAAGCGCACGAATCGTGCCCAACGCAGATCCTCTTAAGCTTGACCTCAAATGCTGCAACTTTTCCACATCGGAGAGATCTGGATCCTTGGCGATCACTGATGTGAACATCGAAGCGAAATCTGCATATTCAGTATATCCACCACTGAATGTAGGCAACTTAAGCTCAGGCAAACGAGACCGAGTTATCACAATGGTAGACTGATCATCTTGCCGAAGCGTCGAACACGGCGGCGCGCCAGATTGCATCCTTTGTATTGCATTTAGCAGGCGGCCCTCCAAGCAGACCACCAGCTCAGCAAAGTTGCAGCGCAAACTGCTGCCAATCTCGTCAAAGTCCAGCTCCTCTAATTTGTCATGCACCAAATTAAAAGAGGCCTGAATACTTTGCAGCATTTCCACACGTTTTCGCAGCTCACTTTCTGAAATATTGTCAATTTCACAATCATTTATTTTATTTTGAATAGAAAGCGCCCACGCATATAATGATTGCGCCTTGCGCTTATAAAACTCAACACTATTGCTCGTAGCTTGCACTGCATTGCCCACAGCTGTTGACGTCGAAGCTGTTGGCGCAAGCGTCGCTGCATCAGCTACGTCAGCAGCAGCTGATGCGACAGCTTGGAAGGCGCGCATTTGACCGTCGCTCTCAGACATTGTGAACGCGAGAGAGAACCGAAAACCGAAAATAGCAGAGATAAATGACGCGCGCGAATAACTGTTTTATCTGCTGATGTTCGTTGCCCTCAAAAACGTCGCTTCACACGGCTGCTTATTGGCGGTACAGTAGGCACTATGAACTTATATTTTTGCACTTATGTACTTGAATATTTTTTGTGTACAATGAGCTCAATTATGTACGCTTTTGTTTTTTAACGCGATTAAGCAAGGTTTTGTGGAATTATTAATCACGTCGGGGTCACCAAAATGTATAATCATAAGCTTTTTTATGATTCCAAATATGCGAAATTATGTTGGCGAAATAATTGCAAAATAAGCGAAACGAAATTGTTCAATTTAAAAGATGTGCACAAATGTTTATTTTGCATAGGTAGCGATCGCCGAGATTTACAAAGTTTATGCTGGTAGACGGAAAGCTAAGCTTCTCCGTACCAGATGCGATAACGAAAAACGAACTTGACTTGCAGAGTTAGCGACAATAACTATTACATATGTGGCGGCTGCGCAGCAGCCTATGCAAATTTATGGCAACAAAAGGAAACGTTAAGTGCTCGGCTTGCTATGCAAAGCAAGCGACAAGAAAACGAGCACTTTGCATTGAGTTATTTACGTTACTTATTAACTATGATGTGCTGCTGGTTTTGGCTGTTTTTGGCCGGATGACCAAACAAATATCTTCAATATTAATCACGGTGTCGATCGATTTCTAATGTTTTATTTGGCTGGAGGCTTTTAAATAATATTGCATAATATTTAAAGTGAAAATGTTTCAGGAGGTTTTAGGGTAATTTTTTTACACCTTTGGATACATTATTGGCGTTTTAGTAAGGATTCCATTTTTTTTTTGCAAATATAATATAGCCCATGTTCACCGTCGATAGTGTAGCTTCCCAACAGTGAAAGAATCCATTAAATGGGTCCAGTAATATTAGTATAGATTTATGGCTAATTTGCCAAACTTTAATGTTTCCTTGATACCCACCGGGTTCATTTAAATGATCCTTTATTAGTGCGCCTGTAAGGCCATTGTTGTTCCTTTTTTCCCCCCCTTCAGATCTGATAAGATTTAGAGCCGGCTTAGGAAATTCGAACAAAGTATTTATTTGTGGGGCCAACAATATTTTTAATTTATTGAAAATATATTCTTTATAACATTAAACACATTTCAAATACAGTTTCTGGGCAATTTGCGCTTCGCTTAGTCTACAAAACGAAAGCAACCAGAGGCTTTTAGTTTGGCTTTAGTCTCCAGAGCTCGAATGCGATGTAAGCGCTCTGATATTTGATCACGTATCTCAGCACGATACTTTTTACCCTGACCTATTTCCTCCATTTCGGCTAACCAATTGGCACGTTCATTTATCTGATCCAGCACTGCAAAAGAACTTTATATGTAGTTCCCACAGAAGTATTTTTTTTTGATGCCAACTTACATTCATTGATGATGTCCTCCTCGCTTACTTGCGCCTCCTCACGAGGTCTACGCTTCGGCTTTATGGCAGGATCTGGCAAAACGGTGCCGGCCATCTTCAATTGCAGTTGGGCCTTAGCCTTGTCTATGGGCATACGATTATCGGTTGGCGGTCTGTAGTAGCTTTGATTAAAAGCGCCACTAGCCATGATATTCTTGAGGCTGTAATTTGTTATACAAGTAATTAGAAACGTGTTTTCTGAATTGAAAACTTTTCAATAACCTCTTCCGCTTGGCATTGCGAGCACGCTCCAAAATGGCGAGTGTCTCCTTATCGGGATCATTGCTAGTATTAGGTCGAGGCGGTTGGGGCAATGGCAGCGGATCGCCATTACGCAGAGTCTCATCGATGCGTTTGCGCATTAGCATCGACATTTTAGACTCCTTGACAAGCACTATCAGAAAAATGTACTGTAGAGAGATGGATCCTCTTAAGAGTTAGTCATGTAGCTTACATCTTATCAAATCGGACGTCTCCTTGCTGTACTGGACTTTAGGTGTGTGGAATAGGCCACCAGGAGGAATGCGTTCGCTGGGCCACAAGGGCAACTGCTCCTCGGAGGAACCATTTTTTTGGACGCCATCTGGACCGATCTGCGTGCTAGCCCCGGGCGGTATGCTATTGGCATAACCACTCAACTGAACATGGTTGAAGCGTTGGTTACTCATCTCCTTTTGCTATCGAAATTGAATTTTGCTGGAATTTTATTTTTATTTTCGTGTGTGTTCTCTTGTACTGCTCCAATGTGTTTCAAGTGAAGTTTTGTTGAATTTCAAACAACAACCCAACGCATGGCAACCTGCGTTGTTAGGTAACCTGTCGAGCAAAACGATTTTTAAAAATAGAAATTAAAATTGTAGAATACTGCAGTACGGCTTGTTCGCCTATGGCATACCCTTAACTCTGTGAACTGATTATTTATGAGACTGCAGAATTGTTGTTAACAATTTCGTTGCACTCTTAAACATCACGATCGAACTACATAGAGGTCTGTTCTCCCTAAGTTCGAAAAATTGGCATTGAACAATGAAATTTGCTATTCTGCCACATATGCTGTACTTTATCCGTAGAAGATGGAATATAGTTTTAACAGCAATTTCATGTAAGCTTAAGGAAATTAAAAGCTATTATTAAAAAAGCTTCGAAAAACCAAGCATCTCTCATATGTACTTGTATAATATTTAATAAAACACTTTTTCTATGTTCACTTTCTTTGATTATTTTCATTTATTATTGATTTATTCATATGTATACATATATATACCTTTATATATTTTACGTGATGCTGGAATAATTATTCGCGCGTTGATATCTCAGATACGTACACATATTTATACATAAAATGCAATTCATACTCGTATGACTTAAAATTGGTTTTCATTGATCTTAGCTTTTTGCTGAAGTCATATTTCTGATATATCTGATACATATACACATATACATAATTCGTTTCGATTAAACTTATTTAACAGCACAATAAAATAGAATTATTATTAATATTGAATCATTGAATAAATTGTTTTCTTTTTTCTTTGTTTACAACGCGTGTTGTGTGATGAAAATTGTTTCTTATTTGTAGTTTTGCCTTCCTTTTCCGCTGGCACGCGTCTGATACTTGGGAAATTATAAAAAAATTATATTACTTTAAACAGAAAAGAACTAAATGTCGAGATTAAAGGGAGATTTTGAAATGAAATATATTTCAACAAAATGAAATGAAATTTTGAAAACTTTTCAAGAAATGTATATATTTTATATAGTTTAGTTCGTATATATATCGTTCCAACAGTTATAAAGTGATTTCTTGCATTTTTTGTTTTAATTGAATTTAATTGACACTTTTACATTTTGTATGGCCACAAATGAAACAATTACAACATAATTTGAACCAATTATTTATACATATAGATAGGTACGAGTATATAGCACAGTTGGGTACTTGGACTAGATTTGGTCAATCGGTTCCGGTCGCACAGTTCAGTGTGCGCTGGGAACGCGATTACACCATTCAACCGCTTGGCTAAATAACAATTTCAAATATACATTTCAATACTTTTGACTTCAGTTAATATAATTACAAGTACAATAACAATAACAAGCACAGGTCTCTGTCGAAAATTTATATAAAGGTACGCACATAGCTTTGCATTTTAGTAGATAAGTTGTTAGGTTTATTTTATATTTGGCAACAAAACTTACAACACCAACTGATGAACTAAGTTCTAGAAACTCTTAGTCATAAACAAATGCAACTAAATATAATTGAATTAAACATAAATCCGCTTAACTTGTTCTTGATATGTTAGGATAGCGTATGTACTGTTTCTATTTTCAATCAGATTCCAACAACTTCTATATGCCAGTATATAGTACATATACTTGTAAAGGTATTTCAGTTTAAATTGAATCTAAATATGTTCATTCTTTGGCTTTTTTGTTTTTGTTTTCGTGCACACCACTCACTAGCAAAAACCTCCAAACAATTAATAATTATCAATTATCTCAATCTCAATCTTAAACATTGCAATTGCGCAGCCTCAAAACATGCATAGCATTCCAAAAGTACGGGTCCTTTATATAATATTTTGATTAAATGTGGTGTGTGTGGGAAGCCTTGGGATATTGTCCTTTGTGTTGTTGTTTGGTGGTGAGTGGGGGTGGTATAGTGTTCTATAATTGGCTTATAAGTACATATACATACAATTATATATGCTGATATTTATTTGTTTATATAATTTGTTCGTAACATGCAACAGTCATTAGAATAAACATTTGATTTAGACATAAAATGATAACACTTTGATTATAAATACAATATGTATCTAATTTCTTGCTTTTCAATTGCAACAGTGGCGTTGGATTCACATAAACACATATATGGAAGATCGAAAAGGAACATTGTAACGCGTCCAAAACATTGAACTGGGAATTTGCGGTCTTATGATATGCTTTTACCTTAAAGATACTTCTTGGTTGTATGGATGATGCGAGAACAGCTACAATATATCATTATGTATGTATATTATTTGTAACTGCGTGCCTGCTGGATGCCTGCTGAGTGCTCTAAGAAAACATATAATATCATGAGCTCCTTGCGCCTCTTACAAGTCATCACCCAGACGATGAATCTCATCGAGCATAAAGTCCACATCGGCCTCGGTAACAGCCGCCGATGAAATGATCGATCGGAAGAAGTTTGGTCGTCGATCATCGGGCTGATAGCCCACCATTAGTGTGCCCTTCTGCATCATGCGGCCCTTGATAATGGGACAGATCTGATCGAATGAGGATTATTAGTAGTAGTTGTGTATAGAAATCCATCAGTTCCCCACTCACCTTGCCCAACTCCGTTTCCTTCTTGCTATCGTGTGGCACGCCCCGCAAACGCTTGGGAACATACCAGAACGATACATTCACGCACTCGGGCTCCATTATCAAGTGGAAGCGATCCGACTGCTCCCGTATGCGCTTCAGCTGGTATTGAACCAGCTCCATCAAACGGTCCTGTTGCTGCTCAAAGCCCTCAGTGCCTTTGGCTCGCCACTGCAGCCACAACTTGAAGATGTCGTTGTGACGGCCACACTGAATGACCTTATCGCCCGTATCGTACGAGATATCATAATGCTTATCGGTCATGAACAGATATTCGGCAGACATTTGATTACAGCTGATGAGCAGGCCCTGAAAAATGCACAGACAGACGGCATTGCTTTTAAATCCTCACACAACTGTTGCCTCTGCTTCTGCTTCTACCGCAGCCAATAAGTCAAGTCGAAATTTTAATTAAAATTCCAAACTGCCAAAAGACACAACTGTGACCGATGGTAACATATTGCCAACCCATGTAGAGCAAAAAAAAGAAGGAAAACTGGGCGAAGGGTGATTTCAGCACAAATGCAGCAGCCAATAGGGTTGCCAGCCTCCTCATTGAGTGAGCCACAACAAGTTGCCATTGCACTGTGGTACAAATTATTTGTAAAGTATGCAGGGTATAGGATATACTTATAGCAGATTGTGACAATTTTCTTCCGTTAATACTTAGTAAAGATATTGTCAAGCGAATGAAAATTTGTAGATGAAGGCATCAGTGCCAAAGCACTAAAATGCTTCTTAAAAATATTCTTATCTCTTTAACTAATGATAATAAATGGATTATCTGTCTAAAATTAAGGGCGTTAATTCATTCGTGGATGATCCAAACATTAACCAAATTTGTTTGGCCCTAAAGCTGGCAAGTAACCAAAGTCTTGTAACAAAAATATGATAAAAAATTAAATTTAATAATTACCAAGGGCGTAGACAGGGGGGGGGCAGGGGTGGGGGCCGTTGCCCCCCTCTAGATAAAATTTTTCCATATAAAGTCGACCACACGTTCATTATTATGACGCACTATTTCGCCTTAAGATGGATCTGCGTTGGATTTGTTGAAGTTTTTTCATTGATCATATGCATAAATTATTTTTTAAATGCATCGGGCATTATTTAATCAATATTTTAATTTTAAATTAAAATTTTTTTAAACGTTTCATTTAATGCAGAAACAAATACATTTTCTCATGATTTTTTCTATGTTTTTCGAAAAGCCCTTAAGGTTTGTTAAGTACAGCAATACTTGTAGAAATGTACCTAATGTTTGAAATGCTTCTTGAAATGATCAATTTAAATATCTTATAAAAATGATTCCAAAGTACAAAAACTGTACCGCAATTAAGCTTTCCAGAGACACTTCGATGGCAGCTTGAATAAGCTGAGGTCGAAGCAAATAAATTTCATTTGAGCTCTAACCACTGTTTGCCATGTTTGGGATTGAATGTGGTCCCATCACTGTCAGCTGGCCATTGTTGGGGCATGAAAAATAACAAGGAATTGTTCGAGACACAATTGGAATTCTTTAGACAAACATTGTGTGCGATGCTGAAAAATGTTTGGCGAGTATGTGGGCTCCCAACTACTTGTATAGGGTGATGTTTGCCTTTTGCCATAGCTTTAAAGCTGCGCCTGCCCTTTTGCATACGCGGTTGTTCAATTTCATTTTTTTGTATTCGACGACCTTTGTACGCATGACTGCACAATTCGATTGCACCGTTTTTTAATTAAAAAATGATGCAAGCAACTTTTACTTACATTCTCCTTGAAATGAATGGTCGAGCACTGCAGCAAGGCGCCCATCAATTTGTGTGGATTCCAGGTGACGGAATCGGCGCTGCAATGAATGACAAAGTTCAAATCATAAGTAAACTCTCATATTAAAAGCCATTCAATTACAAATTACAAACAATTAACACTAAGCTGTGGCGTATGAAAAATTCTGCCGGGGGTTGTGGATGTGGCCAGGGGCGGTACGGCAAGTGCCATAAATTGTGGCAATTTCAGGCCGCAGCACTTTAATTGAATTCAAGACGAGGGCCAACCCTCGGGCATAACAACTGCCTGCGGAGGGTTGCTAAACATCCCTGGGGGAGCTATTTACAGTAACATTCACACACACACACACACACACAGTTATTGGGTTGGTGTCTATAAACATGATGAGAGCTGGAAAGTATGCTTCAGTTTTGAGTGGCAGCATGTGGCGCTCGCAGTCGTTGTTGCTCGTATCTTGTTTGTGCAGCACGAGATTTGTGTGCGAAAATAAAAAATAGACTCACATACTGTCCATTGTTTTAGGCTCTCACAGCGTCACCAAATTTAAAAGCTGTCATTAGCCACTCACTCACACATGCATACATACATAACCACATGGACTGATGTCCATTAATCAAGTTTCGGCTTAGTTGCCAAATGCCACAAGATGTCAGCTGCATTCTCGCTTCATGATTAATTTATTTAGCGCCGAACTCAATTAGAGTCTGTAAAAGGAAGTAGAGGCATACAATTTGCATTCAAAGATGTTGGAGCCGCCGCGGCGCCACGTTATGCCTCAGTGAGGACGTCCGACAACCGCAAGATCCCTTAATTGAATGAGCATTGTAAGTGGGAGGCTCAACGAACTCAATGGACTTGATGGATATGGTAATCAATTTGAAAGTGTTTATAGCAGGATTTGACCGCAAAGTGCCAATATATGTACGAGTATGTACATATACATATACTTGTATACTCGTATCTGTGTGGAAGCAAGCGCATTTGCTTAAGCCATCCCCAACCCCTCAACAGCTCGTAAATATAAAGTGAGCTGCAAAGTGCACTTCTCTCCCCCATTGTTGTTACAGAAGCGACGACTCACACACTCGCATTTTAACTTTAAAATTAAAAATGTTTTTCCCAAGTCTTCAACAATGCCTGGGGTTATGGGGTTGCTGCTAGAGATGGCATAACACGATTCGCTTTTTGAAGAAAATTCACGCCATGAGACATTAATGACATGAAATGAGTATTATTATTTATTTAAATCCAATCACTATTTTAATTGAAGTGTAAACTTTTATAAAAGAAAAGGTCAAATTTTTTAAGGGAAAATAAATAATGACAGTTGTCTGCCACTTTTTACTACCAATATACGTATATAGTCAGCTGATTGTTTTGGTTGATCGTCAATTGAAATATAATTTGACAGATTGATCGCAAATAGTTTAGTTGACAATTAAAATATTAATAAAAATGATAAAAATGTTTCTTTTTCAAATTCAAAAATGTATTATCATTAATTTTAATTTTCAAATTCTATCAGATATATGGTTTCAGTACCAAGAAAATGATAAATAATATCACAACTCCATTAACATTTTCGGAATTTATATTTTGATTTTTTATTCGATAACAAAAAATTTTAATTTTGTATAATTTGTATTTTTTTTATTTACAAAGCTATTAACTGAAATTTTAAATCGAAACAAATTTTATTCATATTTGAATTACCATCTGAAGATTTTATTTTTTTTATAAACTAAAGCTCATTTTCTTTTAAAACTTGATTTTTTCGCGCATATTTATTTATACAAACAAGAAATAGTTGTGCGCATTTTTTTAACGATGATTCACGATCACAAACGCAACCGATTGGTCCCACCTCTAGTTGTGTGTGGCGCACCATTGTCTTTGTTGTTGTTGTTTGACGTAATCGTTGTGTAAGTAATGCCCACCACACACCACCAGGCCAGACACGGAAGCTGAGGGCCGGTTGAATATCCTGAATATCCAGTTTGTTCATTCGTTTGTGTGCCTCGTGTAAATGAAAATGCACTCGCCTCGTAATCCCACTAAGCTCTGACTGCCACAAGTGAAACACCTGATGAGGCACTAAATGACAAATTGAGATTTTTCCCACATGTCGGCCCTTATGATGGGCCCTTTGGATGGGCGTGGGTTTACTTTCGAGCAAGTGCAGTGACTGATGCGGGCCATTTGGGAGCATTTAGATTTAAATTTGCAAACAACAGATTTCAATTTTTGTTTCAACATCACACGAGGGCGAGTTAGAAGTCTGTTTAAATCGGCCCAAGCTTGCACAACATGACATTCTGTTTTTGTTGTTGTTGTTGTGATGAATGAGCTCGACAATTGTAAGGGACAAATGCGTTGGAACAATATAGAAATTTCCCCCTCAATAAAATGTTGAATAAAACTTTATAAAGTCTAAGCAGTTTTTAAAGCTAAATTAATGAAATCTTTAGTTACTTAAATTATGTAATATTATGTTATTTGTATTTAAGCTTTAGTGACTTCAAAAATTATAAGTATAACAAAAATTTAATTTATAATTGAATTTTTTAAATTTCTTTCAAATACTGAATATAATGAAAAGGTAGCAAATTTTTTATCAGAAATATAAATTAAATTTCATAACATTTCAATTATAAATAATTTTTGAGTAAAATCAAAACCATTTTTAAGAGACATCAAGGAATAACCTCGTAAAACTAGACACATTGTTATTAAATACTTGTAATAATACAAGTATAAGCCCATAAGCCAAAGTTTCGCTTTAATCTGGGTTTGAACTGGTGGCCCGAAAGCCATTTCTAAATTTGTGCCGTAGTTTTTTTTTGCAATTACCTTTATTTTCAAATGAATTTTTTTAGCTTTAAATGTGTTCGACCCGTCCCATAAGTAATTGCTGATTTTTAGTTTTTGAAAATTATTTAAATGAAGCATGTCTTCAAGTATGAGAATTATCATACTTATAAAATAAATAGATTATAGTGGCGGGGCTTAGGGGTGATTACATTTATTAAAAGACTAATTATTTTAGTATATTAACAAATGTTATACAGTGGCAATTCTTCTATATAATATCGAATATATTCAGGAAAGTCTTTAGATCTGTTTTAAATGTATTTTATATTTGGCCCACCCATTTAATTCTAGTAATTATAGCCTGTACCCAAAGGGTGAAAGGCTATACTAGTTTTGTGCGAATGTATGTAACACACAGAAGGAGGAGTGGCAGACCCCACAAAGTATATATATTCTTGATCAGGGTGACAAGCCGAGTTGATTTAGCCATGTCCGTCTGTCCGTCCGTCCGTCCGCCCGTCTGTATGAGCGCAAGGATCTCAGAAGGTACAAAAGCTAGAATTACCAAACTTGGTATCCAGGTTCCCCTAAGCCTTAGGCAGGTCAAGTTTACATTTTTATTCTGATACACCCCCCACTCCCCCGCAATTCGTGTTTTTTATAACTTCCGTAATTATTGGAATTTTGAAATCAGTTTTAATAGTTACGTCCATACACGCATATAAAAACACATAGAGACGTGATGTAAATGTAAAACTGTACATAAACATGTCTTCTATGTATGTATTAAATAAATTTTCTTAATTAATTTAATAAATTAATTTAATTTTTTTTAATATATTTTTTTTTTAATTTTTCTTTTTTGTGACTGTAGCGTTCTATCTTGTTTTTTCCTAATTGATTTTTCAAATGCTATATATTACCAAAACTTAGCATCGAGAATTGATCATTTCTATTCGTACTTACCGTTCAACGCCTGTGAATCTGGGATGACGATGTTTGCGGGACATTAGCAGGCCACCGCCCCAGGCAGCCTATGAGTATACAGAAAATAAAAAAGAGTTACATAATTAATCGGTTCGCTATTGAATCTGTGTTCAACCAACATCGATGTGCATCCAGCAGTTGTACTTCTGACAGATATCGGCAATAGTGTTCAAATCATCGAAGGCGCCCAGCACTGTAGTACCAGCTGTGGCATTCACGAAGAATGGGATGTGACCCTTGGCCTTGCGCTCCAAAATCAGACGTTCCAGCTCCGAGGTGATCATCTTGCCGTGCTCATCCGATGGCACCATGACGCAGTGATCGGTGCCCAAGCCGCAAACAGAAGCGCACGACTTAATCGAATAATGGCACTGATCCGATGTGAACATCACCAAAGTGCCGGGCAAGCCTGCTGGGCCGTGCTCCTTGTAGTCGGGAAACATCTTGTGACGAGCGGCCAAGAAAGCGTATAGATTGGAAATGGAACCGCCGGGAGCCAAAATTGAATCGCCACCGGACCAGCCAATGATCTCACGCATCTTGGTGAGCACCACAGTCTCCATCAATATAAAGACCGGAGCAATCTCGTATGTGAACATGTTGGTATTGGCAGTTGCGGTCAACCATTCGCCCGCCATTGAGATCAGATCCAAGCCGTTCGACAGCTGATTGAAGAAATGGGGATGGCCTGTAAGGACGAACGATAAAAAGGGGAGGAGGTCGATGAGTGCCTGTTAAATGTAGCTGAAAATGCTTCCTTTTGTTTTTTTTTTTTTTTTGCCATGGCTGTCAAAGCAGACGCGCTGCCTAAGCTGACAGCAGATGTGCTTGGCAGCTGTATTCCGGCAGAGACGAGTCGGCGTTAAGTATGCCAACATTTTTTGTTTTATTAAAAATATTTCATTTGAAACAAAAGGGACCTGCGCAGCAGTGTGTGTATGTGTGGCCAACACGGTTGACTGAGTTCAATACAAGGCCGGATATGCCTACTTTCAAGGACAGACTGGGCCAACTGTCTGGTCTGGCCGAGGACCTAACCTATTGTTTACGACCGCCTGGGTCATGAAAATCAATACAGTCTTTAAAGCGAAACGCTGTATTGGCCAACTTTTCAGTTTAGAAACTTGTAATGCGCTTAAGTCTCTACATCCCTCCAACTGGCACCAGGTCGGGCAAGCGCCGTAAATTGTTCATTTATTGCAGCTAATTGCGACTTGCTCTGAGCTTCTATAAAACTCCCACGAAAAATCACAAAATGCTTTCACAAAAGCATTCAGCAAACAAACAGTGGCACTAACAGCAGGAACCCTTCACACAAGGGCGTTGCACATATTGATGGAGAGGGGCCGAGCACATCGCTTGTCAGTTCACATCTTGAGTGCCATAAGTCGTGTGATTAAAATCCCATTGCCCACAAGGCTAAATCCACCCATACACACACACACACACACAAACACAAACACACACGCATACATAACCAGCTCAGCAGAACTCTGCAGGACTAGCCTTGCGCTGGCATTCAAGGCGTAAGAGCCAAACATTTCAATTTGCGCATGAGGGCCGCAGCTGTGCGCGCCACCCTCACAGATGTCCTGCGACCTAGACACGAGCTTAGACTGCCAAGCAGACAGGCAGCGAGGCATCGAGGCAGTCATTCATTCCTACTCGCGTACGCATCAAAGGATCAAGAATGCAGCGAGTCAGAAAATAACAACGGATTTTGATTAAAGCTTCCCTTTTTATAGAGTCGTCGTCCTCCACCTCGTCCTCGTCATGTCACAAAAAGCCCGCAAGGCTGACGGGCTGCCTCCCTTCCTCTCTCTTCCTCCCACGCATGTGGAGTGGCGGGCATTATGTGAGATTATGGATCATAAATGGGATTTTTATCATGCCAGTTGCAAAGTAATGTTGCCGTAAAAGCGACTTCCGTTGGCATTTCGGGCCATTTCTTTTCAGTTATGCGCTACTGTCAATTTTGTGTGTGTAAATAGTAGTTCGATCCAACTTGTTTTGCTTGATTATGTAACATAAGTTTAAAACTAAAAACTTATATTAATTGCCAAAGCTTTTGGAATTAAAAATTGTGATACCGACTAACAGATTATAATGTTTTCTAACAAATTTGTGTTAAAAAAAAAACAGAGCTAACCACACATTATCAAATGTACTTTATACACAAGAGTCTATTTTTTCTAATTAATCAAATCTCGAATTTCATCCTCGTTATAATCGGGAAAAAGAGCTAGCTACCAGTACAGCTATAAGGCTAAAAGGACACTCTGTTTCTATCCTGAAAAGCCGACATATACACGGACTATCGAAATAACATTTCAAAAGAACTAAACAGAAACATTGCTATCAATGGGTTCTTCTCTCTCTTTCCAGCTTCCGGATCACTGTACTGTCTATCAGGCGTTATAGCGTTACAGGAGGTCTCACGGGACCGCCAACCATTTTAGGAAGCAGGCCGATATACATATATATAGTACTCTAGGAATCGTTTAAGGCGCCTGATTCGAACACATAGTAGACAAGTCTGAATGCTGTGGATCTCTAAACGAGAGAGCCTGGAAGGTCAACATTAAATGGGATTAGTGGAAATTGCATTGCATTCTTTAACTGATTCTCTGCATTGTTGGCTTTTTAATTAATATTTTTTTCTAATCGCAAAAGCAAACAAAAATGGTCCGTTTGTATGTAAATCTAAAGTTATCAGAACAATCGATGAAATTGGTCGAAGGCACAATTGAACTCATAGAAGAAAATAAAGAGTTTGTTTGTAAAAGAAAGAAATGCGTTTATTTAAATTATGGGTTCGGGATTTTTCGTCCGCAACAGCCCGAAATAACTATTAAGAAGTTATGCATTATCCTCTGGCGAGAACCGAGCTGGATATGACGATAAGATGGGTCAGCCATTCTCTCCTATACATTAGATACATAATAAAAAAGTTTGTACTTTACTCAAAAACATATACGAGCACTTGTTCAGTCTGTAAACGGAAAATAAACGTCGGAGCTACATCAGCCAACTAAACTAAGACTCTAACCAACATGCACAAAAAGTTTCATCTAAAGGATGACTCCTTTTTTTTTTGAATATTCTTTCCTACAAACATGCACACATAGTTCTACGTATAACTCGATTTATATCTAAACAATGCCGCATCATTTTGATTTAATTTTCAAGAGAGAAAAGGCAAATGCTGAATCTGGCCGCATTCTCTGGCACAAGTCAGACTAATTTCCTGCGCTGAAGGGGCTGGAAACGTCGACAGAGAGAGCAACGACGACGGCGACGGAAGCTCACGCAGTTTCCGAGACAAGGCCGCAAGTTCCGGGGGATGTTGCTGGCGCATACGTAGACAGAAATAAATACGCTTATTATCGATACTCTGAGGCACAATTGCGGTCACGTGGCACTGTCCAAAAGACGGGAGCCCCACCCACTCGCCAAAATCCACGCCCGCCCGTCGCATTAATTTTCAATGAAATCAGCCTCATATTCAGAGTAGACTCTCCATGGAGAAAGAAAAACTGAAACGTGCGAATGACTTTTGACTGCGGTGGCAGGAACCCTTTGCTGATTTATGATTGATGGCAAATGAGATTTGCTGGCACGACGACACCCTTTTAACCTTGTCGAGAGTATGCCAGAGTGTGTGTGTTTTTGAAAGGTGTAAACAACGTTGTTTGTTGTTTATTTTAACAGCAGCTTTGCTTCTTTTTTTTTCTTTTTGGGTGTGTGTGTGTGTTTTATGTTTCTGCGGCCAGACATAGCTCAATGGGCCATAAAATGCCATTGTCTGCTCTAATGTGGTTATCTACAAGGCTGCACACTTTGTGGTCCTCTCTCTCTCCTAAGCAATTGTCTGATTTGGCAGTCCTCTGCCCTAATGCGACCACAAGCTGTTGCGGCACGCTTTGAAAGACCTTATGCAAATTTATGCAGAGACAAATTTGATTTGCCTGCGCAAACATATTGTGCGTCTCGATAAGCTGGAAAAAAAAACACACACACACACCGGCTTGCCCCACTCCGACTCACCCGTCTTGACTTGATACTTCAGCGTGGAGGCACAATCCTCGATCAATTGCTGCAGCGGCAAAGCACGATCTGGCACATCGAGATCCAACAATCGCTTCATATCCTCCGGATGATGGAATTCTAGAACCTTCTCGTTCCGATCGTTTGTGGCCTTCACAAAGTCCAGAAGTACGTCGATAACTTTCAGCAGAAATTCGCGAGTCTCGGCGCCGGCGCTGACTGTAGTGGGCATGAGATCTGATAAGAAGAAGAGATAGAGAGAGAGGGAAAGGAGAGACGTTAACATAAATGAAAGCATGTCAGTCTTATCTCACCGCCCCCCAACCCCACCTTCAAACAGGCAGGCGCAGAACGGACACACATAAAAAACGAAGCGCTCGTCCGCCACCGTTGACAGCCCAAATGACTTACCTTATCAGCCGCCCGTAGTCATGATATATAGTTATTATTGTTATTATGATTTGTGGTCGGCGGTGGGAGGTGAAGGAAGAGGGCATGGGAGGGGAGGGCTGCTATGAAAATGAAATTGAAATTAACGAACGGCAGCAACAACATCAGCTGCTCATAAAAATCAGATTTAATTTTTAAGTTTATTGTTGGCGCGGTGTCTCGGCAGCTATAATTTTTATGTGTGCGCCATATGCTTCCCGGCTGGGTGGCAAACTTTTTGGGGGTAACTGAGAGCCGTACAAGGTCGGAGCACAGCGGGTGGCTGGGAAAACACTAATAAATACGGGGGAGAGCGCTAGCACTGAGCGAAAATTCGTCACAAATGAATACATAGTTAGACTCTTGCATCGATGTCTGCAGTGACTAGTTGGGATGAAGTTGAAAAAGCAGGCTTGTATCCAAAAGGGAGCGTTGTCTAAAAATACTCCATTCTCCATATTAGCCATTTTATTAGAGTAAGGTACGAAATACCTTCAAAATCCTTTTAACAGAATTTTATTAGCAGCTTTGAGAAAACGAGGATTATACCAATATCCTTCATTTAGGATTATCTATGCATATTTACCATGATTTAAAAATTACAATTTTATTCGTTCTCTGACAATATACTTTAAAACTCTTTATTTTTAAGGAAAAAAATAAAACTCATAAAACAATGATTGTTCATTTAGTTTTTCTTTTATCAAAAATAAAACCCAAGTTGTAATTGTCCCTGCCTTTTTCATAGGAAATAAGAACAAAATTTCTATATATCCTTAAAGAACCCCTATAGGGCTTTAGAATTTCCACTGCCGGTTTTGAGAATAAGCACGTTAGAACGCAGAAAATAATTTTGCAGACGTGTCCTCGTCTTTTTTTAAAAAGCTTTTTTTTTTGTGACTGGCGCTTTATTCAAATGAATGTTTCCCCACCCATATAGCAATGTACACCTGTCCATTTGTATTTCTTTTTTTTTCTATTTGAACTAGTTTTTCATTTTCAAAGCTCTCGCCATCATAGACTTCTGCCTGCAAGCAATCAGAACTAGTCGGATTGACTCATAATATCTTACAAGTATATCTGTCATAGGATCGGTGAGGTTAGTAGAATTTTAAAAAACTTTCGAAAATTATATTGCAGTGCTTGGTTCGTACATACTTATACATACATACTTATATGTTATATAAAAGGTTCAAAATACATTTGTGAGGTAAAAAGGGCATTAGTATGGACTTAGATGCCACTGCTTTGCTGCCTAGGCTTCATAAAATTCATTCCTGAGATATCCCATCCCATTCAACTCCAAATATAGATAATTTTGTAATTGGAACAAATTGTTTCTTTTATTGAAATTGTGCCAATTTTATTAAATAATTGTAAAATAAAAAAAAAAATTGTATTGTTTTCCTTTCAGGAGCGTTTCTATTTTATTTGTGGAACTTTAATTAAGGAAGTGGTCCACAAAATATCTCGGGACTTCTTAAAACATATCATACTCGCCTCGTTGCAGCTTGAAAGCTGAAATGCTAACACCCTACTAAAATTTCATAACATTAGATAAGGAAACAATATGTCTATATTTTATTCATTCTTTATTTTCCCATATACTTTTTTCGAGGGCAACTAACTTGCTTTAGCACCCCAAAAAGAAAGCAAATAGCAACAAATAGCACTCCTATTTTTTCAGTGTACATCCTGTAGAAGTTAGCGTTAATTCAATGCGTTCTAATTGTGGCTTTTTGTTTTGCCAGCGCAAGTGCAAGGCTTAGTAATGAAATTAATTTTAGCCACTAAGCGCCCAAAGGGGGACTTGCGGCGCCCAACGAGGGGCGGCATAAAGGCCAACTGGCTTCGGAAGTTACGCTCTAAATCAATTTGAAACTTAACGTTGCGCATAATTGCCATTAAAAGCACATTGAGTGAATCGTACAGAAGATTTCAAATTTCCATTCGAATAGCAAACACCTCTCAGCCCACCAAGTCCCATCCCCCGACGCCGATGTTGGTCAGACAAATTGTAACAATTTCGAAATTCCACAAGTTTGAGACAAAGTTAAATAAAATTTAATGTGCAGAAGCGTGTGGTGTGCGCTTAATGTCAAAAGCAGCCGTGCTAAAGGGAAAAAACCTGCAGCCTGCAGCCCTACAACCCTGCCAAGGAATCGCATTAAACCCAGCCGTTTCACATCTCGTCCATATGTCTTTCCCTTTCTAGCCAAGGCAGTAAAGCCAACATTTCGCAGACATGTAAGCGTGCGTAATATCCTGTGACTAAACGGTTTATGTTTGTTGTCCTTTCAATTTCAGGCACGCGACAGTCGTGGCACCTTTTCTTGGGCCCTGGTGGTTGCTGCCTCACGATTGACTTTTGCGCTGTGCGTGCATGTGTGCGTCCTTCGTCCTTCAGTCTGTTTGACTGACTGTTTGTCCGACTGTTTGTGTCTGTGTCTGTTCGTTTGTTTGCGCAAAATCTGTTACAACGCATTCAGCAGTTTCATGCCTCACTGACTGCCAACGTCGCAGCAATTTATCAAGGTCTCTTGCACTCGTGTACATGAGTTAGCAGCGAGTGTCCTGGACAGCAGCAAGGCTGGATGAATGGCCAGGACTGCGAAGTGCCTATTTCTAGTTTGTTTGTGAGTTCTTGCGCTTAACAGTTTTGCTTGTCAATGGCAGTTGAGCACTCATTTATTATTTGCCAAGCAAATAGATTTGGTGTTAAACTATTCTAGATAGCTGGTTCAGCGATATGATACTTAGAAATATGATCTATAAGAGATATTTATTGTGTCCAAATTGCGAAATATTTTACATCATTCAATCATTTTCAGGAGCATAATATACCAAATACAAATTATAATAATAACAGTAAAACGAATATAGAAAAGATTAAACTTATTTACGCACCCCCACGAAAAAATAAAAAACACTCTACTTGTCGGAACCTACGAGTACCTTTGATATTAAAAAGCGCAATATCGCTGAAATACGATTAAAAGTAAAATTTATAATCCATTTGCAACTGTCGATACTGGGTCTGCTTTAATTTTTTGAATATGCGAGTATTCAAAATATCTAGGAAAAAATATTTAATAAAAAGCATTTAAAGCATTTTTAATAGCCAAATATTATTATCAGTAGCTTTTCGGAACTCGACGACTAAGTTAAAAAAGGAGATTATTTAATCTAAACCAGAGTTCTTAAAACTATCGCAAACAATGACATAGGAAAGGCATGGAAAAAGTCTTAAAATGTAATAGCAATTTAAGAAATCTTTCGAAAATAGACTCGTATAGTCATCTGTTGCTCGGAATAGAAAAAAACCTGCCCCTTCAAAATAAAATCTAGGTTTAAGACAACTTAGAATCAGCATCATATTCTTAAATGACTTGTAAAAATCTTAAAATTTTATAGCAATTTAAGAAATATTTCGAAATTAAACTCGTATAGTCATCTGTTGCTCGGAATAGAAAAAAACCTGCCCCTTCAAAATAAAATCTAGGTTTAAGACAACTTAGAATCAGCATCATATTCTTAAATGACTTGTAAAAAACTTAAAATTTTATAGCAATTTAAGAAATATTTCGAAATTAAACTCGTATAGTCATCTGTTGCTCGGAATAGAATAAAACCTCCCCCTTCAAAATAAAATCTAGCCTTAAGATAACTTAAAATTGGCATCATATTCTTAAATTATTTTTTTAAAATACTATACTTTTAGATATCAGCTTTTTAATGAACTCATTTTATTTGAATTGCGCGATTTCATCAACAAGTATATTCTTGCACAATTTTCTGATTATTTATCGGGATTGTCAGTGATTTTGGAATATTCTTGATACTCACCATATGCCGTTAGTTTGCCCGTCCTTTCGGAGAGCTTATACCCGTTCGGATTGAGTGACATTTTCTCCTCTGCAATGATAAACAAAAACACGAAACAATGTACTATAAACAATCCCAATTAGCTTGAGACTCATGCAGCTGGAGACGAGAACTGAGAAGTGTTATGCAATCATCACAGAGAGATGCAAAAAATTGCACGAATGCCCATGATAATGCAGCGACATGCAATATGCAAATTGATGTTATATAACTAAACCAAATCATATCGGAATGCAATGGCCAAAACTAGGTAAATAAACAACGAGGGTGAAGGGGTAAGGTGAAGGATGAAGGATGAAGAAGAAAAATAGACGAACAACGTCAAACATAACACTCGGCTAGGCGCAAGGACAACTGAAGGGCAAACATGGTATGAGTGGGTATGCTTGCATGTCTGCGAAGTATATAGGAATACCTTTTGGCATATGCACAGATTCTATATACTCGTCTACATGTATATAACTCCTACACTATATAGAAAGTAGAAAGCTGCGCGTCATCTGAATATGCGCAGAGAGCGTTAAACAAATTTTCTGCGATTGAGTGCAAGTACATATATAAAAGGTATGTAGGTGTGTGAGTGTATTCGAGTGTGTATCTAAAAGCAAACATTTTTTACACACACACATACACACATACACATAATTACATACAGACAGACAGAGGCACGGGCGTCTGCAGCTAATGGCAAAAACCTTGAGCTAGCACTTATGTAAGCACAAATAGACGACACACAAAATACGAAATACTATACAACAAATACAAGAAAATGGCGAGGCAGTTTACGTTACGATATCTTACCGATAATCCTGCGGATATCGTCGATGTATTGCCTTAGATAATTCACTTTGACTGTTTCTTGTAGTTACGTGAGTCGAACAAAATGAGATCTACAAGCAAATGTGGCGTACGAGAGATACGTGCGAGATGAGGCGTACTTGATAGTCAATATAGTAGCAGTAGTAGTAGTAGTTGTTGTTGTTGTTGTTATTATTATTACTGACAGCTATTTGACGTGTTTGTTTTATACTTGTATAAGTTCTATGGCATGTGGATTGTTCAACTACTGATTGATTTGATCACCATGGGAGTGAATTGAAAACTTACAATGTTCAATTTCAATTTGAAATTTGGCAACGAATATTCACTCGAGTTTTCACACACACGTTGTAGTACGAACGGGACGGACAATAATTGGAAATATGAATTTTAGTTTTGACGTCTGGCACTCAAAAATATATTCTTTGCGAAATTCTTCCACTTGGCTGAGGAAAAAAGCAGCTACACTCGCTGACGATCTGCGAAGCTATGAGTGGCAGCATCCGTTTGACTTCCCTACGAAGCGTTGCAAAATGGCTGCCTACACACGCACACACACACACACACACACACACACACACTTATTCACAGCTCTGTGTGTGTGTGTGTGTTTGCGTTGTTTTTGTTAGTGCTGTGCGTGGGCTTCGGTTGCATAACCTTCACAACAGCTAAGGCATTCGGTTATACCTATGTATAGTATACTATATATACTAAACTATATAGATATGTATGTGTATTGGGTTTGTAGTAAATATGTAACTTGCTGTTGCCTGCTTTTGGGCGCCAACTTGCGCAATCAAAACCATGACGTCACAGTCACACCAATTTTTTGGGGCAACCATCTTTGTATGTAGGCGGAGCTACGTCAATGGGCAGCACCTTGCACACAAACACACACACACACACACATACACACACAGTATGGGCACTTGGCGCTCTTTATGGGGGTTGGCTTTGCGCACGCCTGACTTGGCTCCCCCGGACCATCTGCTTATGTAAATGGAAGGAAGCGGGTTCTTTGTGTGCGTCAAATTTAAGAAGCTATGTTAAAGACTTTTTCGCAGATCTATATCTATGAGCGGTTGGACAACTCTATAAAAAAAAACCTTAGCTGCAAGGGCAAGACACAAATATTTGCGCTGTAGGAAAATTCGAAACATACTTGTAGTTAATACGGTACAGAGAATTCGGGAAATTTTTGTTGCCCTATAACGAGTAAATGATGAAAAAATTCCTTAAATAAATGCCTTTTCCTATCAGCTGAAGTTACTTTAAATTAAATGTAGATAATTATATTGATTTTACTGCCACTTCCAACTGAAAGTCATTTCAATTGTTTCTAATTAATTCCGGATTAATTCTGGATTTATTTTAAATTGAAAGTAGTCCTCAAGGATATGTACCTCTCAGCTATTGTTGAAAAATGTAAGCGTTTGTTTAATTTCTTTTGTGTTTCCTCACTTCAATTTTATGAAGCAATAATGGTTATTATGTTGTTCAAACTATGAATTAAAAACTTCATTTCATGAAATAAGATACACTTTCAATTCGAAATGGGGGAAAAAGAGCGTTTATAAATTCTATAAATTAGAAAATAAAATTGATACTATGCTACCTTGCTCAATGTAATTTTGTTTATGGATCATAAAATCGAATAACAACGTCTAAATTTTGGTCAGAGCCAATTTAAATTCCTGAAAGATGTTTTAGTCGTTGTTTCGGATTCTTTTAAACATTGTTCCCATACATAAATGAACGAAGTAGAATCCTCTCAATTTTGCAATAGGAAAATTGATAATAATAAATATGTACATCACAGGGAAGTACAACTGTATGTTGATCTATGTTTTTTGATGCTAACACATGTTGTTGCTGTTTTTTCTGTTGGTATTGTCATTATGCGAGCTACTCAAGCACTTGACAAAAAGCTAATTAACAAACTTATTTTGTCACTGTTTTTGACATTTACAGACCGAACTTTCCGCAAGTGTTGTGGGCTTGGCAGTAACAGTAATTTATTTAGATATAAGCGAGCCTTGACTTGAGAGGCGTCCGCATGAGCAAAGATTTATGCGATGTATATAGCCTTTATGTATTATAGTTGTAAGCATGTATTATATAGTTTGGGGGCCAAAATAGATACAATTTGGGTCAGAGCAACATTTGTTGGCATTAACTCGAAAACAATTTGTTGTACACACTTCGTTGGCAACATGGCTGACATTTTTGCCAAAAGAATGCTTTTCTATAGCATACTTTAGAGAGCACACACACACATAACACACTCACGCCCACATAACAGGACTTTGAGCAGCCTAGCAAGGCAGCTGCTTGTCAGTTACAAATGTTGAAGAGAAAAAATAGAAACAATGCTATGCCAAGGTAGTTGCAAACACTTGTCTGCACAAACTTAGCCAATTTGAAAAGAATTCTATGTAGAAACTTTGAAATGGACTCTTATCTGACAGCCAGCACTTTTGTTAATTTCAATGACTAAGCCTTTGAGTCCAAAGAGTGTCTCCTAATCGGAAACACTTGCCACACGCGGAGGCGCGAATATTGCAATCGGATTCTCATTAATCATATTGTTTGGCTAATAACTGCCAGTCCAGCTTATCGGCAAGTTGCTAATAATAATTAGGCACTCTTATCTGTGATTAAACTCAACAGCTATTTGAATGACACTATAGTGTACAATGTGCGATTTCGATTTCGGGCCGTCGACTCTTACAGCTAGATAGCACTCCCTGGAATTCCCAGCGCGACACTGATTTCTACTCAACCTTTAGTTGATAATATTGCCCAAATATTAATAATACTACATGCCTCTGGCCACACATTCTCAGTCAGTCTGTCGCTCACATTTGTTGCGGTTATGAGTAAAGCCTTCATTACGCGCCTCTTTGCTATTTTAGCCGACTATAAGTTTGGGCGCACAACGTGAAGGATACAGTCAATATTGATTATAAATTAAGTTCATTCAAAAACAAAAGTCGTGTGTACTTGTATTTCTGCATTTGGGTAAGTAAGATTTTAAAAATGACTATAATATATTAATACTGTATGTGGATCTTAAAGATACATTTTAAATAAGGCACACTTCAATAAAAGCCAATAATAATTGCACATAAAAAACTAACTAATTGAAACTCTTATCTTAATAGTTAACCATTGTTAACTTGATAGTTAGCTAGAAGCAGCTCCTGAGCTATTTAATAGCCTGTTCTGCCATAGCTCTAAAACGCAAATATAGACCTCACTAAAATCTCAAGCACCTATTTAACCTGCGTCTCTTTTAGCACAGCTTTTATTTATTTTCCTTCCGAAACAAAACTTTTCTCACATACTATATAATAATTTGATTAATCTACCTAATATACGGATACTTTGAATGATTGATAAAAGTAGTTGGGGTTTGTATAAAGAAAAATTGGCTTCCGCTTGAGTTTTTATTTGAATTATGAAGCATAAAGAATGTTTAACTGATATACCATGGGGTTGAAGTGAGTGAGTTTTTTTGAAATAAACAAAATATGTTTGGATATTTTTCTCATGAAACTTAAAAACGCTAACAAATATTATAATCAGAAAAGTTTGGAAAAATAATTCAACTTCTTCCAATCAAACCTAAGGTCCGATTACTAGTTCCGGGCTTTTCAGAGACTCTTAAATATATTTTGCTGTAAAAAATAAAGCAAATAAGAAGCTGACCATAGAACACATTTTATTAAATACACTCTACAGAGTTTCAAACATTTTATACTATGCTAAACTACTAATTTATTTTCTATTTATTGAAAATAGATTTATTTAATATAAGATTAAATAAATAATTAAATGATATAAATAATTAAATAAGACTGAACTCCTAGTTTAAGCTGTATTTGTATATTTCTATAAGTTTAATTTAAGTTATTGTAAATAATAACACTAAATTAAAGTTTTATCAAAAAAAAAAAAAAAAAAATTGGTTGAAAACGCACATTTGAAACCATTTTAAACCATCTCCCAACTGCTTCAAAAAATTGTTAATCAACTAAATGTTGATGGCCATAAGTATTAATCTCAGATGTTCCTCGAATAAATAATATTTTATCTTTTAAAAAACTATTGAAGCCCATACTTAACTCACTCACACATACGAGTACTCGTATCTTCGCTAAACTTGCAAATATTTCTATCAAACTTTTGCATTTTTTAACCAATTTTCAGAACATTTAAATTCATGTGGTTCCTGGCATTATTCACTTCACATCAAAGTCAACAAATAAAAGGCATTTTTTTTCATAGTTTTTACCTGACTGTGTTTGCGCGTAGCGCAGATAGGCTTTATAACCCAAATAGGCGAAAATATTTATTGCTTTTTTTCGGCAAAACCGAATCACAGGAAATAAAAACGGAAATGCAGTCAAGTGCTGACGTCGCACGACATAAACTAGGCGAGTAAGAGTTAATTAAAAAAAGGGAGCGCACACACAGGCAACAAAATAAACCAAATTATATGTGTATATACATTTATAGTATATATATATATATATATATATATATATATATATATATTGGATATGTAGAGTGCTGAGCCAGCACTGGGAGTTGGGCAACACTTGCTCGATGACGCGCGACTGCTTTCGCTTGCAACTCTCAACTGTGGCCCGGTTTGGTGGCAGCAACAACAACCGCCAAAATATAGAAGAAGAAGATGAAATGAAAGGGAAGCAAAAAACTTCCGGTCGACCCGAAAGCTTAGGACATCATTTGGCGGCCAAATGAAGTTAAGCAGGCGGCGCTAAAATGAGAAACGAGCACAAAAAAAGAGCAGCTGCCACAGCCATAGACATAGCCACAGCTTATCGCTTACAGCACAGCAAGCAGATCGAGGCTAACCAGAAGTATATGTAGGAGTAGCAGTAGAGGAAGAGCAAGAAAATCAATGAGCTTTTGTTGCTAGTGGCTGGCAGGTGCAAGGAAGGGCTTACCTAGGCTTATTGTTAGATTGAATGCAATCCTCTGCATTTGAACAAATGTTGCCTTTGAGTTTGCCAAATCAAGCGCAGTAAATGCAACGAACGCCAACAATGCCAGATAACAGATGCATACGTATATGCAGTGTGTGTGTGTGTGTGTGTGTGTGTGTGTGCAATGGACTGTCCATGCAATTTTACGTGCCTGTTGGTTTGTTGCCTACTTTCGGGCGCAGGCTGGCAAAACGATGCGTGATAATTGCATTTTAAGCGCAATTGCGCCTATTGTGTAATCTCGGTGCACACAAACAGAAACTGCAGCCCACATACACACACATATCTACAAATATTGACTTGCTGGACAGCCCAACCCAGCCCAATGCAAGCGCCCCAGAAATAATATTACGCATACCACATGTAGCCGCGGCCATGACTGTTTCTGTGCTTGCTATCTCCCTCTCTCTCGCTCTCTCTCTCTCTCTCTCTCCAACTCACACCCTCTCCCTCTCTCTGCTTTTAGCCAAATATGTCCTGGCCCTGCCAGCAGCTAATGCTGCTATTGGTCGTCCTGCTGTTGAGTGATGCGCATGCTCGGAGCGTTGTGACGTCACCGTTTACAGGAACAAACACACTGCTCCTTGCTTTGGGGGATGCTACCAAAGCGCTGCAAGCAGCGAAAGAAAACCTTGAAGACGCATCGATGCGACAGTATCAGCAGAAGTCGCAGCCAGCAACCTCGACAATTGTAGTTCAGGATTGGAGTTTGGTGTGTAAAGAGCTCTGCGGGTAAGTCGCGGACCTTTGGCCCAACCAACTAAGTGTCCTTCGCAGACCAAGGAGAAAGGTTTCAAAAGTCCATTACTGTGTTTATATTTCGCTGATTGTGTTTGTGTTTCTGCTCTCAAGTGTCCTTAATATATTTAATAAAATGATATGCATCTGTGAACATACTTGTAGAAAACTGGCACGCAAGGCCATTTGCCCTCAAGTGGAAAAATTTTAAAAATAATTCATTAAAGTGTCACCAGATATCAGATTTACAAATGTTATGAAATGGCGTCGGCATTTCAAGTGCCATTTTTACCGACAACTAAAATAATCGGCGAACACTCATCGTTGAAGCGACATATTTTTTCTGTCCCCAACAAAACATTTCAAGTGGAGTTATTTTTGTTACAATCATGCTCTACAAATATTTAATGTACACGCACTACGATCATGTTTTCATAAAGCGCTAACGTGTTGACTATTTTCAACTATTTTCATTTGAATTTGCAGAGCTGGCCTGAGCGTCACGCCCTCGCCTTGTGCGTCGGAATGCGCCGGGCAAGTTGCACTGCCAGGGCCAACATTGGCGCCAGCTCCTAGGGACAACGCTGCAATCCTGAGCCCAGAGTTTGGGTTGGCTATATGCGAGAACTTGTGTAAACTGAAATTGGGTAAGTGTAGAATCAATTTCATTTCATTCGAATAAGGAACAATTACCTAGATGCATAATGTTGTTACTAAGAATTTGGTTCATTATGTTCTGGCTGTGAAAAATATATATAAAGAGTAGGTCCATTACAGATATGAAAAAAATATATACAAAACGAATCATAACTATAGTAAATTAATAAAAACATTAAATTTTAAATACGAGTAATACTTTTCTATTGTATTTTTTGAACATTATCAAAACTAAATTTAATTCTCTCCTTTTCTAGCACTTAAAAGATTAAGGATATAAGCTATGATTAAGGTTGATGAATAGTCAGTTTTATTAGTATTATCAAAACTAAATTTAATTCTCTCCTTTTCTAGCACTTTAAAGATTAAGGATATAAGTTATGATTAAGGTTGATGAATAGTCAGTTTTTTGTTATATTGGCAAAATGCTTATAAAAACTTAAGGATTAGTTAAAATAACTTGTAACTTAAGTTACTTCCTGTAAATGATTGTTCGTGAAGATATAAATAATAAACTTAATAACAGAAGTATCTAGGTTTAATAGTCTTGCGGGTACTTCATAGATTGAGTTTAGACTTTAGGTTTGTTTTCGATTAATCTTCCGAAAATTAGAGCCAATTAATATCTTAATATCTTAGGAACGCAAATTTTGCTCAGAGACTACTAATTTATTTTCAATCTTTTTTAATGTATGTCAGATCTATATCAGTTGATAATAAAAATTAGAGTATATTAAAGATGTTGTGGGCTTTATCAGCAAACATAAACATAATAGGGTTCCCTTCTTAGAGCATTGGAAAAATGATTATTAATTTAAAATATTTTATTTTATGAAAAATTTTTGCTAATAAAATTACAAAAAAAATATTTTCTTATGTAATATTTTATGAATATTTAAATTTTTAATTAAAATAAAAACCAAAATTTCCATCTAAATTAAATATATAAAAAGTATCCATATAGATATTTAATTAAATTCCACAACACACAGACTAATCAAACTAGATTTGACATTTATTTGTAATGATATGTTTCATTTAAAAACTAAATTAATTAATTTTAGTTAGATTAAATATTCAAATTTTGTTAATAATTAATTCCCTATAACAAAGCTTTAAAACCCGAAAATGGGAATTAAAAATATTTGTATCATTTAAAATGACTGTAAATAAAATTAATGTATTTTGAAAACGATTTCCCATTGCAGGTGGTGTTCAGTGCACCTGCAATGTCTCCGAGGCGCCTCCACCGCCGACCACATTGCAGGCGACGAACGATGTGCTCTATTACCAAACCCATACCAGTTTCAGTCCGCAGCAGCTGTCGCATGTTATTGAAGCCGGTTTAAGCCAGAATGTAGCTGCACATGGTTCCGAATTGAGGACCGTGAGCGCCCAGCCATCAAGCGATGTGGACCCAACCGCGTCCGATCCCGACTGGAACGAAATGTGCAAGGTGCTCTGCTCAACTGGTGATGGCGGGTCTTTGTGCAACTGTGATTTAACGCCATTTATCTCCTGAAGGGAAGACGACGCATGGAGAGCGCTTAAATCACAAAAACATTGTTAAAAACATATTGATTTGTTCTTTGTTCTTGTTCAGAAGAGTATTTAATTTACAATATGGTTTTGGGGCTGCAACCAACAGCCTTTTATCTTTATTTTGTGTTGTGTTTATGCTAGTGTTGGCTTTAAAATCTATTGTTGTTACAAATGAAAGTATTTAGTTGAATTGTATAAAAACAAAAACAAAAACCTAAATGGAAAACTATAAATATAATTAGAGACGCGGCCATTGCCGCTAAGAGAGCGAAAAACAAAAAACAAACAAAATTCCCTATGCGAATCAATTAATTTGTAATTAATTTCAATTAAATGGTAAAGACAAGCAAATAATAGATACTACTATTAAAGATAGTGAAGGCAACTATATAAGCAACAAAAAGTAAATACATACTATATATGTGCATTGCATAATGCAAGAAAAACAAAATAGTTTCGAAACTGTTCAAAACACAAATTTAGTTCCAATTACAAAAGTCGAGTCAACAAAATCACAAAAGGGCTTCCAGTGCGGCACCAAGGTCCCCAGCAAAGCGCTCAGGATTAGGTGCTGGCACAACTACAAACCTAAGGATTAGTTGAAGAATGAAAGATGGCAGTAGAAGTATTTCAAAAACAAAAAACAAAAAAAAAAACAACCAAAAATATCAAAAAATACACACATATCGTCGTGAACAATTATTTACACGCTTCTATACTTAATACGTATATCACTTTTGTTCAATTAATGGAATCAGCATATCAATTCAACAAAAGGAAGAAGCAAACTTAATCAACATTTTAAAATATTTACAAAACCCCTTTTCGTTTAAAAACTATTTGTTCTGCTTGAAAATCAAAATACGTTTCCATTGTTCGCCAAACAAAAAAAAAAATCAAAAAATTAAAAGTATAAAAAAATCAAATAACAGTATCAATTAAAGTGTCACAATTATATACATATATTTAATGATACTAATAATATTGTTAACCAAGAGTTTAGTGTTGGTTAAAAAACATAAACGTACATACCAACAAAATATATATGCATACATATAAATACATATATATACATATATATGAAAATAACAATTATACATATAACGAAATGAGTTGCGATTGCAAATCACAAACGACTCATTGAAGAAATACCCAAGAATGAGGAGAACACTCGACGTTTTGAGAAACCGCAGCTAAATAGGCGTATTTTAAAGTATTTTCTGAACAACTATCTCAATGTGCGTATTTCGAAGAAGAAGATGATGAACAACAACAACAATAATATGTATTATTATTATTAACAACAGCATACTAAAAAGTGTTTGGAAGACATTTTTTCGTATTCATGAAATGGAAGACTATTTCAGCAAACAACAACAAGCATTTTGGAAGACATGCGTTAATTGCAAATATAACATCACTTGCAACTAGTTTCTTAAGAGCTTAAGCTATTATCATTTCAATTGTTTGTTACCTTATCAACAACAACAACAACAAAAAATTACATTATTCTTTCGAAGCACACGTTGTTGTGTCAAACGCGACGCTGTGACTGACAATAATTGAACACAAAATAATGCATTGAACAAACAAAGCAAAAGCAAAAACAACAAAAAAAAATATAAAATTAAAAAAAAATCAACTATACATAAAGTGAAATCATCTTTAATGTTTTATGTGTGTAAAGTTATCATACGTATTATAATGTTAGCCAACCTTAATAATCCAGCACCTACTATATAAATGTTTGTAATTGCACCAAAAAAAAGAAAACAAAAAAACCAAAATGGAAAGTTAAAGCTAGCACTTATTCAGAGCACATTCATTGAGAATCTAAATATATATATATGGCTTCAATATATGTACTTATATAAATGTGTAGTTGCGTTATTATATACATACATATAGGTAATTACTACACCTATGCAAAACATACCCAATTCACTTGACATTTATGTATATGTATATGTGTTAAGCAGTTGAGATGGCGTTGTCCAACGTCTATGCATAAAACAACAGCAGCAGCAAAAACGAAAAAAAAAAAAACAAATATAACTCTATTATTATCGCAGCATAATTAATGCTTAACATTAATATAACATTATTAATAATAATAATAATAATAATATGTAACATCATCATCAATTACAAATAACAAAACGGTTACGGTAATAACCGTTTCGTATTTGAGAACATTTTTGGTTTTCTCTTCTCGGTACAGTAAATGCCAACATTGCCGAAGAAGAACATTTTGACAGCAACAACAACACAATGGTAGCGAAAATGAGCAGTGAAAATAATATCAAGAGGAAGCATAATTATATAATAAACATTATCTAACTAATAATAAACTATGTAATCGTAAAGAGAAATTTAAAGACAATTCCCATAAATGCATACTAATAATACATACTACATAGCAAAATAAAACCAAAAAACAAAACCCATAATACAGCAAAAATATATTATGTGTTAAATGTTGTAAAGCCCCTCTAAAAAACAAAACATCTTTTTGTGTTTTATTTGAATGAGGTTGTGGGTGGTGTAATCAATTCAGAAAGAGTATTCAGTATTCAGTATTCAAGCATTTCAGTTGAACTCTTATAAAAGTTTTAAAACTACACTTGGGAATAACTGCTCGAACCACTTGCATTTACAGTATAACAGTTAGTACTGGAACAGTTAGTAGGAATGGTAACGGTGCGTATAACAGTGGAGTTGCAGCATCCGAATATTCTAGAAGCAACAATATAACAGTCGAAAGAAGCAGCAGCCGTTAGCATTCAGTCCTCTCCGAAGTCTTCCCACGTCGCAGCAGTCGAGGCACATTGTTGAAGGATTAAGGATATACATATATAATTAGTACGACGAAAAGAATCGACATTGACCTATGCCTCTGTCCATCAGTACTTTTCTTTTCTAGAAGCAAAGAAAGTGTGCACATACGTGTAAGTTTATCGTTTTTCTTGAATATAAAGCCAGTTGCTTGAGCTATATTTAAATCCTCCTAAACAGCGTATTCTTGATTTCTCATCCTTGCAATCTACTGACAGCTTTTCATAATCGAAACAGAAGCCATTTTAGTTCTTTGGATGAGGGATATTAGACTCTTCTTGATTATAAAAACTCGTAAGTATTCAAATTTTTCGATGTATTTTCAGAAATTAATGTTACTATTGCAATTTGCATTATCATGTTATTTATTTAGCTATAACTGAATCCAATCCAAATGTTGTGTTAGAAATGTGTGAACTATTTCTGAGAAATTTTACAAGAGATTAGCACTATATCCTATTGTTCCTCTTTTTTCGGTTTATTGGAGGAATCAACGCTATTTTCCAAGACTGCATTAGCTGTGACTGCCATAGGTTGGGCGTTAATTTCAGTATTGCCGCCCGTGGTGTTACTTTCTGGCAAATTCTGCTTCTGTAGAGCACGAAGAAACGCTTCCATATTGCCAGTATAGGCCGCGTCAATGGCATCGCTAGACAATTGAAATTGTTTCACCACCGCTCCCAACTGGGCCGACTGTAGGGCATTCGAGAATTGCAGCATTGCCTGCTGGAATTGTGGTGATCTGAGGGTATCCCTGATCGCATTCTTGCGATCCTTATCCATGCCTTCGGGTGCGGGCAAGTGTGCTATGAGTTTGTTTACACGCTCCGGATCCGAGATCAGCTGATTGACCACGCCAGCATTCGAGATTCCACTCGACAACTCATAACTTAAGAGCCCTTTGACATGTGAGGAGGCATTTAGCAGCGAATTATCTTCCACCTTGGGGCAATTGCCTTGGGCGGATGGCTTGGCGGTCGCGCTTACATTTTTGGATGCGGTTGGCGGAACTCCAGTTGCAGGTGTAAGAGGGTTCGCTTGCCCGAGCAGCGCGTTCAAGCCGCCCATTTGGCCAACATTTCCAAACACTTGGTTCAGCTGAGTCTGCGACATGTCATTCAACATATGCTGCAGCTGAATATTGTCGGTGCCACCACCACGCTGGTGCACCAATGGAGGATCGTCGAGCAGCGCATTGATGCGACGGCAGTACTCCTCATCCCTATCGGTCTTCGGCTCCTGCATCCAGAAGAACAGGCGTCGCGGCGACCACATGAACATCAGCACATAGACCCGACCCGTCTTACACTGCTGGACGCGCTTGTACTCACAGTCGCCCGGGAAGATAATTAGGTCTTCCTCCAACTTGCCGCTGGTGCGATCCTTCCAACAGAAATGCATCAGGCCATCCTCACTCTGTGACATATAAAGTAGACCCTTCCGCGCATCCGGATGCACCATTTTTCCCACCTTGTTCATGCGGCCAGCTCGAAATTCGATCAGTGTGCTGCCACTGCCGGTGCTTCCGCTCAGTAACATGACGCTAGCCCTTCTGGAGAGTGGACCTAATGGGAGAATTTAAACTAAGCAATTTGAATGTATTTCTACTTTTCTGTAAGTTTCAGTTAAAATTTTATATTTTATTTCGGGAAATATATTGCCTTCCTCCAATGTGTGTGTGCGTGTCTCCCCAGCTCAATAATTTTTTAAAGACTTTCAAAGGCTACTACTCTACAACAATAAACATATTTGTTAACAAATTATTACTACCATATAAGATTCGAGTTATTTAAGAAATTCTTTTATCGTATGAAATTTGAGTTTGAATAACGTTTCATAAACTGCTTTCTCAACTGCTTGAAAGTTCATTCTGCACTGCTTGTATCGCTACGAAACTGTTATATTGTCTGATGGGATAAAAACTGCAAGCTTTTACAAGCAGTGCAAACATATACAATGAAGCGAATAAATACGCGCACTATGGGTACTCTAAAGTGAAGATTTTATTTATTTAAAAAATAAAACGCACTTGCATAACTTTGTTAATTATGTTTATTTCATTATTTTGCATAATTTGCAATTACCCTTGTTGATTAAAAAAGACTAACATAACTGGACGTTTGCATAATACAAAAATAATATACATATATTAATTAATATCAACGCATTTTACAAATAAATTCGCTTAGACTGTGTGTTTTAATTGTGTGTATAATTATTTAACAAAAACATTTGCATGTCCCGCAAACATGCCAATTTGTTAGAGTTTAAAAATTTAACTAATTGATTAAAAAAAAACAAGGAAGATTTCTTGTGCTTGGCCTTAATTGTTAAGTTATTACAATGTTGTTTGTGTTTTTTTTTTTTTTTTTTCTTTAAGTACAAAAGAAGGCTAATGTGGTTTTATAATGAATATCGTTTTCGTTTCTACGTCTTTTTCGTCGCTGTGTGTATTTGTAGGTGTGTGTGTTTGGTTTAAAAAAAAAAGAAAAATTGTATTACATCGACCGCAGTATTTGAAAATATTACACATTCCGAGATATACATGAACATGTACATATGCATATGTAATGAGTATATTGCTTGTCTGACAACACCTTCAATTTTTTTTGTTTTTGTGTTTTGCATGCACTTATTGTAGTTGTTGTTGTTGTTGTATTTTATTCTATAGTTTCTGTTAGCAAAAATTATTGGTTGCTTATACAAAAAATTTACATTATTATTACAGTTACAATTGGCAAGTATAGTTGTTGTTAGGTAAGTTATTTATTTCGTAAGTATATACTAAGTTTTAGAACAATTTCGAGAATTTTTTTTCTGGTTGTAATTGTTGTTGCTGAGTGTGTGTGTTTTTGTGTGTGTGTATTATTAATTATAAGTGTCTTTTTGTTGGTCTTTGTAAATATTCCAGCATTTTGGACAGACAGACAGTATTGCACACTAGTCTAGTCTCGCAGACACTTCGAGTGCCCCGAAGGACTGCTTCTATTAACTAATCGATAAACGATTAGAGAGCCGTCTTCATCATTCGCCCGCCAATTCATCGATGCGACACCGTACGGCATGCTCGAGCACCTCCAAGCTGGCATAATCCAATTCCTTGACCAGACACAGTGTAGCCGACAACAGATTTGAGTTCTGTAAATCGTATCAAATAGTAAACAGGAATATCTTAATTTTAATACATATACGCAGATACTCACCCTATTAATGGGACGTCGATGATAGCCCGAATAATGGTTCATTACGTTGGCTGAAACGTTGCTGGCTGAATCGCTGTAGCGACCCTCGGGACGTCTATAAGTATATTCGATAATATTTTTTGAAATCAAAATACAGTGACTTTTGGAGTGCCTAGAAAATAATTTGGTATAAATACAGGGATAGGGATGTCCTTGAAATTTTCTCACTTTCATTAAATTCTCGGGTTCTCGCGTAAAGTTTCTTTTAAATATACCATATCTTTTTACCATTAGATATTAAAATATGTATATTTTTAATTTTTGCATTAATGTAAATTATAGATGATTGGTTAACAATGTTTTTGACAAAGAATATTTAACTTTAAGATGAGCTGATTTCCAAGCATTTCTAGCAACATTTTCCAAGCAATATTCTATATATACTTAAAAGTATTTAGTAGTGGACATATCGCAAGAATAAAATAAACTGGATTCGCTTGTAAGTGTAAAAAATGCTCAAGCAAAGTATAAAATCTCTACGTGATATAGTCTCAGAAAACTAGACGTTCATACAGTCGAACAACAGTTCAGACCAAACTGATTTACACTCTTAATGTAGACAGATTTCGATCACTTCAAGCCCCATCTCAGATGAAACACTCTTGGGAACTTCTTTTAGCAATCGCCACTCACCTGGAACGCGGCCGTTCCTCGCCGTCCCACTCGCCGCCATTCTCACGTGCGCTCCCATTGCGATACCCGTAGCGATCGCTCTCGGCGCCCGCAGCACGACGCTGGGCGTGATGTAGTTGCATTTGACTACCATAGGGGTTGTGATGGACCTGAGGGGTCTGATGCTGTTGATGCTCCTCCCATTCCGTCAAATCGGTCTGGCTATGGCGATAATGAGCTGGATACGCTGGCCGATCGGACTGATAGTATTCCTGTTGGGGTGAACGAAACGAGGAATACAAAATTAGAAAAGCGACACCATTCTAAATGCTGCTCCACTCAACTGTTTCACAACTAGTTTTTGTATTATATAGAGAAGGCGCGTCATCTTACCTTCATGGAATGAGTTGATATGCTGGGCGGTATGGGAGCTGAACGCTCTCTATAGCCTGCATGGGGGCTCTCCTGATCGGAGCCGGGCGACCGCTGGTATTATTGTTGTTAGTGGTTCGTGGTGCGCGTGAGTTTGCAATTAGTTGTGATTGTTCGGATTAGAGGGGGGATATATAACAAACGAATATACCGTTAGACGAGAGGTGGTGTGTGTTTAGTGTGTCATTAGATTTGGCATATTACGAAAATGTTGAGCCCATTGTCGGTTTTGGTCAATGGCGGCAAACTTAAATATAATGTGCTGGTAATTTGACGCCAACGAAGCTTGAATGACGTCGCACAGAAATGCCGAAATGTCGCTCATTGGAAGACCTAACCCTTTGTACCATTGTATATGTATGTACATATGTCTATATACTCGCACATACATAATGACCCATTTTATCAGTATGCTTTACTTTCTGCTTCGCCTTATGCCTTGCCTCCGTTTCGTTGATGCCGCTTGCCGTCATTCAAAGTCAAATGTTGCGGCATGACTTAACCTAGAAAGCAAAGCGCGCCCCCACTAACTTAACAATGGGGCTATGGTAGCGACACTACCAAGAACCTTAACCATGCCGAGAGACTTGCGTGACTAGCAGCCACCGGCAAAAGAAACAGCAACAGCCAACAGAAGCGACTGCGACTGCGACAACGACAACGACAGAGCGTGCCCTCAAGTGTGACGTGTACACACCCAAGACTACACTACTTATTAAGTAGTCCGTTGATGGGCATGGGGATCTATTGTCCCATCACTCAACTCAATAGTGCTTCAAAAACTGTCTTCCCTACTTTTCAAAACAAAGACTGCACCCTCACGGAAACACCAAAAGCCATAGTGAACGCACGTCACAAGATATTCTGAGCGAAATAGGTGTTATAAATACTCCCCTCTAGCTAACTCTAAATATTTGTTAAAAATGCTTTAAAACTTGATTTTAAGAAACGTTAAGCCGACTTGAAACGTTTTTTGTTTTTGTGAACTCACGATTTGAAAGAAGTACCAAACAAAATTATAAGCAACTCTTTTAGCCGCTTTAAGGTGATAATTTTATTTTGAAAACTACATCTCATACTTATTTGACACTTTTAGCTGACTACTATTTTAAGTGGCGTATTACTAAACCTCGCATAAATTTCTTTGCTGCCTTTAGAGTCGATTAAGCATTTTTCTGTTCACAACACATACCCGAATAATTAACTGTTAAAAGGGTAATTAACCAACACTAGGGCATTTTCTTGTTCACAATACCCGAATAATTAACTGTTAAATTGGTAATTAACCAACACTAAGGCAATTGGGAAAAACCAAACAGAAATGTAGAGAAATAATAATGGAAACCTCGTTTTCGAATGCACAAAAATTAATCTCATATCGAGTGACTTTTTTACCAGTTCAAGACCGCTTTCGATAGTTTTTCTTCACCCGTGATTTTTTATTTAAAATCTTGTGGAAAAAATGATTTCTCTCCCTCTTTAAATTTCCAGTTTTTCTCGAATCTTTAAATTTAAACTCCCTAGTTTCTCCGTTTGCGATTCTGACTACATTTTGTGTGCAATCTAAAGGCAAGAGGAAAACAAGCTTCAATCGGTAACTGTACTTTAATATCCAATTTTTTCACTCTAAAGGTAGCTTTTCCCCCACACTTGAACTACAAGTATACTAGTATATCGAGCGCGCACTGTTATTTTGCTAGACAGCGAGCTCAACAATATCGTTAAAGGCTTAAGACTGGTTGCTTACATCAGGCTGATAAAAGGATGTGCGCTGCTCTTTAGTTATTGTATTATATTTGGGTGATGGCGGATGCGCGGGTTCCTGGGAAGGTAAAATCAAAAACAGAATGCCAATAATAATAATAGTTAGTAGGCTGGCTTAACAACTAGACACACACACACAATTGTGCTCACAACTAAGTAAAGGTCTGGTGTCATTAGGTGAGTTTTCTCAGGCCCAGCCAGAGTTAACTCTTTTCGTTACCTTTGTGGGTGTTGTGGGCTTTGAGTTTTGACTCTGACTATTATACAAATCGCTGACATTATTAGTTCCATCACTGCTATTAGCAAGCGGACTTGCTAATTGTGGCGGCTTGTGAATGAAGAAGAATATGTGGTTAGTGTTTTAAGTGGCAAGAAAGAGTGCAAATTCTTTCACAAACGGACGGATGCTGGGTGATGGAGTGATGGAGAACAAAAGCAAAAACAAAGGAGAAAACAAAAACCAGAGCAAAAGAACAACAAAGGAATGCATTTACCTCTTTCATGGGACTCGAACTGCGACGCGGCTGCTGATGATACTGCGCATGCGCAGAACTTGGCGAGGCCTGTGGCTGTTGTTGTTGTTGTTGGTAATGCTGCTGTGGCGGTGGCGAGTGCTGTGGATAACTGTGCTGCTGATGCTGTTGGTGTTGTTGTTGCTGCTGCTGCTGCTGCTGTGGGGAAGTGCGTTGTTGTTGCTGTCTCGCCTCATAGGCATCCTCATAGACCTCATCCTCAGGAATGGCGCCAGCACTGCCTCGCAGCGCATCATCCATTTCCTCTTGCGTCACCTCCACATTATCCAGTTTCTTGAGGTTCGGCAAGGCACGCAACACAATGGCGCGATAGCTACAGATACAAATGATTAGTTGATGAGTAATAATCACAAACAAATTCATTATAAACAGCAGGTTTGCTCTTTTTACTCACTTTGGCCCCGCACGCTCACAGCACGGATTCTCCTCGAGCCACAGATATTTGAGAGCGGGCAAGTTTTGCAAATAGGCTATTTCATTGATATCTTGTATGTTATTTTTTCGTAAATACAACTCTTGTAGTTTTGTGCAGTCTTCAAAGGGCGACAGTGTGCTGATTTTGTTGACGCTGTGGCGCAAAAACAAAAAAACAAGCGGGAATTAATGAATTATCCACAATCGTACAGGCATTAAATTACAATCAACAACAAAGACACTTCGGCACAAGTGAGTGTGAGATGATGTGATTCATTTCCTTAAGAATTGGGTTCGGCACACACAAAGCGCAGAGAAGAGAAGAAGAGACCACAAAGGCAGCTCTGGAGGCTGTGCGGTTTGTTCCGCTCTGCCTTTTATAAGCATGAGGTCATTAACTCTAGACTTTCTTTCGCGCCGTTAAAGCGAGAAATAAAACCTAACTATTAAAGCGTGTTTTGTGTAACGAGGGTGAGATGGTAAGAAAATAAGAATAACACCCTAACAATATTTATTTAAATACCCATACTTCTAATATGAGTTATTCTTAACTTTTCAATTTCGATCTATCTTTTTCAACAATACGGACAATTGTAAAAAGAAAGTTTTGGATCATTTGGAATGGTAGAAATAATTCTCACTCGGTTACGAATTGATAACCTTATTATTATGGTGGGAAACTCACTTAAAAGTAGAAGAAAGAGACTGCGACGCTTAAAGATCAATGGCTTCTCGAAGTCCTGGTCTGCTCTTCCAAAGGTTATTTTATTTAAGAATAAACCAAAAAGAGAAAACCGCCAGTATTTGAGAAAATCCGACATGGATGTTACACTTGTTTAAAGAAGTTATGCCACTACCCTCGCATGTATGTACTTGTGTCTGAACACATATGTTTATGCGCTGAAGACATGACACACTCTTTCTAGTTCCATGAATCCACAGAAGAAAAACCGACACTGTCATCATTCATCATTGATTGTTGTCGAGGCTGACAGATGCCGGCTCTGGACCCCGACTGTCGCCGAACCCGCTGACAGGCCCATGGGTGTATTGTCGTCTAGGTCAAGGTAGATATACAAGTAGTCGTTCGTACGACGACTTCGACGCTGCTTAGCGCCAAATCTATGCTAATTACTGTGAAAAGGCCAATTGGCCGACGCCTGAGTTTCTCGAACGAGGCGCGTGCCTTAATTGCTTTCTTCTTCCGTCTGCTGGTGTTGTATGGCTTGTCAAATGCTTGGGACGATAAGATAGCTAGAAATACACGCACGCGTCTATATATATTGAGTATGCGGGAATATGGCAAGTTCTTGAGCCACTCTGGCTGTAAATATGTGTTGTGAGGGTATATAAATAAAATAGCCTGAGCAGGCGGCTAAAATTAGAGGAATTTTTCTATTTTGTGTCACTTTAAATGGCACACGGGTGCATTGCCATGGATGGGAAGGTATGTGACCTCAGCGCGACTTTTGGACTGCGACTAGCAATAGGAAAGGCACGCAAAAGTAGCACAACTAATCGGGTAAAAAACCCAATCCACACATTTGATATGCTAATTAGACAACTTCTGTGACTTGCTTTCTTACCTCACCTCTCAGCCCCTTTCTTCGAGCACACAAAAGCTGGTACTAAAGTCTGCGACAACTAAACATAGTGCTCTTTATATTTACAGATTTATAATATATATTTAGGTATATATATTGATTGTCCTGTCACAAGGCTGCACGCAATGCAAATCGAACTGATTTAGGTTACAGAACACTATATAGAAGAATTGCATACAAATTGTCGGGCATGACATCAAATGTTGAACAATCGGATACACCAACGCATGACAGTCATAGGAAAAAAACATGAACTGATTTATGGCCAATTTATGGTCTACCATTGCCTTACACAACAGCAAACACAGAGCCGGAGCCAAGTGCCGAGCCAGTTAAGTCAAACAACAATAAAGCAGTAACAACAGCAACAACAGCTTTATAACGCCTCGTCCATAAATGCCATTGGATATACTTACAAGTAGAATAAAAAGAATCGTTGAGGGCTGTGCATTGGAACGAAACAAAGAGCATTTCGCTGTTAAATGCAAACCCCAGACAAACCGTCTTTGTTGCCTTCGTAGCCACGACCCGAGAGCTACCTCAACGTTTACTGCAAATAATGGTTAATAATAACTCGAATTTCTGTTCAAGTGTGCAGATTAAGTGGCCTGATATAATGCAATAATATGAGCATAGGGCTGGGCTACACTTTGAAAAAAGCGAGCTGTTGTTAAGACCTCAGGCATATACTACATACTTATTTTCTTAGTTTAAGATTTGTATTTGTATACCCTGCACCCTAAGGGTGAAAAGGCAGAAGAAGGCGTGGCAGACCCCTTGTGTTAGGCCCATACATACTATAATAGATCAGCCTGATGAAATGCATATATATAAAAAAAATGTCCCTTTGTTCGTCCTTATGAATATCAAGAACTTTTGACCTACAAGTATAAAAGCTAGGGATACCAAACTTGATATATGGACTTGTCTTATTTAATTTCTTTATTTATTATTTATTAGCCATACACAAAGCAAGTTTGTTAGAAACCCGACATATGTAGTCTCATATTTTATATTTCATAAAACTGAGCGGTTTTTGACTTAACTTGTTTCTTTGTGATAATAAGTATCTTAAGCGAATTCGAAATTTCATAAAGATGGATTTGCTGTATCATATAGGAAATGATTGGAAGAATAATATTACAAGGTAGATATTTGCATTGAGTGTTGAGTTTTCCCATATTGATGATGAGTGCTCTTCTTTTCGACATCCCATCAAAATTTCATGGCAATCTGATAGACAAAAACCTAGCTATCGCACACAAAGCAACCCTGTGTTTGTGCTAACGGTAAAAAAAATGACTATCAAGCAAGGAGAAAATATTAAATACTGTTCCTTTTCATTAATTAACGAGACAAGTTTGTGGTGATAATTATTAACCTTGTGGCTGAGTCCATGAGTGGCAAACGTGATTCAAGAATGGTCGTGAGAACTTAAAAAGATGCGTGGGATAAACAGCGTGAATTTTTCAAAAATCAAACAAATGAAATGAAATATCTCAAAAATCAACCATTCATCGCATTTTAATCGAACAGTTCGGTGTTAATTTTCTTATGAAAAGAAAGCGCTATAACGATGTCGAGGCCTTTCAAAAGGCGTTAGGAATCTGAGGGACATGCTTGGTGATGATTTAAAATGCTAGATTGAAATGCTTCTTGGTCGCAAAAAAAAAATTATTTGTCGTCGGGACGTCTATATTTGTAATAAAATAAGCTCATTTTGCCAAATAAACAATTCTGTACTCTAATTTTAAAAAGGTCCTGTTTACTTTAGAAAGCAGCCTGTAAAATAAATGAAAACAAATTGCTTTTGTTTACTTTGGAGTTAAATGATGATTGTTTGTTAAATATTTGAGTTGGGTTCGATTGCTATTCATAAACTTAGGGGAGGTATACTACATAAGCGATTATCGAATAAATTTGTCGAATCTCTGTCCAATTGGAAAGCCAAGTAACCAGTCACGTCATTCGTATTGCCCTAAAACATTTGTAAATTCAAATTGCACAGTTTAAAAAATCATTTGTAATACTCGTCTCGAATGGCAAAGAGCCCAAGTTCATACATCAATCAATATGGTGTATCATTCATTCATTGCAACATGTTGTCAAACAAAATAACAGTTAGTTGTGAATCGATTTCAACGACCTTGGCAATCAAAATATTACTTATTTTTGCTGTGCTTTGCGGCCATAAAAGGCAACAATGCATGGCAGCGACTACAACAAAAAACACTCAGCATAATCATCACTTATGTGTAAGAGCGTTGAAGTAGCTCTGCCATGTGTATCGCGCGACTTATGCATGCATGTACGAGTATGGCTATCCAACAGATACTTTTGAAGCTCCTACACACGAGCAAGCGGCGGCACTTGTTCTGCAATGTCCAAGGCGGCGGCCAACCCACGCCATAAATCGGCCACCAGTTCGGGTAGTAACTACAATTTTGGGGCTCCCACATACGAAACACTAAGTATTTTTTAAGCATACAATATATACACTCGCGTATATATTTATTTTGCATGAATTACGCGCCTGAGCATTTCAAAGTCCGCCAAAGTTTTTGCGGCTTGCTTTCGGCTCGCTCACTAGCTAATGATGATGCTCGCCAGGCGATGACATCATTCGCGTAACGCGTGTATACTCTATAAGTATCTATCTATCTGGGTATCTCTGTGTTTATGTATGTATGTATGTATGTATGTGTACCTCTATCTCGACTTAAAGCAGAAGGCGATTAATTGAATTGAAATCAATCAAAAACAAAACAGCAGCAGTGCAGGAAATGAGCGCAACCGCGCAATATTTGGCAAAAGTATCTTAATCCCCAGCACAAGTTGGGCCCCAACCGCCCCCGCTGGCCAGCAATTTTGTCGACTTACCTAAGCGCCAAAACTTCAACACCACGCATACGTTTGATTATGGATACATCGCTGAGATCACTTCCCCTGTAAAAAAGAAACAACAAGAATATTTGTTTATTAACAGAATAAATAAATGTTTAACATTAAAAATTCCGGGTTTCTGCCCCCTACCTTCCGAGCCAATGCTAATGACTAAATGCGTTTAGTTTGTCCCGCAAAAGTAGTTGAAATGGTCAATATTTGTTAGTTAAGAGAGTAAATAAATGTTTAAAATTAAAAATTCGGGTTTTCTCCCCCCTCCCCACTCTTAGACTATCTTCCGAGCTAATGCTAATGACTTGATGCGTTTAGTTTGTACCAGAAAAGTAGTTCAAATGTTCTTCGGCCTGCACGTTTTCATGCCACTCGGCGCTTTGAAGTGCAGCAGCCGCCTCCTTGCCACAAGGCGGCTGTCTTCGGCGCTCACTTCCACTTAACCCCTTAGGAAGAGTTTCGAGTGCGGCGTGACTTGGCACAGATAACGGCTAAGTGGAGCGTTTGGACGCGCTCTCCGCTGGTCATACTCGTAGTTGCAACTAAACTGGTTTCTGTTTCTGTCGCGTTTTGTTAGAAGCTGATGCCATAGACTCTATATTTAAAGCGGTTTTTCTGTTTTATGCTACGTATTTTGTCTGCATTTGGGGATTCGGGTCAGTTCGGCGTGAAGTGAAAGCGGGAGACGAACAGACGCAACTTTTCGAAAACATTTTCTGCTTTCACTGCAGTTCGAACACAAAATCCTTAAAGCTTGATAAAAAGGATGAGCTGGATTTTAACATTTCAAAATTATGGTGGAATACGAATGTTGGGAAATATTTAAAATGTTTAACTTAAGAAAATAATTTAAAAAACTCCCAAATTTTTCATTTAAGCTACTTATTTTTCTAGCAATTGTTACCATCAAGAAGATTACTATTTTTATTATTTTTAAATTTTAATAACGATATTGGCTTTAAATACAGTTGCAAAAATAGTCAGCCTCAAATTTAGGTAACCGTTTTTTTTTTATCTAGGATTCTTCCATTCAGTCTATCTGTTTGGATTAAACAAACTTAATTTAATACTCATTTCAATTGAGTTATGGTTGGTTAGTAACAGTCTACACGTTCTTAAAATTGAAGAGATTTTTATTATTATTTCACAATATGTGCGAGACCCGCAAATAATAGTATGCTGACACTAAAATAAATACAAACATAAACATAACAATTTTGTTAGCAACAACCAGGAAAATAAACAAAATAAAGTGCTTTGAAAAAATGAACGGAATAATAATGCCAATAGAGATGCTTTTATCTATTTCAGAAAAGTTTTTATTACTTGTCTAAATTAAACAGGATTACAATAGATTATTCCCTAAAAGATATTTGAAATTATTTTGACATATTCGCTATTTTAGTTTCAATAGCCCTAATTAGTATCCAATTCAATTCAATGCAGCGTGTGACTTGTATATCATGATATATAGTTGTCCCTGATGGGGTGGCCCGGTAAATAGCTGATCATGCAAAGCAATTAAAATAGTGTCAGACCCGCACCCACTACGATGCTGTCAGTATAAATAGATGGACACAGAATGCAACTTACCAACAATTGAGTTTTTTAATTAGCGACAAATCCGATTGCTTGGCACGGGCAATGACCATTTCCTCCGTTAGACGCGACATTATGATGCGATTACAATTACAATTTAATTGTGGCTTAGTACCGAATATTTGTTCAACCGAGGTCCAAACGAGGTTGTCTGCTGCTGCTGCTGGTGCTGCTGGCCGTATCGGAGCTTCAAACAGGTGTGGTTTAGAGCGGTCGTCTGTGTGTTAACCAATTGGCCAAATAGAACGTGTAGGCAGGCCCGTTTATGGACAATGAAAGGTGAGCAAGTCGGCCAAACAACAACAGGTTACAGTCAATGTAACGTCGCTTTTGTTGTTATTTTTGTTGTAGTTGTTATTGTGATTATTGTTGTTGCAGGCGTATGCAATTGGTAATTATTTTCTACGCTTTTTACACCTCGATGCTGAAGCTCCTTGCAGCGGCAGTGGCGTCGTCGTTGCATTCAAGACTCGAATAGTGGTGTTGGGATGGGGGCGTGTATGAGGTGGGCGGCAAGATAACAATTGTTGCGTAGCGAGTTTCCAGCTACTATTGTATCTTATAGATACTGCTTACACACACCACACACAAATACACACACACGCACACAGAGACGCTGGCGTAACTCACACGGATGACTAAGCGCGTTGTTGTTGTTGTTGTTGTTTCTGTTACCGCGGCTGTTGCTTTAACTATTGCGCGTTTATTTACTATTAACGTAATTCGTTGTTCACTCGTTTTCTCGCCGTTCCGACAGACAACAACTTTTACTCACAAAATACACATATATCTGCAAAATTGGTTGTTATTGTTGTTGTTTTCACTATACATACATATGTATGTCTGTATGTATGTACGAAAATTATAAGTCTATCTAGTATGAACTGAAACGTAAAATTTTGTAGTTTCTCGCATTGCACTTTTCGCAGGGATCGATTTTTCTTGTTTCCCACAAGCCGACACGTTGTTTTTATATGTTGATGTTGTTGATATGTGCACCGAAAGCCAAAAGAAAATGAATTAATAATCTGAAATATCCGGCACAGTTCACTCAATTTGTTATAACAGTAACGGAATTTGACAATTGGGATTCCGTTGGGCGACGACTGCAGGGATTTTCACCGATTTTTCATACCAAATTTTCTTGGTAGCTTTTCCTTACACAAACGCACACACAGTTGTACAGAGTTACAGGTATTTGTGTTGTTGTTGTTGGTGTGAAAGCGAGATAGAGATGAACAGAGGCACAAAGTTCAACGCGAATCGTAAATCGTGTGCGCTCCACACAAAAGCGCCACAAAGACTAAAACTTGATATACACGAGCTAGTGGCTGGCTTGCAACGGAGCTTTCATTGTGTTTGTTTACGAATATTGTGCAAGGCGTAGAGCGCGTTGGAGCTCATTTGTGGGTGTGCGGCTCTTATTGCGACGGCCTGTAAGTCAACAGACTGAGACAGCTGTCGTCACACTCGATACCAGCAATTATATACTCGATACCGATACATACTTGCCCATGTCGTCATCGATCGCTGTTTTGTGGCAACACCCTTGATGCTGCCATATTTATAAACAATAAGTAAAGAACGCAAATGCGACGAGGTGAAAGACATGAAAATTTTTTCTAAAAATAATTTGATATTGTTTATTATCGCAAATGAGACGAAGACGTAGTAACCAAAAGCAAATTTAAGGTGCGCATATTGAACGAATCGCCAATAAAACAAAAATCCTACACAAACAACAACAAATAGGGACAGCAAAAGAAAACACGTCGATTGTTCGCGTTCATGTTGGCTGCTGGTGCTGATTTATTTATGAATTAATTTCTCTATCTCGCGCGTTGATTTCTTTCGCTCTGTTCACCACTCGCGCTCGCCAGAGTCGAACGTGTTGTTTGTGGAATTTTTGCAGTTGAGTAGTAGTTGCTATTTTGTCGTGGGACGAAAAAGAACGCGTTTATTTAGTGCTGCTTTTGGTGCTAGTTGTGGAGGAAACAGAGATAACCTTGGGCGTATTTACAAGCTAGCGCGACGCGTGAGCAATTAAACCCGTTCAGCGTTAGAACTCACTGTAGTTTTTATTGTTGTATCAAGTGGAGCTGTGCAACAGCAGCAGCGAGTGTAGGGTATCCATAGAAATAACATCTGGCGTGTGGCGTCAAGATAAGAAGGGTCTGGTCGAAAGCATTGTATTGCGAAAAACGTCCACACATTGAAAATACATATATATTTCTGGTCTGGCTGCCATTCGGAGCGTAGCAGCAATAAGCGTAAGTAACCCATTACGTCATCATCGTTGTGTACAATTTTAGAATCAAATGATTTCGCTGTTCATTTCTAGTTATTTGTCGATATCGCCCGCGCTTGCCGCCCGTGTGTAAAATTGGCAGTCTCCGTCGCGTTGAGAACACCGTAACATAATCAAAATACGCCTAAAATTGGAAAGCCACCTCAACGACGATGATTCACGTTGGCGAAAACACTTGGAATCTACGGATTCTCATCACAGATCTAGATGTAGAGAAAACGTTACGTGTAAAGGGTGACCAGCATATTGGTGGCGTCATGCTAACGCTTGTCGATCCAGAAATGCCCAAGGATTGGTCTGATCACGCGTTATGGTGGCCCGCCAAAAATATTTGGCTAACACGCACACGCTCCACATTGGATCAGGCTGGCGTCCAAGCCGATTCCCTTCTCTATTTCACGCCCATGCACAAAACACTGCGAGTTCAGCTGCCCGATTTGCGTTTTTTGGATTATCGTGTTAACTTTTCGGTGAAAACATTCGCCGCCGTTGTTAATCTCTGCAAAGATCTAAATATTCGCTACCCGGAGGAGCTGTCCCTTTGCAAACCTGTCGAGCAGGAGCATTTAAAGAAGAATTTCAGCAAGCTACCGCCCAAAAGGATACCCGCGGCGGAGATAAACGGTACGACTTACCTACAACCGGCACCTGACACGAACAGCTTTGTTCCCTTTTCTGCCTACAATGGCAGCAACGGTAGCCTAGATAGACATCACAATGGCAACTTGTTGTGTGCCCCCGCTTCGCCATATGCCACAACACCGCGTCGTGCAGCTACAGCGCCGGGCACGCCCATCAGCTCGCCCACAGGCACTTGGATGCCGGGCAGCAATTGCTATACACCCTTTGACTCGTCCTCCAGCTTTGGCGACTTTCAGGATAATTTAGCAGTCTCCCCACGCGCACCCAGTCCTGATGTGCGGGCACGCTTAGTGCGTCCAAAGACGCTGATCGAGAAAGCACGTCTTAATGTAGGATGGCTTGACTCATCACTCTCTATTATGGAGCAGGGTGTTCGGGAGTTCGATACGCTTTTGCTGCGATTCAAATATTTCACCTTTTTCGATCTGAATCCGAAATACGACCAGGTGCGCATAAATCAACTGTACGAGCAGGCCAAATGGTCCATACTCAATGAGGAGCTGGACTGCACCGAGGAAGAAACTCTGATGTTTGCCGCATTGCAATTCCAAGTGAATCATCAGACCGATTTGCATCCACCGAGCATAGATTCGGGCATTGATTCGTCCAGTCAGGAGAATGGTGACGACGACATCGATTCGGCCCTCAACGAGCTGCAAATCACGCTGGAGGGTCCCAACGCTGGAGACGACAAAGGGAACATTACACGCATTCCCGAGCTGTCTGATTACTTGCGTTTCCTGAAGCCACAACGCTTCACATTGAAGGGCTATAAACGCTACTTCTTCACCTATCGTGACCTCCATTTGCATTTGTATAAAACGCAGGAAGAATCCCGGCGGGCAGCCCCCACCATTACCATAAATTTGCGTGGTTGTGAAGTCACACCCGATGTTAGTTTAGCACACGGCAAGTTTGCGATTCGCCTCGAAGTGGCGCCAGAGGGTCGCCGCGGGCCCAATACGGAAGTTTGGGTGCGTTGTGAGAACGAGGAGCAGTACGCCAAGTGGATGGCAGCCTGCCGATTGGCAGCCAAAGGACGCTCCCTCGCCGATAGCTCGTACGAGACCGAAGTAAGCAGCATACGCTCCCTGCTGCAGATGCAGAAACCAGCCCAAGCAGCGCCTATTAACATCAATCCTCGTTCAGTGGAGCCAATGGATTATCTATCCCCCAAGATGCTGCGTAAGTTATCCAGCAAGGCAGTGCAGCGGATTCTGGAAGCTCACGCAAATGTCCGTAACCTGCAGCTAATGGAGGCAAAGCTCAAATATATACAGGCTTGGCAATCTCTACCCGGCTTTGGAGTCACACTCTTCATCATCAAGTTAGATGGGCATAAGAAGGAGGAGCTGCTCGGTGTCGCCCACAATCGAATTATGCGCATGGACCTCAACACTGGCGACCACATCAAGACCTGGCGCTACAACACAATGAAGGCCTGGAACGTTAATTGGGGGATTAAGTGCATGATGATTCAGTTCAACAATGAAAGTGTCCTTTTCTCATGTCTGTCAGCCGATTGCAAAGTCGTACATGAGTTCATTGGCGGCTACATATTCATGTCTATGCGTTCTAAAGAGAACAACCAGACCCTGAACGAGGAGATGTTCCACAAATTGACGGGCGGCTGGTCGTAAATGGGGAGTTAAGACGCGAGTCGCAGGTCTTGCGTAAAGTCCACAGTCTAATTATAGTGCCAAGCACAAAATGTTGTCGTAGTAACTCTGCATGTTTTATCTTAATTATATATGTAATTGTTATAAACAGTGGTGGGGGGCTTCTTTTTTGCACCCTCCCATTTGTGAGTCGCGAAAATGCCTAGACTAATTATAATACCAACAGGATAATGTTGTGCCTTGAAAGCAATTATTTTTAACCGATGTGTCAAGTCAAATAATGTCTTACTCCAAAACTAATACGAATTGGGTTCCATTTACTATAACTAAGGAGCTATTACTGCGGTTTCCTTTTCGAGAAAAATTGTTCAGGACGAAAATGTTTTAATGAAATCGCAACACTAGTTTCGAGATATACATATGTATGTATGTACAAGTATGTATTCTTTTGTAATATGGAACAAGTCTTAACACACATTTATGAGTCGTATACTAAAACATGTTAATGTTATATCTATCTATATGTGTCAATGTCAATCAATGTATAAAAAAAACCAAGAAAATGTACGCACATGTTTTGTGTACTTTTATACAACGAAGAAAAATGTCTAAAATGGTATTCTTTATATTGTACCTATTTATTATTTAAACAAACACAAAAAGAGAAAATAAATTATTTTGTATGTTTTTAACGAGCGTAATATGGAGGAGTTCAATTGATTGCATTCGAGCGTGTTTTTTGCGGTTTTTTCAGACTTGTGAAACTTGAGCTTGGAGCGTGATTAATCATCATTGAGGGGCGTTGCTAGTGAACTGTGACTAAAAAATATTTTGCAGCGCCACTTAACAATGCAATATATATTACTGCATTTAATAGCGCTTTCAATGGAGTTGATAAGGAACTACAATGCGAGCCATCGGACACAATATTTGCGTAAAGCACGTCGTCGGCCATATACATGCATATATACTTATAAGGAGATTATGCTCGCATTACAAAGCATAATCGTGTTGATTGATTGTGACAGGACGCACGCAAGGGGTAGATAACAACTGCATTGAGTCACCAGCATAGCAACTAATAAAACGAGCATGGTCTCACGCCGGTCGTTTAATGCGTCAAAGCCGCCAAGCAGTTGACACGAAAAGTGTACATTCCTTATACTTTCAATTCAGCACATTAAAGCATAATTGAATTGAATCTGTGCAGCTGGTAGTTACATACTACTTTCAAGATAGTTTGCAAACTAAAGTCGAACTTTTGCAACAGTTTTTTTTGTATTTCCATTACGGAAGTTCCTACACAGCATTAATTTGAAATGTGAATATCGATAGAACGTAAGGCGCTAACAAGTAATGCGCCCATCTGGCAACACCGCAGATTGCACATGGCCAAGCAGCTGTTGGTCAATACGCTGTTTACATACAGATAGCTGTTAACTAAATTAACTTACATATTTCTATATTTATTTGACACATTCAAATGGACGATGAGGATGATCCCGTGGTGGAAGAGGTAAGTGCTGCCCTAATGCCAACAATGCCCAAATAATAAGGGTCAAATGCCTCGCCACAGATACCCGTTTTTCTCTCCAAGAATCTGCAAGACAGCCTCTATCTCTTCCAATACCCCACAAAAACGACATTGCCAAATCTGGACGATGCCATCGTCGTCAACTGTTGCGTCAAGCCCTATACTCAGCAGGTGAAAGTCAATTTCGGACTGGACACCGATGCCAAGCACTATGATCGCTTCAAGGGCGAACAGTTTGCAGTCTCGGCCGATGGCAAATACACTCTGGGCTCGACTACAACAAAGACCGGGGAACGTCCCACTTTTAAGCGTGGCATTATGGACAACCAGGCCTTCACCAGCACGCGCTCCCTCACTGACGTCTCGAAGTATATTGTAGGAATATTGACAGACAAAGAGATGCATCTCTCGCCCCTGACCAGCATTGTCCAACTGCGACCGGCACTGGCCCACTTCGACAAGGAGGACAAGCGACGTAAGGCGGAGCAGAAGGCACAAAGCGACGACGTCGACGATGAGGAGGCGTTGCAACAGGTGACCGTAAAATTTGCCCGTGGCGGCAATGTGGTGAAAAAGGCCAAGGCGCAAGGTGGCGGCTATGATTCCTTTATGAAGCGCATTGTCGACGAGCCATGGTGTGAGGCATTCTGGCATGCCCGGAGCACGCCCGCAGCGGAACTGGAACGTCAAAAGATGTACGCGAGCAATCAGCACGCTAATCAGTCGCTGTCATTGCAGCCCAGCGAGTATCTGGACAAATTGTTGCCACATGACGAGCACGTCCAACAGGTGGACACGGCGAATGTGGCACGTGTGTATAACAAGGCCATGCTTAAGACGATGCCGGCACTCGAGCAGGTGGGAGTTCTGCTCAAAGATGGTGAGTAGCAATACCAATACCCTAGTTTGTGGTTGAAATATTATTACTTTTGATTTGCAGCTAAAATGTTGTCCTTTGGAGACATTATGCGTATTCTTACGGAGCACATTGATCCACATTTGCAGGCTGACAAGGTGCTAGCGTTGCTGCCACAAGTGGGTATACTCTTGCATGGCAATTGGGTGCCCAAATCGGAAATGGTCTATCCGGAGAATATACTCTCACGTGTCAATGGCGTGACGGCAGAGCAAATGATAAAGGCGCGGGACTATGTGGTACGTTTTGAGGAATTTTTTTTCTTTAGAATCTAACTGAAAATATTCTACTCAGATCTTTAGGTTCTCACGCACACAGTTCTTGTTTCGGAATCAGGTAATGGCAGCCACTCAATTGCCGCCGGCCGAAACACTAGACGTGCTGAGCACGTTGGCAAGAGTGAACAGCTCGAAACGATGGGAGCTGCTGCTGCCCCCCGATAAGGAGTTCGAGCAGAAGCACTCAGATCTGGTGCAGCGGCAAGAGTTGCTTTGGCGCGCCACTGAGCAGACCTACAACGAGATGGACTGGGCCAAGGAAACGAAACGGGTGCGCAAACGATCCACGCGCACAAGCGAATCGCAGTCGACGCCAGCAAAGGCGACAATGCCACCACCTGGCGTGGATGCGACAACAGGCACAACTATGGCGTAGCGATACGTTTTCCAACAACAACAAACAATAAAGAGACAAGTATTCATTTTATTTTGATAAATAGTTCGCCTGCAAAATGTTTTTGGTAATTTCTTGGACCAACCTATTTCGGTTTTCCCGCGTCACAGTATAAATGGTACAGCCTGGTCCGTTCTTTATACGCTCGATGAGCGGAATGGGCTGTCGGGTTTGTGGTATGGTTGCTAGAATAGGCCTGTCACACTGCAAGACCGCCTGAATGGATTGCTCGAAGGCTTCACTGAACAATTCCATTTTACCGATTTCATCGATAACCACGAGCTGCGGAGTCGACGTTCCAATCTTCATCATTGGCAGTGCTATAGCTTCAAAATCTTGGACCCATACCACATATTTTCCCACTTTGGGATGTTGTTTGTTGTCATTCCTGGGCCTTGTGGTGCGTGCCAATGTACCACGGGCACCATCCAATGTGACCACGTCGAACCCTAGGCGATCTCCGCCGCCTTCTGGTCGCACCTCCTCCGTATAGAAACCCTGAAACTGACCATGCCCTTTCAGCTCCCCGCAAACCTTACGCACCAAAGTTGTCTTTCCCACGCCTGGGCGATTGTTAATTAATGTGGGTAGTAGTCGTGTTACCATGCATTTGCCTACCTGGTGGCCCAGTTACTAGAAATCGGGACGGTTTCATGGATGTGTTGCCATACACGCGACGCACAGTGGAGCAGAAATGTTGCCAAAATCAGAAGAAAGACCAGTTTGCTTTTCGGCTCTAAAAATGATTCAAAATATTAACATGAAAAGTATTGATCTGATTTGTTGATTCATTGATCTGTTTGGAAAGCAAAAACTCCAATCAGCATAGAGTCATAAATATTAATCTATGGTGATGATTGGGGGTCGTACTGCGTCTCATACTGCCTTTCGAGTAAAGGATATAAAAATATTAATTTTAAAATGTTATAAATAAGGAAGTCAAGTTCTGCAAAAAAAAAAGCCCGGATAAACTGTAGGATACTTTAATTAAACTTTCATAGCCTGATTTCTGCAACGATAAAGCAATCCCACCCCACTGTGCGTCGCTACTACTAAAAACAAGATGGCAACTCTGCAGTACACGTCAATTTGCACACACACTCGGGAGTAGCGAACGCAAGACGAGTGGAAGCGAGTGGGAATCGCTTTAGTCTTTTATTTGCCAATTAATTTTATTTAGTGCGCAGATCTATAGTTAAAACCTCAACGCTAAATGTGATTAATAAAGTACAACGATTCCAATATTGTGCAGTGCATCCCGATAGAGCCCCCAGTGTTGCCAGCTTCTTTGTCCTTGAGCCGCCACGCTCTCTTTATAGGTCTTTCAATATTGTTCAGCTTAAACGCCAGCGTCAGCAAAAACTTCAATTTATTAGAATCCAACTGTTAAAACAAAGTTGTTTCCGTTACCATGGCAAGTCCAAGGACGCGACGAGTGTTGCAAGAGTTGAAACCTCAAGACGACAATTCGGTAAGCTTAAAAAACATACACACGCACTCGCATAAATGCAAACGTTTACGCACACACGCACAAACAAATGCACCTGTTTTCAATCTCCATTCTGTAAATATGTATGTATGTATGTGTACTTAGAAATGCTTCGAGTGCGCTACACACAACCCACAATGGGTGTCCGTCACGTATGGCATTTGGATATGTCTGGAGTGCTCGGGCAAGCATCGAAGTCTTGGCGTCCATCTGTCCTTTGTTCGGTCCGTGACAATGGACAAGTGGAAGGATATTGAGTTAGAGAAAATGAAGGTGGGCGGTAATCGGAATGCTCGCGAATTTTTCGAGGATCAGGCGGACTGGAATGATCGGGCGCCCATCACGCAACGGTACAATACCAAAGCCGCAGCTCTATATCGTGACAAGATTACGACGCTAGCGCAAGGCAAGAGCTGGAATCAAAAGGAGGCAGAAACACGACTGGGCAGCAGCAATTCCTATAGTGGCAGCAGCGCCACCAAAGGTGGAAGTAGCTCTTTTAACGCTCAGCCACGAGCAAGCGCAACAGGTTATGGTGGGGCTGACGGAGGTGGGGTCGGAGGCTATCAGAACGGCGGCGGCAGTTATGGTGATACAACGAGTTATCAGCAATTTAATACACAAGAATTTAAAGACCAGAAGGACGAGTTCTTCAATCGACGCCAAGTGGAGAACGCTTCACGGCCCGAGTACGTAAACTAATGTTCTGTTTAGGTATACACGTATTCTAACGGATCTATTTACAGTCACTTGCCACCGAATCAGGGCGGTAAATATGCTGGTTTCGGTTTCACGCGCGATCCCCCACCAAAAACACAATCTCAGGAGATCATCGATTCAACACTCTCCACTTTAGCCTCCGGCTGGAGTCTGTTTTCAACAAACGCTTCCAAGTTGGCCAACACGGCTTCTAAGTTGGCCGTCACTACCGTCAATTCAGCATCAACCAAGGTATTAGGGCTTTGCGCGTGACAAAACAATCGCATCACTATCTATTTTTGTCACATTCACGAAATTGTAGTTTGGTTTATGCTAGAATTTAAAAGGAATTTGTGTTTATTTTGGCGAGCTTAGCGTTTTAGTAACTTCTCCAACCTTTCCGCAATGTTTTTACACATTTGGAAGCTATGTTGCCTTCAGCTATATGGGCATGTTGCGTTAAAAGATTTTCATGGGATCTGTTAGTCTAATTTCAACATGTATTTGTCTTCCATTTCGGTTCCGTTTCTAATTTAATTATCACTTTTTCACACATATAAGCGCTTTAAAATTAATGATAACGGTGAGACACATTAAATAACTTTTCCCTGTCTTTAAATATAGACTGTCGCAATGTCAGTACAAATTGTCACAATTCATTTAATACCAAAACCAATTTTGCTTTCTTTTTAATCTTGAACTCTATTTCTAGAGTTAGGTGTGTAGAGAAAATATATACAATTCTTTTTACTCAACCTCATTCATATTTTGTTCTCAATTGCGATATATATATTTGAAAGTAATTTACACGCAAAGTATATAAGGTGTTCAGGAATTCCATAATACTGATTGATTCCGGTAATATTGATGATCTTTAGTTACAATTACATCTTTTTAATTTTTGTTTGGAAATTGCTTTAGTTTTACAGACAGTTGTAAAATATTCGATTTAACAAACTTTCACGCCCATAAAGTTTAACACGCACTCATTCATCACTTTCCTAGTATGTAAAAAGCTATTTAGATGGAAATTTTAATTAGTTTAAGCATTTTCTGTATCACAATTTTCTTTTTTGCTTATCCCTTATTTAGCATATTTATGTAAGAGTTTATTTATTTTAATTTATTATGATTTCAATCAGTTGAATGTTTTTCTTTCCTTCTTTGTTTGCTTTGTAGATTAAAGAAGGCACTTTGCTAGAAACCGTGCAGAGTGGTGTTTCAGATGTGGCCTACAAGGTCTGTAGAGATATCAGTCTCAACTCTAAAGAAATTTTAATTTGAATTTATGGCTGCTTCTTCACAGGTAACCGACATTAGCAAACGAGGCTGGAACAATTTGGCCGGCAGCAACATTTCGTCTCCCCAAAGTGGCTATAACGAACCCGGTGGAGGATTTGAGGACAGCTCCTATCAACGTTCGCATTCGGTTGGTGGCAATCTGGCTGGTGGTCTGGGCCAGCAGAGTGGCGTGAGCGACAGCGATTGGGGCGGCTGGCAGGATAATGGCAATCAAAAGACGCATATGACTAGTTCTAGCTCGTACCATAATCAAATTAGCAGTCTTAGTGGAAACGCCAGTGCAGGATTGACCCAGGATGATGACTGGTCTGGTTTCGAGTCGACGAACTATCAGAGCGCCGAGACATCCTATCAAAATACCCCCTCCGGCGGACAAAGTGCTCGTCGAAATATGAAAATACAGGAAACATCGCAAAAGCTAAGCGAAGGTTTCGAAAATCTTGATGTGAAGAACGTGAAAACGAAGGCCGGCGCGTCCTCCGCCAATGCCAAACCCAGCGCCGAAGAAGATGCATGGAATCTTCTAATGAACTAAACAAGAATCAGCACATCCGAACCAGAGTGTATTTTTGTTTGTTTTTGCTTCTAATTTTTCAATTTACCAATTTGTTGTCTATATGTTTCTGTTTTAAGTCCAAGCTGTTGTACGCGCATTTAATGTAATCGACCGATATTATGTTCAAAGTTGTTTGTGTCTTGCTTTCCAACGAAAAAAGTTTAACTTTTTCATTACATTTTTTTTTTCACATTTATAGACCAATTTTATGTAGAACTACTTAATGAATTATTTAGCATAAATGTACGGCATATATATCTACTGATAAATAAACAAACAGCTCTGTGCTATATAGAATTGAAATTTTTTTTCTTTTTTCTTTCTAAACTGTGCTGGTTTTGTCATTAGCAATGGATTATTTTTACAGTAAATTGAAATAAAAATTAGGTCGATATGTGTAACATAACATATATAACATAGTCTTAGCTAAACATTCTTTTCGATATAAATTTTTTTTTAAATTTATATAAATCTAAACGAATCTGTCGAAAAATGCTCAACAGTCTACAGTAGTATTGATAACTAAAACAATTGATGCGAAAGAAAACATTAAAATTAAATGGGTTCAGGTTCTATCCTTTTCAAAAAGTCAAATTATGGTATCGTATACTAGTATACTTAAGAAACAACCAATCAATTGATCAAGTTGTACTCCAATTATCCAATTCGTTCCAAGTTTAAAATCTTGCTTTTTGAGTGCTTTTTGATGAATAGGCAAACTTTATAATTAAAACAGTGTCAATTCAATAATAACACGATTGAAAAGAAAAAGCTTTCTAAAACTAGAACAAGTTAAAGGAAATTAAAATTTATGAACAAAATATGCGAAAAAGTAAATTGCGGAATTTATATTACACATACATATATGAAATATAAAACATGTTAATAATAATGGCCATTTATCTCGTTTATTTACACAATTGCACCATTTAATATAAAACGTAAAATTTCATTTGTTTGTATTTGTTTATTTTGCTTATGTTTGCTCAGTAATTAGCCCAGTGTGCAAGCCAAATGTAAACAAATTTCTCGAGCTGCCATACTCTCACACCCCCACTTATTATTGCCGATGTGGCAGCACAACGAGGCTGATTTTGAACATGGTGGCCATTTTGTTTGCCAGATTTTCGCTGTTGGCGGTGCGGCCGAGTAGTTCGTTCCGTCGTCTTCGTCGCCTAATTAAAATTCAAAGTGTATATTCACACCGTTTATATCGCTCAATAGCAGCGCATTAGTTTTTCAGTGCTCAAAATTTGTGAAAGCAGCTATAAAACTAAGTCCACGTTATAGCTACGCTTGGGCTCCCCTCCAGTGTATGTTTTATGTGTATGTGTGTCTGCGCTTTCTTTTGCGTATCCAATTGCATATGTATGTGCGTATGTGTGTGTGTGTGTGCGCGCGTACAGAAATTAAATTTTGCCAAATTGGCAAATATTCGTGTGAAATTTGAGTCATACAATACAGTCAGCAAATATATATGTGTAATTATATGTATAATTTGGATAAAAAGTGTGGGTGGCGAGCATAAAATAAAGCGATCAAATTTAAGTGCAGGTGAATAGAAATTTCCAGCATTATCCTGCAAGCGATACCCACACCCCCACCCCCTCACCAAAACCCACACACTGGACATGTGTGTGCGTAGGTGCGTGTGCCAATTTTTCAAGGTTCCTTCCTGAAACGCGTAACCTTCAAATAATCAATGTTACTGCCAATTGCTTCCAAATGCAATGTGAGCTGACGCCCCAGCTGGCAGTTCAACAGAGAAGGCGAAAAAATGATGAGAAAAAAAAAATAGAAAGTGTGTAAATGACTTCATCGCGAGTCTGGCGGCCGCCGCCCTCACGTCCCGCACAAGCCACAAGTCCAGTTTTGGGTCAGCAGCTGAGCGCCAGACAAAACCAGCTGGGCGAGCTAAAAAAAATGTCTGGCTAGCTAGGCGGCTGGCTGGCAACAAGCGCGACTCCAAGACTCGTATATCGTCTGGGGATAAGCTCTTGTTTATTAGCTTACTCAGACATACACACACATACATACACATATGTACACACGCACAGAATTTAAAACAATGTTAATTCATATAAACAACAAAAGTTTTCTATTTGTGTATTTATAGACAACAAGCCAGCTAACAAAATGTGCCGACCATAGACGCGATGCGCGTGCCTTTGAAGACCAGCTATTGAAAAACGAATCCCCCCGTGCCGACCGACGAGCCAACAACAAACACACACCAAGATCGGCAGCAACAAAATACAAATTCAAATATATACATTTTATTCGAAAAGAAATTTGTTTGCTGCGACAACAAAGAAAAAGTAACACTTGTGACCAAGTTAAATCGAGTCTAGAGAATGGTCAGAAAGCAAGTCGGTTCGGAAAGCAACGCGTCCTTAGTATTAAGTAAGCAGCAGCAGCAGCAGGATCGGGCGAAGCCGGAACAGCAACAAGAATCCAAGCAACAGCAGCAACTGCCGGAGGAGGAGCAGCAACAACGTATTGACATTGACTTGACACCGGATCCACCGACTGGCTACAATTACGCCCAACAGGCTAATGCCATATATGCCCCATTGAAGTCGACAACATTAGCCAGCAGCTATGCAAACGGTGGCTTCGGCTTTAATCTCCAACATGCCCATCTTGCCAACATGCCCTACAACCTTAACACGGTTCCGCCGCAGAATACCGTCGCAAATGCCCCGCTGCCCATCATGCCCTCGGAGATTCCTGTCGAGGATGAGGAGCGTCTCGAGCGTATATTCAAGCAGTTGGATCGCGACGGGGATGGCAAAATTGACATACACGACTTGTCAGCGGCCCTCCACGAGTTTGGCATGTCGAGCGTCTATGCGGAGGTGAGTGGAGAGCGTACAAATGTTCCTCTATGGGTCTATTGGCACCTTGAGCTTGGCATGTGTGTGCCTGTTTTGTAAATAGGGGCAGGGACAGACAGCCATGTGGCAGCCGCATTTGCATAAATTGGCCATATGCACCAAATGTCTCACCTTCCTGTCACAATTTGAATTGTTAAAATACAATTTGCTGCTTGATTATGTGAGGTAGATACGATTGCTAGATATATCTATGTTTCTATTTATTTTGAGTGTGCTTTTCAGCTTTTCATTTTGGCAAGCAAACTGAACTTTGCACCTTTCCTTGTCTGTCTGTTCTGACGGCTAAGAAATATTTGCACAATGTTGTGAGAAACCGAAAGGAAAAAGATCTGATCTTGTCAAAAAGCATTATGCAGCTAAATATCTTAATAAGGGCCGATCTCGTTCAATAAAATTGGCATAAAAGTGCAAAAATTTGCACAGATATTTGTAAACAAGCCAAGTAGAGGTCGAAAACAGTTGTGCAAGTGTTTAAAAATGAATTTAATGAAGCAAGACCGCTCTTAGCCCGCTTTTCACAGCATTTCTCAAGGCACATTTTAATTTATTCACAAAGGTTTCCCTCTGATTTAAAAGTTTCAAAAAATATCCCTTGAGTAAGATGATTTGTTCTCCCTCTTTTGAGATATATAGTATAGTATGGAATGTATTGGCGATAATTCACACTGCTTCAATGAAAAGATAAATCGTGCAAGTACCGCTTACGTGTCTTTTTATGATTTCTAAAACAAAATCGTGTAAAATATGTCGATCAATACAATGGGAAATACTTGAATTCGTTAAACGAAGTGTTGTAGAAATGTTGCATTCCAGTTTTTTTTTTTTCATAAAAACGTAATTTTCTTAAAGCAAAATTTCTTTAAACAAAGCTTCAACCATTGTGATAATGTTTAAATGGTTCATGTTCGGCTTTAAATATTTATTTCTAATTATTTTATCAAATCTAATCCCTTTTTAAAATCATAAAATCGTTTAAAGTAGATTTCAACATTCAGAAGCAGAATTTTATAAAAATCTGTAGGAAGTTCCGAAACTAGTCATTCTTATAATATAAAATAGTTTAAAGTAATACATATTTTAAATTGATCTATTTGCCAATCGATTTTTGTAGATATTTAGAACACAGAAAGATGCCGCAGGGAGCCAAATCTGGCGAGCGAGAACCTTTGTTCCATGTTTGGCTAAAAATTAAAATTGCTTCACTTAGAAGCTTTGGAACGGTCGAGTGGTTCTTTATTTAAATGTATTCTCAGACCAAAATTTAGGAAACTTCTCTCCTGGTTGAATAAAACTCTTCGAATGCTATGAACTTTTCATGGTTTTCATGCCACCATTTTTATGGTTTCCACGTGGGCTGTCAGTCAACCTTTGCATTCTTAGTTTCTCGTATTCTCTTATGTTTTTATGATGCTACGCGAATTGAGTTCGTTCTATTGATTTGGGCAATGGCTTTGAACTTTTTTGTCTATACAGTATACGCTCAAGGCTAGACAATTGTCGGCGCCAGACTGTCCAAATGTTCGGCAATAACAGACAATGCCAACCAGCTGCCTGCCAATGTGACATCATAAATATAAAGAACAGATGTGTTTGCCGATAATAATTGGGTTGATTTTCATTTTAGAAATTCCTACAACAGTCGGACAAGGATCAGAGTGGCAATGTCGGATTTGCAGAGTTCCTGCATTATGTGCGGGAACATGAGAAGAATTTGTGTCTGCAATTCTCGCACCTAGACAAGAATCGAGATGGTAATTAAAGATTATAAAAAAGTTTACACCTCGATATTTAATGTATTACCCATTCATTTAGGAAAAGTGGACTTGGATGAGCTTATATCTGCTTTCAAGGACCTGGGCTTGGACATTGAACCAGACGAGGCCAAAAAACTGCTCACAAGGTGCTGTATTTATGAGTTTAAATAACGTATAGACAATGTAAAATCTTGGAGGAAAGAAATAAGGACTTATATTGAGAATAAATAAGTCATTTGTTGATCAATTGATCCAGAATTGTACAGTCTAAACTCCGTGTTGCTCTGAACTCTACTGGCAGAGAAAATGACGGGCACATTCCCCAACTATAACTTGATTGTTGTTTTTCGATACAGGCTTGTACAGTCTTATTTATCCTATACTCTTTGGAATATAAGCTCAAGTTCTGAATAAAAGCTTAGATGATAGAATATAAACCTCAAAATTGGAGGCATGAATCAAGTAGATTTTAAAGTGTTTTTCGATTCCGAATTTTACAGTCCTGTTTCCCTTAAACTCTTTGAAACTCCATAAAATATTTTCATTTGATTTCCCATCTTTCTAATTATACCCAGAATGGACAAAGATGGCAGCTTAAATATTAGCTTTAATGAGTGGCGGGATTTCATGCTCCTGGCACCCTCTTCGGATATACATGACCTGATTAAGTTTTGGCGGCACTCTACTGTAAGTATTTGCGTTTAAATCTCTAGTCTGTATTTAATTTTTTTTGTTGCTTAGTTGTTGCTTTCTTTTTGCTTTTTATGTTCCCAAAGAATTGTAGGAAAACAACAAAGTTTGCTCAAGCGTCTGGCCTTTTGTTTGCCCAGTCAGTATAAATAAATAAATATGTACAATGTGTGTGCGGATGCGGGTGTGGGTGTCGAGCGTTTTGAGCAAACTTGACTGTTTAGCTTTGCCCCATTGCTATTGTAGTTGTAGCTGTAGTTGAGTTCCTTATTATATATACATATATTTATATATAAATTTGCATAAATTAATAAGCGTAATTTTTAACTAATTGTTCAACTTTTTACCCCTTACTTGTTTCGTTACTACTACTACTATGCGTCCGCCCATAAAAAACAAAACCAAACACTCGACTCTTGATATATGTACTCAAAAAATAAATGTTTATGTAGTATCTACAAACATTCCAACACCACCACCACAACCACCACTCCTGACTAACTGAGGAAGATTTGAAGGTACTGCTAAAAAAAAACAAAAACGTTTAACTTATTTATTATATCATCATATTAGTTAGTCTTCCACATACATACACACATACTTTTGTATGTGTAGCTCCATAGGACAATCACACAGACTCACACACACATTAAGCTTATCTGCCACCCAACCTACCTACATATACATGCAAACATATATGTATATATATGTACATACTCGTAAATACGTATTGGCATTCAAAATCAAGTCAAGGCATTTCCCTATCGTTCATTAAACACGCATTCACTCATAATCCATAATGATTTACGCACTGTGTTTAGCTTTTTATGGCATTGGAAATGCATTTTAAGAGAAAATCGTGGGCAGCTTTTAAAAGCTCTCTCTCTCTCCCTGTCTTTCTGTAGTGCGAGCAGGCAGCTAGCCGTCGCATGATGCAAAATTTCTGGCTCATTTCATCATTATCAATGATAATGCCAGGCACCGTGCTCTCTCTCGACGTGCTCTCATTGTGACTTTTCACTTAGTAACTGTTGTTGTGACGTCTTCGTTGGTTACTCTTTTTCCTTTTGTTGTCTGCCTCATAATTATTTTGTTTACTTATTTCGTATGTGCCTTGTCATGTGCATTAATTCGACTTCAAAAACAATTTAATTCAATTTATTATAAATTTGTTATTATTATTTCGCACATGTTCGTTTGTTTAGATTAGTTGGCTTCAATTTCCATTCGAATTGTACACGTTGATGTTAACAACAAATGCGACAGCCAATCGGCGGTCGCCTCGATAGCAACGAGCCCCCTAATAGAGCTTTTTGTATACATACATACATATGTATGTATGTATATACATGCATGCATACGTACATACATATTTTATAGCTCCTATCTACATCTGTACATATATGGGTCGCTCGAAACGTTTTCTTTTTGCAAGTGCAAGCACACATACTCGTATATATGTATATATAGTATGTATGTATGTACGCACCTACACACACTTTTAATGCCACATCAGTTTAATGTACCCTGACATTTAATTGGCGTATATGATTTGAAGGTCGACTGCTTTGGACTGACGACTTGATTTACTCATTATGCTTTGTTTGGAAATCGATTTACTCATTATGCTTAGTTTGGAAATCCTCAAAAACAGACAGAGAATGGACATTATAAAGCCTTCTTAAAGTGAGGTGGAAATTAATGACATTTCGAAAGTATTTGATTGGAAATTCATTCAACGGTGCCCAAAGATATTCATCAAATTCAAAACAGAATTCCGTCTATTGAGATTTGCAATTCATAAAAACGTATGAGCATCGGCTCTTTGAAGCATTCGCGTTTGAAACATGTTATTAACGTTTTGTAAAGGCTTCAATTCTGTTTAAAATTCATATTGATGCCCTAATCTCGAAAATAACAATACCTTTGAGTTAATGCAAATTTGAATTAATACTTAATATTGATTTTAAAAAATATTTTATGGTAAAAATAGTGTTTTTTTTTTTTTTGCTTTTAAAAACAGATATAATTGATCTACTTAATGCACTTGTGGAAACTAGATTAGATTGGCGTTTATTATAGGTATTATTATAGTTATTTTATTTAGAAGTAGTTTGATCGAACGTGGAAAGTGCCTTATAGAGGCACTCCAATGTCTGATCCTGCCCACTAAGAAGGTAAAAGGAATTTGACAGACGTCTACTGGCAGATTATTGGAGGTTTAGTCAGCCCTATAAGCAGTACTTTTAAAAGCTTTATCTACTCTTCTTGTTTGTAGAGTTCCAATACTTTTTAGAAAGAGAGGGGCTTAAATTCTATTCACTTAAAAAATGTTCGAGGGTATTTTCGCTTCGACACAGCATTTTTGTAATCTGTGTTCCCGTCTTTAACTTGGCAACAGCTTAAGAACGCTGTTCCAGACACTTTTGAAAGTTGTAGCGGTTCTTCATTAGTAGCCGGTTTCCGTTGTCTCTGACTGGCGTCGACCACATCTTGGCTATTTTTAGCTAGCAACCACATTTGTATGCGTATATTTAGTCGCAAATGATTCTCAACGGAAAACGGGCCCAACCCACCATTAACTTAATGAAATGTTACGCCCCGGTGTGCTCGTCGCTTAACCTTGAGACACTCTGATAGCCCCCTGAACTTGTTTTTCGCAATCAGTCAGAAAAAGTAAAAGTCAACTGCCGCAGTAGTGGCGTATCTCAATTTCATGCTATTAATATCCTTTAATGCGGAACGTGGTCAGTGTACCTGCTTCATACTTTTCAATAGAGATTCCGGTGTAAAAACACACACCTATACTTGGCTGGCAATTACATTTCTACAAGTATACAGGTGCAGATTTGAGGGGCCTAAACACGTCTTAGATCGCCCCTGATTGATTGGGTCATTACGTGTAGCTTGACGTCGAACCTTTTGCATGGCTATTGGAATTTTTCGCGCAGCTGATAAGAAAACTTATGTTTACTGTGCTGGCCTGGCCGCTTTGTCTGCATTCGATTTTCTCTGTCGCAAATAGTTTTACAGTAAATATTTACGCGCACACTTGTTTATAGCACACATTGTATTCTGGGTATTGGGTAAAGTCTAAAAACACAATGAATTGACTATAGAAATTGTTGCTTACTAATAACAGAACTTGCGTTTTTTCGAAAAAAAAAAACATTAGTGGAAAAGTTCAAAATTTGCGATAACCTGAGCACAGTTTTTGCCAGTCTGATTTTATTTTGGACACACGCTTCACGCAAATTGCGTTGTTGCTAATTTTCCTTAAATGAAACTAATGGGAACCGGTTGGTTTCCTTAATAAAGGATGAAGTGCCATTGGCACGTGTGATAAGAAATGCTACCAAATTTCTAATTACTATAAAGATTTGATTACTTTGAAGGCCTAGACGATATTTTGGGGTCATTCGCGTAACCTTCTGTTGATTCTTAAGCAAAAATGCTTAAAATACATTTTATGTGCAAATTTTGATAAACAAATGTCGATAAAAAATTCTCGACAATTGCCGCCTAAGTTGTGAACGAGAATCGTGTATATTTGTGTATTTATGTTCAAATTTCTAATTATGTTGGTCAAGGTAAATATCGGTTGACTGTCTATATAGTTTTACACCATTTTGCTTATCTACAATTAATTAATCAAGAATTAGTTTAATACATTGTCACTTCCCTAAATTCCTTTAAATTAGTCAGACTTCGAATAAACTATGAGTTCCTTTAACGTTGTGAAAAAGCCTTTACCATAATTAATAGGTAATTATTCCTCTATAGATGTTTGTTTAGTAAACACAACCAATAGTTTTGTTAACTTGTTGTTTTTTAAATAAAAGGGTTAAAACCGTTTCTTGAAATGAAAATATTCTTTAAATTAATATTTTATGTGGCTTTTAAAACTTACTGTTATTTAATACATATGAAGGACTATTTATGAAGGTTCATATTTGCAAGGCATGTGCTCGATAGTTTTTTAAATACTTTGATGATTTGCTTTCTTCTGTTTAGTTTCAAAACTCCAAGTAAGTGGCTTTTAAAATGTTTTCAAATGCAATATTTCTATTAGCGATATACTCGATCTCTTGCCTTCACAACTTTATACTTTGTTTGAAGTTTCAAATTTCTACTTAGGTGGAACTTGAAGCATATGTTGTAACATTGATTATTACTGAAAAGTTACTATTTATTATTATAGGGCATGTCGGGTTGAGTTACATAAGTAAACAACGTTAACACGTGTAGTTGTTACTTAAGGTTTAATTACGTGCCGCCCTCTAAAACTGCATAACTCAACATGACATACCACTGCCCCTACATTTTGTCAGTTTGGATGTCAACCCCCGTTTCAATTAGCAGAGGGAATTGTGGATTATTTCCACCCCCTCAAACGCTATCTCATTTATTATTTAAGCGTGTATGTATAGAACATGCAACAATACGGTGCAAAGTTCTAGACCATTAGCTTGCATTATAGTATTGTGTGGGTCTTGCTATTTATTGCCTAAATTGTTGTTTATCGTTATTTGCTTCCCAAAATATTGGACTGAGGTTACAATATTTTGCACGACACGACATCAATAGAACAATTGAAATGCAATTAATTTATGGAACCTATAATAAATTAATTACAACCTGTTGATTTATTCGGGTGAAGCCCTGCGAATAAAAAACTTAGAAGGCCATTGGAAGACTGAAAGACACTCTGTAAGATAAGCGAAACTGTTTTTCCGACCAGCGTCCCATATATTTGTAAAGCACTTAAGTTTATTAACAATACCTTTTAGCAATTTTAATACTACCGGTGTTTACTTGAAATTTTTGTAAAGCCCAGCTCTCAAGAATTAGCAATATTTTTTATAAGCGGTTCTTAAAACTCTTGGCTATGATTTCCACGATTTAGAAGTAAACATTTCTAAATAAACTGTAAGACTACAAGTATAAACAGTAATTATTCCTACAAAGCTTCATATAATAAATGAGGCTTAGTCGTA